ATCCTGGCGTGATTGCACATACAGTCACCTACCAATTTGCATAATTAGTTCTGTTTCATATCTTTTCTCTTACTATCTGCGACTATGAAAACAATCCTAGTCCCATACTAAGCCATATTCCACAGTTGTATGACCCTGACAAGTTGTAATATATAAATTGGATAGAGTTATGCTTTCTAAAGAGGCTGCCTCATAAATCCATGGTATAATCATATTCACCTTAAGATGTTAATATAATATGGTACTAATGACAGTCAAGTATAAAACACCCAAACAATGAGAACGTCAATCATATGCACTATATTGCTTCATAAAAATCGAAATATTAGATTTCAAAATTGAATCACCAAGTTTAACCTAGAAATTGACAGTTGTACAAAGCTAAATTGTGAAATCGGTAAATGCCTATACAAGCACGATCAGTAAATATATATATATACCATATTTATTTGAAACAAATATCTCTGGATCTCTTCGTTGAGCATCTCAGGACAAGCTTTCCATTTGTGTGGTCCTGAACAGAATACAGAAACTTGTTGATGGGGTCTATGCTGAATCAGTGTTGCTTCAGGGCAGAACAATCGACAACCGACATGATCTTCTCAGTCAACAGCTGCAGGAAACGTGCAGTAGAAGCAGCCAATTTATGTTGTATTCATTGACCTCACAAAAGCCTTCGACCATGATTGGCTCCTCAGTATGGTCCAGTCATTCTACACTGACATGAAAGCCACCTTGCAGTTTGACGGCGCGACCTCCGAGGCTTTCTACATTCACAGTGGAGAAAGGCAGGGCTGTGTACTTGCCTCTACCCTACTTGGAATCATGCTTGCAATAAAGGGTGACTATGCTTGTCGTAAGAAGCGACTAACGGAATAGGATGGTCAGGCTCACTGACTTGGTTAATGCAGGTCATCGTATCTCAATTGCTTGGATCGATGCTCATGATGTCAATTACTGAATAGCCTGGTTCAGATTCGATTATTTATACAGACCGCTATCATTTTGCGTTGAACAACAAATGAACAAACAAACAAACTCTGAAATATGTATCCTTCACAAATGTGTTAATTCAATCACATAAGCTGACTCTGTGTACCCGATCTGAATCGCATGCAGCTACCGTAGCAAGGAAGTTAAAATCAAGAATGTTCTCCTTGGACTTCCCAAAAGGGGTATGTTTTTGCGAAGCAGAATTATCTGCCCGTCATTTCAGAACACCAGTATATGCCTACCTAAGTTGGTGCGTTCCTTTTGAGCCTGTATATGAACAAAATTAAGACAAAATTGAAGGCAGCAAAAACAGCTTCTACCATGTAGGCAGTTCCAGGAAATGTGGCAGATGTAGAGGTGTAAAGGAAAATATATCCTGAAGCAACAAGGGGACGTAATACTGTTTCTAATGTTGACATCAACGCAAACATCTTTCCAAGGTCATCTGATGCTATTTCCTGGCTCATTAGCGACCGTATCAATGACATACAAGCCCCTGACATACACCCGAGACACGCAGCTAGCCACATCATCCATGTACGTGTACTGAAGCCTGTCCAGACTGACCATATCACATTCCCTGCTGAGAAGACCAGAAATAAAGATGTGTCAGAAAACGTCAGCGTAGACGACAGTAGTGGCAGAAGCAGCAGAAGAAACATACCTTTAGTTGCAGATTCAACAGAAATGTAATAGCCATACCATGACTGCGGCCAGAGTAGAGGCTCACCTTGGATATAAAGAACTGTTATTTCTTTGCTCCTGGTGAAATAGATGGTGTTGAGGATGACAGCTAAGAAGAGGAGGAAGATGATCTTTCTTGAGTTGCCTTCTCGTCTCTTGAAGACCACCATCAAATAGGCTTTGACAGAACACAAGCTGCAGCTTGATGTGCTCGTCATCTGGTTGTCACATTTTGGCGTTGGTTCGGAAAGGCAGAAGACTGCAAGAAGCAGGCAGGTTGTTTGGAGGAATGATACTGCACAGAGGGTTACTTGCATGTTGCACACATCCTCCAGTACGCCAGCTAATAAAGACCCAAGAAACTGACCAAGCAAATCAGTGTTCGAAATACCTGCCTGCCCGACCGTCCGAGACGGGTTGATTTCAACTCGGGCTGTCAGATTTTCAAATCCCCCTGCCCGACGGTAGGGGTTATATTTCATATGTAAAAATATTCTAAATATTTCCCGATGATAAGCATTAATTCACATGTAAAGATGAATGATAAAATGTAACCAAAAAGAAACCCCGTTAGCTTTTAGACAACCTAACATTAAGCGATGCGCTTATGCTACAAGCAGTCAGTTTTCATATTTTTAATTAAATTATCCTGAGAAACATATGATTATAGTGGGCAGGCAGGTTTTGGTCAGGGCTGGCAAGTATTTCAGCTAGCCAGGCCTGTGGTCTGGCTGAAATCTTTGGGAGTTTCATACCCTGAGCAAATGCATTCCAGCTAAGATTGCCATTTGGGTTGTCCTCTGTTCTGGTGAGGCGTTCTCTGCAATGTAACTGCTCACAGCCATTATCACATCCGACGTCTTCCCAAATATTCCCTGAATCGATGTTCCAGTAAGCAGAAGAGTTAGAGAGTGCCCGTCCATAAACAAACATAGGATATACATAAACACAGACAGTACACACCCAATGCATGGCAACATCGTGGGTAACTTGCGTCCCTTCACATCACTCCAGGCACAACAAAACAGTCCACTGACAGAGGAAGGACGGCACAGCAGGATACTGTAGCTGGTGAGGTCAAACGCCGCTTTGTTTTTTATTGCGTCTTGATGCTGAGCTTTGAATGTAGGCGATGAGCATTGACCTGCATTTTGTGGAAAAATGTCCTCATAAGCCGCTGTGATGAAATAAGGCTTCATCGTGGTGTCCAGCATAGCTTCGCCAGTCTTGTACAGAAAAAGTAACAAGTTCGCCTCCCAAAACAATAACTGAAATGTAAACATACTGGCTGCAGTTACGATACGAGTTGGTATATATTTACTACTAGAATGAAATGAGAAATTAACGATCTGTTCATATCAATAATTAGTAAATTATTGTCTGACATGTTTGTAAGTGAACTAGCTGCAATGTAGGACAACCCATAGGCTGAACAACACATATATCATGTGGGAGGGTTGGTATGACTTTCAGAATTACTGTTCAGATGCACCTGTTACTATTTGTAATCCTCTTAGTGAAGGTTGTTTTGTTTAATGGGGTTTTTATTGCTTAGGTGAGCGAGTGGGTGATTTTATGCCTCTTTTAGCAATATTCCAGCAATATAACGGTGGGGGGACACCAGAAATGGGCTTCACACATTGTACCCGTGTCGGAAATCGAACCCGTGTAGGAGTCAAAGGGATTAGTTCACACCTGACGGATTCAGGACTGAGTTCTGGCCATGGCATGTTTTCCTGTTTGGGTAACGGGGTCATAATCCTGGCACGGGCATTGTCATCACACGTTGTGCAAATGGCACCGTGACTGGCGTAATGATGTCCTGGTAGTATTGCCCTCTGACTCTGCCATGGACAACATTGTGCGCAGTTTGGCCAGTCATTGTGATATCATCCCCATACCATTATGAATCTACCCAAAAAAACAATCATGTTGTACGATGTTAACGTTGAAAAACGCTCCTTCGGGCGTCTCCAAACTCGATTCCTTCCGTCATCGAAGTTGAGTCAACCTCGATTCGTCAGAAACATGACATTAGCCCAACGTCGATTATCCCAGTGCTGACGTTACCAACACCACTGACGCCTCATTCAGATGACGGGCAGTAAGTTATTGGATGTCACGTGACATTGACAAAGTTTGAATGCTGAACAAGAGAAAATTTTGAAATGTGCAACAGATGACCGGCATCGGAAAGTCTCTCCTGTTTCAAAGTTTATCCCATTGAAGCGAATGAGTGAGCATGGTATTACGTCGCTTTTAGCAATAACACAGCAATATCACAATAGTGGACACCAGAAATGGGCTTCACACTTTGTACCCATGTCGGAATCGAACCCGGGTCTTCAGCGTGTCGAGCGAACGCTTTAACTTGCTGTCTCATATATATATATATATATATATATCACTAGGAGAGCCGGACATGAAACGTCCCTCTCTGACTGTGCATAACGTTACAGTGCATGTCAGAGGGCACGGGTGGCCCAGTTGTCTAAGGCACCACGATTCGCTGTGCAAATTTGCGTCCCTTGGGCTCTCCAGAAACCTATGAGTGTGTGTTCGAATCCCGGTTTGCCCCGATTATGTTTCTAGGTTTGTCAGCACCACACCCATGCTCGTGGGTTTCACAGAAGTGGTAAACCTCTGAGACCTGCATCACTTCGGGCTTTCCTCCCACATTAAACTGACACGCCGCAATGCAACTGGAATACTGTTAAAAGCGCGTTAAACCCAACCCACCCACTCACTCACTACACTGCATGTCAGCTAGACATGGGTAGGAGTCTGGAGTAAGTGAGTGAGTTTGATTTTACGACGCTTTTAGCAATATTCCAACAATATCACAGAGGGGGGTAACAGAAATGGGCTTCACACATGTCAGGGATCGAACCCAGGTCTTCGGCATGACAAGCAAATGCTTTAGCCACTACGTTTCCCAACCGCCCTGTCAGATGAGAGGAAGGTATCCGAGATTATTGAACCTATGTAGCTGTGTGTGTGTGTGTGACTAAGTGAGTAAGTGAGGGTGGGTGGGTGGGTGTGGGTTTTTGGGTGGTTGTGAGTGTGTGTGTGTGTGTGTGTGGGGGGGGGGGGGGTGGAGGTTGGAGGTTGGCCACTTTTACTAGTCCAGACTGATGCAGATTTTAAAGTGATGACCCCACTCAGACACAGTATACTGACACCGAGTCGACCAGTCCTTGTTTTAGCCCCTTAATGCAGGGTGCCAGACAGGTTAACATCAAGTACCATCTTGTAACATCTTTTGGTATGACGCCACCTTGGATGTGTGTCAGAAGTGCAATTCATATCATTTTACAATTGAGGAAAAATATACTTTTTTTATTGATGTTAGTTATAAAATGAGTTGCCACAACAATTATAGACAATAAAATAAAACTATAGAACATCTGTAACATGGTTAAGAGTGGCTGCTTGGACTTTGACTTTCTCAGCGTCGTGCAATCCTACTGCCATCAGGACACAATCATCCTTCAACCTTCAAAAGAACCTGTGTCACTTCCACTCAATACAGAAATCCTCTGCACAAGAAATCTCAAGAAGCTAAACAATCAAGTTATTGATGTTACAGGCAACAATATCTGCCATCAGCATATGATGACGAGCTATCCACCAAGATACAGAGTCTGAGCTCCCAATTAATTGAGTCACCTCGCCCAACAACAAGTATACACTGCATGGGTCCAGGGGTTTCCCTGTGCAACGCTTCTGGGATGTATGAGTGAGTGAGTATGGTTTTACACCGCTTTCAGCAATATTCCAGCAATGTCATGGTGGGGGACACCAGAAATGAGCTTCACACATTGTACCCATGTGGATCTTTGGTGTGACAGGCAAACACTTTAACCACAAGGCTACCCCACCGCCCTCAGATGTATGATGCTATATATGATCCTATATGATAATTCCCTCACTGTTTGATTGTCATTCTAGAAGCTGGTGAGTAAGTAGGAAAGCATACAACTCTATTGCATATAGTGATGTTTGAATGTAGACTCTTACACCGCTATCAGCTGGAGTGATGTTTGAATGTAGACTCTTACACCGCTATCAGCTGGAGTGATGTTTGAATGTAGACTCTTACACCGCTATCAGCTGGAGTGATGTTTGAATGTAGACTCTTACACCGCTATCAGCTGGAGTGATGTTTGAATGTCAACTCTTACACCGCTATCAGCTGGAGTGATGTTTGAATGTCGACTCTTACTCCGCTATCAGCTGGAGTGATGTTTGAATGTCGACTCTTACTCCGCTATCAGCTGAAGTGATGTTCAAATGTCAACTCTTACACCGCTATCAGCTGGAGTGATGTTTGAATGTAGACTCTTCCACCGCTATCAGCTGGAGTGACAAGAACCCAGTGGTGAGAGGTATATTTGTTATTCCTACTGTACATGTGGCTTCATCAAGTTATCTGTAGGCCACTTGTTATCTATTACCTGTTGTTGTCAATGTTAATCTGCTGCTTATCACAACATATCATGCATGTATACCTCTCATCACTTGGTTGTTGTCACTCCAGCTTGATAATGGTGTAAGAATACAATTGAAAATGTTGCTGTATGCAATACTAGGGCAATAACATATCAATATCAAAACTGAATATTTTGGCAGTGTATAAACTCTGGTTATATTAATCACATATCGGAATGTCTCAAACAGAACAACATACATAACCACAAAGACTGATGCCAGCTGGGAGAAGAGAGCTGCCCTTGAATAGTGGGGATGTCATTCTGGTTATGGAGGCGTCCCGTAGCAGCTGGTTTCGTCAGTGTACACGCAAAATGCCGCTTCAAATACTGGACACCTCAAATCTATTTTAAACCCCAGCTGTTGTGTGACGCAAGTGTCTATCTATAACAGTCACATGGCACCCATTGCAATCATCATATATACTTTCAGTTACACTTGACACAGTTTATTTCTATTTTTTTATCAGCCAGGTTTCAGCATGTGAGTATGTTGTCACTGTGAGGGGAAGAATTCAGCTGCTTTTCTCAATCTTGTCTGAAGCTTTCGTCTTCCACTCTGTGAATCCACCCTAAAGAAGACAAGCTGATGAATGCATCCAGAGAAGTGTTTCAGCGAAGATTTCACACATGTAAATGTCAGCGAAGGGGATTTGGGGGATCATGTGAATTAAAAGATACCATATGTTGAATATGAGCTAAAGGATACCAGTTGTCAGATGAACTGACAGATACCACTTGTGCAGGTGAGCTAACAGATGCCAGTTGTGGCAGGTGAGCTAACAGATGCCAGTTGTGGCAGGTGAGCTAACAGATACCTATTGTGGCAGGTGAGCTAACAGATACCAGCTGTGACAGGTGATCTAACAGTTGTGCCAGGTGAGCTAACAAATACCAGTTGTGCCAGGTGAACTAACAGTTGTGGCAGGTGAGCTAACAGATACCAGTTGTGGCAGGTGAACTCACATGGAAGACAGCGACATCAGTGTTGCCACACAGGTGAGCAGCGAAGGCCAGCGAGCAGGAGGACATCCCACTGTTACAGTGGGTGACTACAGGCTGTGTCAGGTCCACACCAGCATGTGCAAACACTGAAACACACACAGTGTGCAGTCGTAAAATATAGGCTCTAACACATCAAGACAGTTATACAGCTACAGGCTCTAACACATCAAGGCAGTCATACAGCTACAGGCTCTAACACATCAAGACAGTTATACAGCTACAGGCTCTAACACATCAAGGCAGTCATACAGCTACAGGCTCTAACACATCAAGGCAGTCATACAGCTACAGGCTCTAACACATCAAGACAGTCATACAGCTACAGGCTCTAACACATCAAGACAGTCATACAGCTACAGGCTCTAACACATCAAGGCAGTCATACAGCTATAGGCTCTTACACATCAAGACAGTCATACAGCTACAGGCTCTAACACATCAAGGCAGTCATACAGCTACAGGCTCTAACACATCAAGACAGTCATACAGCTATAGGCTCTAACATCAAGGCAGTCATACAGCTATAGGCTCTAACACATCTAGGCAGTCATACAGCTATAAGCTCTAACACATCAAGACAGTCATACAGCTATAGGCTCTAACACATCAAGACAGGCATACAGCTACAGGCTCTAACATCAAGGCAGTCATACAGCTACAGGTTCTAACACATCAAGACAGTCATACAGCTACAGGCTCTAACACATCAAGACAGTCATACAGCTACAGGCTCTAACACATCAAGACAGTCATACAGCTACAGGCACTCTAACACATGAAGACAGTCATACAGCTACAAGCTCTAACACATGAAGACAGTCATACAGCTACAGGCTCTAACACATCAAGGCAGACATACAGCTATAGGCTCTAACACATCAAGGCAGTCATACAGCTACAGGCTCTAACACATCAAGGCAGTCATACAGCTATAGGCTCTAACACATCAAGGCAGTCATACAGCTATAGGCTCTAACACATCAAGACAGTCATACAGCTACAGGCTCTAACACATCAAGGCAGTCATACAGCTACAGGCTCTAACACATCAAGACAGTCATACAGCTACAGGCTCTAACACATCGAGACAGTCATACAGCTACAGGCTCTAACAAATCAAGGCAGTCATACAGCTATAGGCTCTTACACATCAAGACAGTCATACAGCTACAGGCTCTAACACATCAAGGCAGTCATACAGCTACAGGCTCTAACACATCAAGGCAGTCATACAGCTATAGGCTCTAACATCAAGGCAGTCATACAGCTATAGGCTCTAACACATCAAGGCAGTCATACAGCTATAGGCTCTAACACATCAAGACAGTCATACAGCTATAGGCTCTAACACCTCAAGACAGGCATACAGCTACAGGCTCTAACATCAAGGCAGTCATACAGCTACAGGTTCTAACACATCAAGACAGTTATACAGCTACAGGCTCTAACACATCAAGACAGTCATACAGCTACAGGCTCTAACACATCAAGACAGTTATACAGCTACAGGCACTCTAACACATGAAGACAGTCGTACAGCTACAGGCTCTAACACATGAAGACAGTCATACAGCTACAGGCTCTAACACATCAAGACAGTCATACAGCTATAGGCTCTAACACATCAAGGCAGTCATACAGCTACAGGCTCTAACACATCAAGGCAGTCATACAGCTATAGGCTCTAACACATCAAGGCAGTCATACAGCTATAGGCTCTAACACATCAAGACAGGCATACAGCTATAGGCTCTAACACATCAAGACAGTTATACAGCTACAGGCTCTAACACATCAAGACAGTCATACAGCTACAGGCTCTAACACATCAAGACAGTCATACAGCTACAGGCGCTCTAACACATGAAGACAGTCATACAGCTATAGGCTCTAACACATCAAGGCAGTCATACAGCTACAGGCTCTAACACATCAAGGCAGTCATACAGCTATAGGCTCTAACACATCAAGGCAATCATACAGCTATAGGCTCTAACACATCAAGACAGTCATACAGCTACAGGCTCTAACACATCAAGGCAGTCATACAGCTATAGGCTCTAACACATCAAGACAGTCATACAGCTACAGGCTCTAACACATCAAGGCAGTCATACAGCTATAGGCTCTAACACATCAAGGCAGGCATACAGCTATAGGCTCTAACACATCAAGACAGTCATACATCTACAGGCTCTAACACATCAAGACAGTCATACAGCTACAGGCTCTAACACATCAAGGCAGTCATACAGCTATAGGCTCTAACACATCAAGACAGTCATACAGCTACAGGCTCTAACACATCAAGGCAGTCATACAGCTATAGGCTCTAACACATCAAGACAGTCATACAGCTACAGGCTCTAACACATCAAGGCAGTCATACAGCTATAGGCTCTAACACATCAAGGCAGTCATACAGCTATAGGCTCTAACACATCAAGGCAGTCATACAGCTATAGGCTCTAACACATCAAGACAGTCATACAGCTACAGGCTCTAACACATCAAGACAGTCATACAGCTACAGGCTCTAACACATCAAGACAGTCATACAGCTACAGGCTCTAACACATCAAGGCAGTCATACAGCTTTAGGCTCTAACATCAAGGATGTACACCTGAATGAAGACCTCAGCTCTATTAAAGTGGCAGATTTAGCACATTTGTTTCAAGTCATTCAAAACTTACATTGTCCACTACATCGATGATATTTATCAATCTAACAGTTTACACATGTTTCAAGGACGTACATTTCTTCACCTCCTCCACGGACTTCATCTCTTTCTTCTCTTCATCCATCAGTGACGACAGCGGGATGTTGTGAGCTCCAGGAATGTGCCCTGAAACACAACCAGTTCCAGCAGAACTCCATCAGTGAGTGAGTGAGTGAGTGAGTGAGTGAGTGAGTTATGGGCATGGCAGTATGAGAAATGGTCGTAGCCGTTCGGGCACAGTGACACGACATGACATTGTAGCCACCTCTGTGGAATTCCGTGTCAGAGTATCCCAAACAACCTGCTCATCATAACAGAGACTGAAAGGGTCGCGTGGTCTGGTTCTGAGGAGGATTGTGTGCCATCATACCCAAACAGCATAGGATGTTGCTCATGATATCAATCACTGGTTGTCTGGTCCAGGATCGATTATTTACACTCCGCCATCATATAGCTGGAATATTGCTGAGTGCAGGGTTAAAAAACAAACAAACAAACAAACAAACAAACAAACAAACAAACCTGGTCCCCCTTACATGACCTACACAAATCATTAAATGTGACCAACCATGAAATAAAAGACCTTATGGGTGAAAAATCACAGTTTGACTTTTCAATATATTTTAAAACTACAGCATCTTTGGAACACAAAAACACAATTCCCATATTTATTACTGAGATACAAGACATTACACATGGCGATCTTCATTGTTAAGTTGAGGTCAACTGTCTTTATGACGTCATAGCGCAATTGTATCCTAGCACCAATAAGGTCACTTTTCTCCCCGCAGGTCACAGATAGTGTTTTGTAACCATGGTTACCGTGCTCTGCATACTTGTCGGAACCCCTGGAGTCACACACTTGGATCTTCTGTCCTGAAAGGGCTTCACTGAACTCATCAAATGTACGGTACAAGGTGCGGGTCCATTTAGCCTCAAAGTTGCCGACCTACAACACAGCATGCCACTGCAGTAATGAAAATTACCATGCATGAGGGTGGGGTAAGGTGGCTTGGCTTGGGTTGGGTTGGGGTAGGTTGGTGTGGGGTGGGGTGTGTGTGTGTCCCTGTGTGTGTGTTAGCATGTGTGTGTGTGAGTATCTGTGCGTGTGTGTCTGTGTGCGTGTGCTTATGTGTGTGTGAGTGAACATGTGTGTGAGCGTGTGTGTGAGCATGTGTGAGTGTGTGTGCGTGTGAGCGTGTGTGTGTGTGTGTGTGTGTGTGCAGGGGATCTAGCAGGATCGGTAGCCATATCTGTGCTCGTAGACCTCTGCGGCTTTGAACCTTTTCCACAAATTAAAATTTTGGATTTGGCCGAAATATGTTTGAATTGTTACTATGTTTTGTTTTGTCACTGTACATCTGACTGCACTTCGTAACGTTATGACAGGACACACTGTCAACAACGTCTGAACGTGGCCATGACATCTCATAGACTAGGGTTAGAGTAGCTTCCCTTTGACAAAGAGCAATTACTCTAGCGGACAGACCGATGGATTGCCGCAAAAAGGCAAGTAAAAACAATTTTCATGTAGGCAATTGTTGTTTTGCGTATATGTTGTTTCGCCACTGTATAAGAAACATGTTTCAGTTGGAACTATATTGGCTACTGTCATTGTCCGACTGACACATCACTTATCCTGTGACATAATATATATTAATGCGCACATTCCAGGAAAACTTGCAATGTTTCGGTAATGTTTGTGAGAGAAGGAAAGTGATTTTCACCAAGGCTTGCTAAATACAATGTTTATTCCTAATACAGGATATTTACCATCCCCAAACACACTCACTTGATAACCTCTATATATTTTACTTTTACCCACTCTAAACATTTTAGAGCAATATGTCAAAAGTCTAAGAAGTCCAACAGATTGGCCTTAATGATGTATTTTTCCCTAAAACTTAATTAAAACTTTAATGTTTCGTCAGACCTACTTTGTTGCAGCCTAGAATCACATGTGAACCAATCCTCAGCTCAGTGGGTTTTGGAAAATGAACTCATTCCACAGACTGACAATCTCTCGGTGAATCAAACAGCGAGTTCAGTCTGTGTCGATCAGCCATGCTTCTCCTTCACTCACTCACCCGGATGTCTGGCCTGCGTCATTCAGCCATGCTTCTCCTTCACTCACTCACACAGATGTCCAGCCTGCGTCATTCAGCCATGCTTCTCCTTCACTCACTCACCCGGATATCCGGTCTGCGTCATTCAGCCATGCTTCTCCTTCACTCACTCACCCGGATGTCCGGCCTGTGTCATTTAGCCATGCTTCTCCTTCACTCACTCACCCGGATGTCCAGCCTGCGTCATTCAGCCATGCTTCTCCTTCACTCACTCACCCGGATGTCCGGCCTGCGTCTTTCAGCCATGCTTCTCCTTCACTCACTCACCCGGATGTCCGGCCTGCGTCATTCAGCCATGCTTCTCCTTCACTCACTCACCCTGATGTCCGGCCTGTGTCGATCAGCCATGCTTCTCCTTCACTCACTCACCCGGATGTCCGGCCTGTGTCGATCAGCCATGCTTCTCCTTCACTCACTCACTCACCTGGATGTCCGGCCTGCGTCATTCAGCCATGCTTCTCCTTCACTCACTCACCCAGATGTCCGTCCTGTGTCATTCAGCCATGCTTCTCCTTCACTCACTCACCCGGATGTCCAGCCTGTGTCATTCAGCCATGCTTCTCCTTCACTCACTCACCCGGATGTCCGGCCTGCGTCATTCAGCCATGCTTCTCCTTCACTCACTCACCCGGATGTCTGGCCTGCATCATTCAGCCATGCTTCTCCTTCACTCACTCACCCGGATGTCCGGCCTGTGTCATTCAGCCATGCTTCTCCTTCACTCACTCACCCGGATGTCCGGCCTGTGTCATTCAGCCATGCTTCTCCTTCACTCACTCACCCGGATGTCCGGCCTGTGTCATTCAGCCATGCTTCTCCTTCACTCACTCACCCGGATGTCCGGCCTGTGTCATTCAGCCATGCTTCTCCTTCACTCACTCACCCGGATGTCCAGCCTGTGTCATTCAGCCATGCTTCTCCTTCACTCACTCACCCGGATGTCCGGCCTGTGTCATTCAGCCATGCTTCTCCTTCACTCACTCACCCGGATGTCCGGCCTGCGTCATTCAGCGATGCTTCTCCTTCACTCACTCACCCTGATGTCCGGCCTGTGTCGATCAGCCATGCTTCTCCTTCACTCACTCACCCGGATGTCCGGCAAGTGTCGATCAGCCATGCTTCTCCTTCACTCACTCACTCACCTGGATGTCCGGCCTGCGTCATTCAGCCATGCTTCTCCTTCACTCACTCACCCGGATGTCCGGCCTGTGTCATTCAGCCATGCTTCTCCTTCACTCACTCACCCGGATGTCCGGCCTGTGTCATTCAGCCATGCTTCTCCTTCACTCACTCACCCGGATGTCCAGCCTGCGTCATTCAGCCATGCTTCTCCTTCACTCACTCACCCGGATGTCAAGCCTGCGTCATTCAGCCATGCTTCTCCTTCACTCACTCACCAGGATGTCCGGCCTGCGTCATTCAGCCATGCTTCTCCTTCACTCACTCACCCGGATGTCTGGCCTGCATCATTCAGCCATGCTTCTCCTTCACTCACTCACCCGGATGTCCGGCCTGTGTCATTCAGCCATGCTTCTCCTTCACTCACTCACCCTGATGTCCGGCCTGTGTCAACCAGCCATGCTTCTCCTTCACTCACTCACCCAGATGTCCGGCCTGCGTCATTCAGCCATGCTTCTCCTTCACTCACTCACCCTGATGTCCGGCCTGTGTCGATCAGCCATGCTTCTCCTTCACTCACTCACCCGGATGTCCCGCCTGTGTCAGTCAGCCATGCTTCTCCTTCACTCACTCACCCAGATGTCCGGCCTGCGTCATTCAGCCATGCTTCTCCTTCACTCACTCACCCGGATGTCCGGCCTGTGTCAATCAGCCATGCTTCTCCTTCACTCACTCACGCGGATGTCCGGCCTGTGTCATTCAGCCATACTTCTCCTTCACTCACTCACCCGGATGTCTGGCCTGTGTCAATCAGCCATGCTTCTCCTTCACTCACTCACGCGGATGTCCGGCCTGCGTCATTCAGCCATGCTTCTCCTTCACTCACTCACCCGGATGTCCGGCCTGTGTCAATCAGCCATGCTTCTCCTTCACTCACTCACCCAGATGTCCGGTCTGCGTCTTTCAGCCATGCTTCTCCTTCACTCACTCACCCTGATGTCCGGCCTGCGTCATTCAGCCATGCTTCTCCTTCACTCACTCACCCGGATGTCCGGTCTGCGTCATTCAGCCATGCTTCTCCTTCACTCACTCACCCGGATGTCCGGCCTGCGTCATTCAGCCATGCTTCTCCTTCACTCACTCACTCACCCAGATGTCCGGCCTGTGTCATTCAGCCATGCTTCTCCTTCACTCACTCACCCGGATGTCCGGCCTGTGTCATTCAGCCATGCTTCTCCTTCACTCACTCACCCGGATGTCCGGTCTGCGTCATTCAGCCATGCTTCTCCTTCACTCTCTCACCCAGATGTCCGGCCTGTGTCATTCAGCCATGCTTCTCCTTCACTCACTCACCCTGATGTCCGGCCTGTGTCATTCAGCCATGCTTCTCCTTCACTCACTCACCCGGATGTCCGGCCTGTGTCATTCAGCCATGCTTCTCCTTCACTCACTCACCCGGATGTCCGGTCTGCGTCATTCAGCCATGCTTCTCCTTCACTCTCTCACCCAGATGTCCGGCCTGTGTCATTCAGCCATGCTTCTCCTTCACTCACTCACCCTGATGTCCGGCCTGTGTCATTTAGCCATGCTTCTCCTTCACTCACTCACCTGGATGTCCGGCCTGTGTCATTCAGCCATGCTTCTCCTTCACTCACTCACCCAGATGTCCGGCCTGTGTCATTCAGCCATGCTTCTCCTTCACTCACTCACCCAGATGTCCAGCCTGCGTCATTCAGCCATGCTTCTCCTTCACTCACTCACGCGGATGTCCGGCCTGTGTCATTCAGCCATGCTTCTCATTCACTCACTCACCCGGATGTCCGGCCTGTGTCATTCAGCCATGCTTCTCATTCACTCACTCACCCGGATGTCCGGCCTGTGTCATTCAGCCATGCTTCTCCTTCACTCACTCACTCACCCCGATGTCCGGCCTGTGTCATTCAGCCATGCTTCTCCTTCACTCACTCACCCTGATGTCCAGCCTGTGTCATTCAGCCATGCTTCTCCTTCACTCACTCACCCGGATGTCCGGCCTGGTGTCGGTGGTGGGGAAACCTAGAGACTTCCATTTCTGTAAGCCGCCATTTAAGACAGACACCTTTGGGTGTCCACATATCTGAAACAAAGTCACCATCACAGACACTTTTAAAAGACAATCCGTTTTATCCGACACTAGTTATGGGAACCAATTAAATCTGGACTACTCTAGATTATTTAGACCCGTTAATCGACAATATCGCACTCTGACTCCAACACACCTAATTGGCAACGGTTTACCGAAATCAGGCTTGTTAATCCAACACAGTGATCAGCGTGACCCGTGGTCATCTGCCCGCGAGTACACAACGTGTTTGTATCATTATCTATCATGCAGTTGTCTGATTTTCGATCACGACTGCTGATACTACTTAATTTTGTTTATCCGACATACTTGTTAATCAGACCTAATTTTCTGCAACCAACCGTGTCAGGTTGACGGAACTTGACTGTATATCAAAAGAAGTCACTAATATTTCCAAAGAGGTCACTTATATATCCAAAGAGATCACTAATATATCCAAAGAGGTCACTAATATATCCAAAGAGGTAACTAATATATCAAAAGAGGTCACTAATATATCCAAAGAGGTAACTAATATATCAAAAGAGGTCACTAATATATCCAAAGAGGTCACTAATATATCAAAAGAGGTCACTAATATATCCAAAGAGGTCACTAATATATCAAAAGAGGTCACTAATATATCAAAAGGTCACTAATATATCAAAAGAGGTCACTAATATATCCAAAGAGGTCACTAATATATCAAAAGAGGTCACTAATATATCCAAAGAGGTCACTAATATATCAAAAGAGGTCACTAATATATCCAAAGAGGTCACTAATATATCCAAAGAGGTAACTAATATATCAAAAGAGGTAACTAATATATCAAAAGAGGTCACTTATATATCCAAAGAGGTAACTAATATATCAAAAGAGGTAACTAATATATCAAAAGAGGTCACTAATATATCAAAAGAGGTCACTAATATATCCAAAGAGGTCACTAATATATCCAAAGAGGTCACTAATATATCCAAAGAGGTCACTAATATATCCAAAGAGGTAACTAATATATCCAAAGAGGTCACTAATATATCCAAAGAGGTCACTAATATATCAAAATTGTAAAACACCATGTTAAGGCCTTCACTCCCCATGCAGAGAGCTGGGTTCAACCCTTAACTTGCTGACTGTGTGCCCCATCCTCATACTGCTGGCACAAGAAACATCACAAACTATCGACCACACTGGAGCAGCTTCCCAACACAGCTCCATACTCACAATTGTTTAGTTGCCATGGAAACAAAAGGAAACTTTTGAATATAACTGAAGACCAGATGACCTCATCCATCATGTATTTAATGTGTGGACTGGTTGTCTTGCTGCTATATGGAAATAAGATCTTACAGCCACTTCGATCATAGTAGGGAGGGAACAGCATGTCTGCACCTGTTACAATAAATGCATCGGTTCAGTTCCTAAGACCTTGACCTCACCTGGAACGTCCACCACGCGCGGCCTGAGATGAAGAAGCTGCAGTGGTCGGTGTTGCTGTAGATGACGACATGGGAGGTGTTGCTGATGCCAGCGTCCCTAGCTGCCTTCTGGAAGACGTCCAAGGTGGGGATATTTCGAGGATAGAGATCAGTGTTGACGGCCAAGTCCAATACATTGAAGAACACAGATCCTGGAATGTGTTCCCTGAGTGAGTGAGAGTGAGTGAGTGAGTTAATATTTAATACCACATGGGCTGAAATATTTCAACATAGAAAGCTAAGAATGCTTGAAAAATTGATACATCGAAAGTGGGGGTAGCCAAAAAATTTCATAACTATAGGGGGAGGGGGGGGCATGATTGGTTGGTTTGTTGTTTAACGCTGCACTCAGCAATATTCCAGCTATATGAAGGTGGCCTGTGAATAATCAAGTCTGGACCAGACAGTCCAGTGATTGACATCATGAGCATCGATCCACGAAATTGGGATACGATGACATGCATCAACCAAGTCAGCGAGTCTGATAACCCGATCCTGTTAGTCGCCTCTTCAGCCAAGCATAGTCGGCTTTTATGGCAAGCATGGGTTGCTGAAGGCCTTTTCTTCATGAAAAAATGTTACATAAAATGGGGGGGTCAGCAAAATATGATACAGTCCTAAGACCAATCCCACCCCCCTAACCCCAATAACAACGACCAATCCCTCAGGCAGGCAACTTTCCACAGCCTTAGATTGCTCGGCCTCCTGTTATAAAGTATTGATTGTAAACAAGGTTTTGGAGAACAACTGCAATATGTCAGCTTGTTGAACTACCAGCCGTACCATAAATCATGAAACATAGTGATTATCAGCTGAGTGTTTTTACATCATAAACATTCTATGGCAGCCAATAAAAACTTTATTATGCCAGCATTTGATATAATACAAAATTTTCCTTATCAATGATTATGATGATAAATATGTTCAGAAACACACAAATGTAATACTTATTTATCACAGAATGTCATTATTCAAATGCTCAATGCTTAGGACATGTTTTCATTCATCAAAGTAACTTTACAAACCCTGTAGGAATACACTTGAGTAGTGATTGAGTAGGAATACACTTCAGGACTGATTGAGTAGGAATACACTTCAGGACTGATTGAGTAGGAATACACTTCAGGACTGATTGAGTAGGAATACACTTCAGGACTGATTGAGTAGGAATACACTTCAGGACTGATTGAGTAGGAATACACTTCAGGACTGATTGAGTAGGAATACACTTCAGGACTGATTGGGATACACTTCAGAACTGATAGGGTAGGAATACATTCCAGGCCTGATAGGGTAGGAATTCACTTCAGGACTGATTGAGTAGGAATACACTTCAGGACTGATTGGGATACACTTCAGGACTGATAGGGTAGGCATACATTCCAGGACTGATAGGGTAGGAATTCACTTCAGGACTGATTGAGTAGGAATACACTTCAGGACTGATTGAGTAGGAATACACTTCAGGACTGATTGAGTAGGAATACACTTCAGGGCTGATTGAGTAGGAATACACTTCAGGACTGATTGAGTAGGAATACACTTAAGGACTGATTGGGATACACTTCAGGACTGATTGAGTAGGAATACACTTCAGGACTGATTGAGTAGGAATACACTTCAGGACTGATTGGGATACACTTCAGGACTGATTGAGTAGGAATACACTTCAGGACTGATTGAGTAGGAATACACTGCAGGACTGATTGAGTAGGAATACACTTCAGGACTGATTGAGTAGGAATACACTTAAGGACTGATTGGGATACACTTCAGGACTGATTGAGTAGGAATACACTTCAGGACTGATTGAGTAGGAATACACTTAAGGACTGATTGGGATACACTTCAGGACTGATTGAGTAGGAATACACTTCAGGACTGATTGAGTAGGAATACACTTCAGGACTGATTGGGATACACTTCAGGACTGATTGAGTAGGAATACACTTCAGGACTGATTGAGTAGGAATACACTGCAGGACTGATTGAGTAGGAATACACTTCAGGACTGATTGAGTAGGAATTCACTTCAGGACTGATTGCGATACACTTCAGGACTGATTGAGTAGGAATACACTTCTGGACTGATTGCGTAGGAATACACTTCAGGACTGATTGAGTAGGAATACACTTCAGGACTGATTGCGTAGGAATACACTTTAGGACTGATTGCGTAGGAATACACTTAAGGACTGACTGCGTAGGAATACACTTCAGGACTGATTGAGTAGGAATACACTCCAAGACTGATTGAGTAGGAATACACTTCAGGACTGATTGTTTAGGAATACACTTCAGGACTGATTGATCATACTGGGCCAAATGATTGACAGCCATTAAAAGTAGTTCCTGCACGGTGACCTCATTTGCATATTTATCATATTGCAATACCTAGTATATCTGATTGGTTTATAGCAGTAATAACACATCCATAATATAATAAAAATTGTTCCTCTAGAAGAGGTCAATTTGCGAAATCAATGACCCGAGGACCTGCGTACTGAGGTGGTCTGAGTGGACCAAGGCCGCCGGCTGAGGACTGGTCAGACCACTGAATGGGTAGTGTCTGAAGGTCCATGTTTTGGCATATCAACCTCGTCAAGAGTAAACATTTGGTTTGTTATACTGAAATTTACTTTAAAGTTTATGAAGCTTTTAAATCGTCCTCTGTTTCCTTCCAGTAGCTCAGCTTCAAACCACGAAATGTTCGTACCAGACGCCATCTTGTTTCCCAGTCAATATTCATCACTACTGAATATTCAGGTCAATACTGATCATGTGACGAGTTAATATTTGAAGTCACATGATTTAGGGGTCTACATTGAAATGCATTGTTTCATGACGTGGTATGGATTAACCAATGGAATTGCAAGATTCTTAATAGACGTATAACAAGATAAAATAATGACTCCATCTTACTTGAGGTAATCCTTGTGGCAATCCTTGGTGCTGGACCACGACACGTCTAGGACGACGAGATCATTGGGTTGTCTCCCTTCAATCTGACTCTTCAGCCAGTCACATGACACAAGGTTGTCACTCATGCTGTCCCAAACATTTGTTTAACATTGTAAGCATATGGGTTCTCAACCATGCACAGTCTGATATCATTGTTATCATATGGGATCTCAACCATACATTATTCACAAGTCTGATAATATTGTTAGTATATCGGTTTACGAATGGAATGACAGTAAAATCATATATGTGACTTTGATAGAATCCAATACGGTGCAGGCGACACTGAGAATCTCACAACCAACACTTATCTCGACCTGGCAGTCAACTCTTGCAGTCAACTTAAGAGTTGAAAACTTCACTCACCCTGCTTTACTCTCAACTCTACTCTACCTACATGAAACTATACCTACCTGTATAAATGTGTGCTTTACAATAGTAAGATAGAACTGAGACCTGGACACTGCAAGCTACAACTGTCGAGGTGTGTCAGAGTCTAGCCTTGCATGTGAACTTCCGTTACAGTCATATAGGCATTGTAAATCTCCCCAGCCATTCAAGTGTGTTAATGTGTGTTGACAGCAGTGACACAATTACAGTTACCTCCCTTGATATACCAGGGGAGGTAATATGTATGCCTCTTTCTTCTTTGGTATGATGTGATGAGCAGAAGACTTGAGTTCAAATACGTCGCTCGTATTATTTATGATTTTAAAATTTAATATTTTTGGTTTGTTGGTTTGTTTGTTTGTTGTTTAACACCACACTCGGCAATATTCCAGCTATTTGACGAAGGTCTGTAAATAATAGAATCAGCGAGCCTGACCACCCGATCCTGTTAGTCGCCTCTTATGACAAACATAGTCGTCTTTCACAGCAAGCATGGTTGCTGAAGATCTATAAAACATTTTTCTAAATCAAAATGTTTAAAACTAAGCAAGACCATTGTACTAAGGATAAAAAGATTGAAAAACAATATGAAGCAACTGATAAAATATAGTAATTCATTTTGTACCACCAAATAGAAACGAAAAGAAAGCAGTAATGAATTTGAAATATTTCAAAACATAAACTGATTTTTCACTTCGCAGCAATCCAATAATACTGCAGATTGATCCTTGTTACCATGGTAACCACAGGCCAGTTTCACAACTGTCTTCATGCTTTGATGTAGTGAGTGAGTGAGTGAGCGAGCGAGTGGGTGGGTGGGTTGGTAAGTGAGTGGGTGAGTGAGTGAGTGAGTGAGCTGGGTTAAACACCGGTTTGAATTGTATACCCATTATTATCATGAGAATCCATTATCTATGAATATTTACTTTTCATGAAGAATATATTTAAATATAGATAGTTTTCATGAAATGTATATTCATACCTTTTTAATATATTATGTTGCTTGTGTAGAGATTTCTAGTGATTAACACTGACCAATGGTGACTGTATGTAAGCCCTGGTAAACTCACGGCCGAGTAAAGGCTGATGTTATGTAATTGTAGCTTGGCTATTTCTCTTCAAGCTGGAGGAAGACTAAGTGGTCAGTTCCCAGGTAGTGATCAGGTGTAAACTGATGTGCCATGTCGGAGAGATTTGAAACTTTGATTGTGTATGCCATGTCGGCAATGTGGGAACTATGGAGAATAATGGATTATATAAAACATTCACTGGATCTTGTTGGGACAGGAAGGAATATTACACCGTAAAGTAAGACTGTTTTTATTGTGATGATTGCTACTTGACATTGCTGTTTGTGTATAATATGAAGCTTGATTAGACTGCCAGTATTAAAATTGTTTTTAAATTGTTGTGTGATCTCTCCTTGTTATGTATAGAAACTGTATAGTGGATCCACTCATCACATTATCACACAGCATCTCAGCTTGATGTGGAAGCAAAGCCTGAAGCAAGCAAAGCCCGAAGTGATGCAGGTCTCACGTTTACCACTTCGGTGAAACCCACAAGCACGGGTATGGTGCTGACAAACCTAGAAACATAACTGGGGCGAACCGGGATTCGAACCCACAATCATAGGTTTCTGGCGTGCCCAAGGGACGCAACTGTGCACAGCGAATTGCGGCGCCTTAGATGACAGGACCACCCATGCCAGCTTGATGTAAATTTATAACAGGTTTGGTCAAGTTTGTGAAACAGGAGAGGTGTATATACCAAAGATGTATCTATGACCACATCGATGGTGTGAGTAGAACGTCGGCCTGGAGAGTGGTAGGTCAGTATGACCACATCGATGGTGTGAGTAGAACGTCTCCCTGGAGAGTGGTAGGTTAGTATGACCACATCGATGGTGTGAGTAGAACGTCTCCCTGGAGAGTGGTAGGTTAGTATGACCACATCGATGGTGTGAGCAGAACGTCGGCCTGGAGAGTGGTAGGTCAGTATGACCACATCGATGGTGTGAGTAGAACGTCTGCCTGGAGAGTGGTAGGTCAGTATGACCACATCGATGGTGTGAGTAGAAGGTAGGCCTGGAGAGTGGTAGGTCAGTATGACCACATCGATGGTGTTAGTAGAACGTCTGCCTGGAGAACAGTAGGTCAGTATGACCACATCGATGGTGTGAGTAGAACGTCTGCCTGGAGAGTGGTAGGTCAGTATGACCACATCGATGGTGTGAGAAGAACGTCGGCCTGGAGAGCAGAAGGTCAGTATGACCACATCGATGGTGTTAGTAGAATGTCTGCCTGGAGAGTGGTAGGTCAGTATGACCACATCGATGGTGTGAGTAGAACGTCTGCCTGGAGAGTGGTAGGTCAGTATGACCACATCGATGGTGTGAGCAGAACGTCGGTCTGGAGAGTGGTAGGTCAGTATGACAACATCGATGGTGTGAGTAGAACGTCGGTCTGGAGAGTGGTAGGTCAGTATGACCACATCGATGGTGTGAGTAGAACGTCTGCCTGGAGAGTGGTAGGTCAGTATGGCCCCATCGATGGTGTGAGTAGAATGTCGGTCTGGAGAGTGGTAGGTCAGTATGACCACATCGATGGTGTGAGTAGAATGTCGGTCTGGAGAGTGGTAGGTCAGTATGACCACATCAATGGTGTGAGTAGAACATCTGCCTGGAGAGTGGAAGATCAGTATGACCACATTGATGGTGTGAGTAGAACGTCTGCCTGGAGAGTGGTAGGTCAGTATGACCACATCGATGGTGTGAGTAGAACGTCGGTCTGGAGAGTGGTAGGTCAGTATGACCACATCGATGGTGTGAGCAGAACGTCTGCCTGGGGAGTGGTAGGTCAGTATGACCACATCGATGGTGTGAGTAGAACGTCGGTCTGGAGAGTGGTAGGTCAGTATGACCACATCGATGGTGTGAGTAGAACATCTGCCTGGAGAGTGGTAGGTCAGTATGGCCCCATCGATGGTGTGAGTAGAATGTCGGTCTGGAGAGTGGTAGGTCAGTATGACCACATCGATGGTGTGAGTAGAATGTCTGCCTGGAGAGTGGTAGGTCAGTATGACCACATCGATGGTGTGAGTAGAACATCTGCCTGGAGAGTGGAAGGTCAGTATGACCACATCGATGGTGTGAGTAGAACGTCTGCCTGGAGAGTGGTAGGTCAGTATGACCACATCGATGGTGTGAGTAGAACGTCGGTCTGGAGAGTGGTAGGTCAGTATGACCACATCGATGGTGTGAGTAGAACGTCGGCCTGGAGAGTGGTAGGTCAGTATGACCACATCGATGGTGTGAGTAGAACGTCGGTCTGGAGAGTGGTAGGTCAGTATGACCACATCGATGGTGTGAGTAGAAGGTCTGACTGGAGAGTGGTAGGTCAGTATGACCACATCGATGGTGTGAGTAGAACGTCTGCGTGGAGAGTGGTAGGTCAGTATGACCACATCAATGGTGTGAGCAGAACGTCGGCCTGGAGAGTGGTAGGTTAGTATGACCACATCGATGGTGTGAGTAGAACGTCTGCCTGGAGAGTGGTACGTAAGTATGACCACATCGATGGTGTGAGTAGAACGTCGGCCTGGAGAGTGGTAGGTCAGTATGACCACATCGATGGTGTGAGTAGAACGTCGGCCTGGAGAGTGGTAGGTCAGTATGACCACATCGATGGTGTGAGTAGAACGTCTGCCTGGAGAGTGGTAGGTCAGTATGACCACATCGATGGTGTGAGTAGAACGTCTGCCTGGAGAGTGGTAGGTCAGTATGACCACATCGATGGTGTGAGTAGAATGTCTGCCTGGAGAGTGGTAGGTCCATGTCATGTCATGTCATGATGTCATGTCTGAGTGAGGTATACATGTCACTGTCATGTCTGAGTGAGGTATCCATGTCCCTGTCATGTCTGTCTGAGGTATCCATGTCATGATGTCATGTCTGAGTGAGGTATCCATGTCACTGTCATGTCTGTGTGAGGTATCCATGTCACAATGTCATGTCTGAGTGAGGTATCCATGTCATGATGTCATGTCTGAGTGAGGTATCCATGTCACTATGTCATGTCTGAGTGAGGTATCCATGTCACTGTCATGTCTGAGTGAGGTATCCATGTCACTGTCATGTCTGAGTGAGGTATCCATGTCACAATGTCATGTCTGAGTGAGGTGTCCATGTCACAATGTCATGTCTGAGTGAGGTGTCCATGTCACTGCCATGTCTGAGTGAGGTATCCATGTCACAATGTCATGTCTGAGTGAGGTATCCATGTCATGATGTCATGTTTGAGTGAGGTATCCATGTCACTGTCATGTCTGAGTGAGGTATCCATGTCACTGTCATGTCTGAGTGAGGTATCCATGTCACTGTCATGTCTGAGTGAGGTATCCATGTCACTGTCATGTCTGAGTGAGGTATCCATGTCACTGTCATGTCTGAGTGAGGTATCCATGTCACTGTCATGTCTGAGTGAGGTGTCCATGTCACGATGTCATGTCTGAGTGAGGTGTCCATGTAACGATGTCATGTCTGAGTGAGGTGTCCATGTCACTTTGTCATGTCTGAGTGAGGTATCCATGTCACTGTCATGTCTGAGTGAGGTATCCATGTCACTGTCATGTCTGAGTGAGGTGTCCATGTCACTATGTCTGAGTGAGGTATCCATGTCACTGTCATGTCTGAGTGAGGTATCCATGTCACTGTCATGTCTGAGTGAGGTATCCATGTCACTGTCATGTCTGAGTGAGGTATCCATGTCACTGTCAAGTCTGAGTGAGGTATCCATGTCACTATGTCATGTCTGAGTGAGGTGTCCATGTCACTATGTCATGTCTAAGTGAGGTGTCCATGTCACTGTCATGTCTAAGTGAGGTGTCCATGTGACAATGTCATGTCTGAGTGAGGTATCCATGTCACTGTCATGTCTAAGTGAGGTGTCCATGTCACTATGTCATGTCTGAGTGAGGTATCCATGTCACTGTCATGTCTGAGTGAGGTATCCATGTCACTATGTTATGTCTGAGTGAGGTGTCCATGTCACTATGTCATGTCTGAGTGAGGTGTCCATGTCACTATGTTATGTCTGAGTGAGGTATCCATGTCACTGTCATGTCTGAGTGAAGTATCCATGTCACTATGTTATGTCTGAGTGAGGTATCCATGTCACTATGTTATGTCTGAGTGAGGTATCCATGTCACTATGTTATGTCTGAGTGAGGTATCCATGTCACTATGTCCGAGTGAGGTATCCATGTCACTATGTCATGTCTGAGTGAGGTATCCATGTCACTGTCATGTCTGAGTGAGGTATCCATGTCACTGTCATGTCTGAGTGAGGTATCCATGTCACTATGTCATGTCTGAGTGAGGTGTCCATGTCACTATGTCATGTCTGAGTGAGGTATCCATGTCAATATGTCATGTCTGAGTGAGGTATCCATGTCACTATGTCATGTCTGAGTGAGGTATCGATGTCAGTGTCATGTCTGAGTGAGGTGTCCATGTCACTATGTCATGTCTGAGTGAGGTATCGATGTCACTATGTCATGTCTAAGTGAGGTGTCCATGTCACTATGTCTGAGTGAGGTATCCATGTCACTGTCATGTCTGAGTGAGGTATCCATGTCACTATGTCATGTCTGAGTGAGGTGTCCATGTTACTATGTCATGTCTGAGTGAGGTATCGATGTCACTATGTCATGTCTGAGTGAGGTATCCATGTCACTATGTCATGTCTGAGTGAGGTGTCCATGTCACTATGTCATGTCTGAGTGAGGTGTCCATGTCACTGCCATGTCTGAGTGAGGTATCCATGTCACTATGTCATGTCTGAGTGAGGTATCCATGTCACTGTCATGTCTGAGTGAGGTATCCATGTCACTATGTCATGTCTGAGTGAGGTGTCCATGTCACTATGTTATGTCTGAGTGAGGTGTCCATGTCACTGTCATGTCTAAGTGAGGTGTCCATGTCACTATGTCATGTCTGAGTAAGGTATCGATGTCAGTGTCATGTCTGAGTGAGGTATCCATGTCACTGTCATGTCTGAGTGAGGTATCCATGTCACTGTCATGTCTGAGTGAGGTATCGATGTCACTATGTCATGTCTGAGTGAGGTATCCATGTCAGTGTCATGTCTGAGTGAGGTATCCATGTCAGTGTCATGTCTGAGTGAGGCATCGATGTCAATATGTCATGTCTGAGGGAGGTATCGATGTCACTATGTCATGTCTGAGTGAGGTATCCATGTCACTATGTCATGTCTGAGTGAGGTATCGTGGAACCAAACAAAAGATATGATTAATGGGGTAAATTAAAGTCTTTTCCTTTGAGTTTTGTTTGGTCAGATTTTTCATAGATGTTTTTGGATGGCAAGAGATGTACCCAACAGCCTCCCCTGGTAGTTTCTGCCAGCTATAGAGCTTGGTATTTTCAACTTAAATAAAGCGTCAGAGTCATATAGACCTTGGTTTTGAACACAAGGATACACCACATACAATGTTTTGTATGGAACAAAGTAGGACGTGATCATCATGAGAAGGATACATGCCAGAGCTGTTCTTTCTCAGACTGGCCATTTCAGAGATGTTTACACAACCAAAACTACATTTGGAGATAGTCTAAGAGCATTCTATAACATTTTCAGGTCAGCACTGGCCATAAATACCTTCATCAACATAGCTACCATGATCATATTGAAAATCAGATTCGAACCTCTTCAACAAATTCAAGATTAATCATTGGTGGGAACAAGTATGTGATGTTTACAATGTGATGATGTTTACAATGACGTTTACAATGTGATGATGTTTACAATGTGTTCATGTTTACAATGTGATGTTTACAATGACGTTTACAATGCGATGATGTTTACAATGCGATGATGTTTACAATGTGATGATGTTTACAATTTGATGATGTTTACAATGTGTTGATGTTTACAATGTGATGATGTTTCCAATGTGATGATGTTTATAATGTGGTGCTGTTGTCAATGTGATGTTGTTTACAATTTGATGTTTCCAATGCGATGATGTTTCCAATGTGATGATGTTGACAATTTGATGTTTCCAATGCGATGCTGTTTACAATGTGATGCTGTTTACAATGTGATGATGTTTACAATGTGATGATGTTTACAATGTGATGTTGTTTACAATGTGTTGTTGTTTACAATGTGATGTTTACAATGTGTTGATCTTTACAAGTGATGTTGTTTACAATACGATGCTGTTTACAATGTGTTGATGTTTACAATGTGATGATGTTGACAATTCGATGTTTACAATGTGATGATGTTTGCAATGTGATGATGTTTACAATGTGATGATGTTTACAATGTGATGTTTTATTTGTGAAGATGTTTACAATGAAGATATATTTTACAATGTGATGTTCACAATGTGATGTTTACAATGTGATGATCTTTACAATGTGATGATGTTTCCAATGTGATGATCTTTACAATGTGATGATCTTTACAATGTTATGATGTTTCCAATGTGATGATCTTTACAATGTGATGATGTTTGCAATGTGATGTTTACGATGTGATGTTTACAATGTGAAGATGTTTACAATGTGCTGATGTTTACAATCAGCTGATGTTTCCAAGGTGATGTTGACAATGTGATGATGTTGACAATGTGATGATGTTGACAATGTGATGATGTTTACAATGTGATGATGTTGACAATGTGATGATGTTGACAATGTGACGTTCACAATATGATGTTGTTTACAATATGTTTACAATGCATATGTGATGTTGTTTACAATGTGAGGTTCACAATGTGATGTTTACAATGTGATGTTCACAATGTGATGATGTTTACAATGTGATGTTCACAATGTGATGATGTTTACAATGTGATGATGTTGACAATGTGATGATGTTGACAATGTGATGATGTTGACAATGTGCTGATGTTTATAATGTGAAGATATTTACAATGTGATGATGTTGACAATGTGATGATGTTTACAATGTGATGATGTTGACAATGTGATGATGTTGACAATGTGCTGATGTTTATAATGTGAAGATATTTACAATGTGATTGTTTACAATGTGATGTTTACAATTTGATGTTCACAATGTGATGATGTTTACAATATGATGTTTACAATGTGACGTTCACAATGTGATGTTGTTTACAATGTTTACAATATGTTTACAATGTGATGTTGTTTACAATATGATGATGTTTACAATGTGATGTTCACAATGTGATGATGTTTACAATATGATGATGTTTACAATGTGATGTTTACAATGTGATGATGTTTACAATGTGATGTTCACAATGTGATGATGTTTACAATATGATGATGTTTACAATGTGATGTTTACAATATGATGATGTTTACAATGTGATGTTCACAATGTGATGATGTTTACAATATGATGATGTTTACAATGTGATGTTTACAATATGATGATGTTTACAATGTGATGTTCACAATGTGATGATGTTTACAATATGATGATGTTTACAATGTGATGTTCACAATGTGATGTTTACAATATGATGATGTTTACAATGTGATGTTGTTTACAATATGATGATGTTCACAATGTGATGTTTACAATATGTTTACAATGTGATGTTTACAATGTGATGTTTACAATATGATGATGTTTACAATATGATGATGTTTACAATGTGACGTTCACAATATGATGTTGTTTACAATATGTTTACAATGTGATGTTGTTTACAATGTGATGTTCACAATGTGATGATGTTTACAATGTGATGTTCACAATGTGATGATGTTTACAATATGATGATGTTTACAATGTGACGTTCACAATGTGATGTTGTTTACAATATGATGATGTTCACAATGTGATGTTTACAATATGATGTTTACAATATGATGATGTTTACAATGTGACGTTCACAACGTGATGTTTACAATATGTTCACAATGTGATGATGTTTACAATATGATGTTTACAATGTGATGTTCACAATGTGATGATGTTCACAATCTGATGTTTACAATGTGATGATGTTTAAAATGTGATGTTTACAATATGATGATGTTTACATTGTGACGTTCACAATGTGATGTTGTTTACATTATGATGTTTACAATGTGATGTTGTTTACAATGTGATGTTGTTTACAATGTGATGTTTACAATGTGATGTCTCCAATGTGATGATGTTTAAAATGTGATGTTTACATTGTGACGTTCACAATGTGATGTTGTTTACATTATGATGTTTACAATGTGATGTTGTTTACAATGTGATGTTGTTTACAATGTGATGTTTACAATGTGATGTCTCCAATGTGATGATGTTTACAATATGATGTTTACAATGTGATGATGTTTACAATGTGATGTTCACAATGTGATGTTTACAATATGATGATGTTGACAATATGATGATGATTACAATGTGATGTTCACAATGTGATGTTTACAATATGATGATGTTTACAATGTGATGTTTACAATGTGATGTTTACAATGTGATGTTCACAATGTGATGTTTACAATATGATGATGTTTACAATGTGACATTTACAATGTGACGTTTACAATGTGATGTTGTTTACAATATGATGATGTTCACAATGTGATGATGTTTACAATGTGATGTTTACAATATGATGATGTTCACAATGTGATGTTTACAATATGATGTTTACAATGTGATGATGTTTACAATGTGATGTTCACAATGTGATGATGTTTACAATGTGATGTTCACAATATGATGATGTTTACAATGTGATGTTCACAATGTGATGATGTTTACAATGTGATGTTCACAATGTGATGATGTTTACAATGTGATGTTTACAATATGATGATGTTTACAATGTGATGTTCACAATATGATGATGTTTACAATGTGATGTTCACAATGTGATGATGTTTACAATATGATGATGTTTACAATGTGACGTTCACAATGTGATGTTGTTTACAATATGATGTTTACAATGTGATGTTTACAATGTGATGATGTTTACAATGTGATGTCTCCAATGTGATGATGTTTACAATGCAAGGAAAGTCATATTGACGACGGACAGTCAGACCATGACACAAGCTCTCTTGAAGAGCCAGCAAGAAGCATGACGACCTGGTGAAGTATATTTTATTGATTACAAATGACCTGCAGGAGGCAGATAACAACAGTGTCCAGAGTTCCGGTGTGCTAAAGTAAATAGTGCTTCTCAGACATGTTTGTTTACTACTTTCACACCGATCAGCTTGGACAAATCAGTAATTAATTTTAAAAAACATCACCTCAATTCAAAACATCAACAAAAGGGGGGCCAATAAACATGGTGAAGGAACAAACAGAACCAACCACCTGACGGAGGGGGGCATTTAAAAAATATATATCCTTATCCCGAATGGCAGGGAAACAATAGTTTGTCCTTGAGTTTTACCAAAACATACATCATTCACTGGACATTGTGGGCGTTCAGAAACATCACCCTCCTTGAAAACATGCCAATCACATATATCCTGTATATCGTGGAGACTCAGATGTGCTGATTCAGATCTGTACACACAAACCTTGTTTCTAAGACATTAACAGAATACATCTGTTCAACAAGTCATCCATCCTTCCATGCTCAGAAGTGAAAATGATCATGGATATGAAATGTATTGTCAGGCTTCTGGTTTAAACAATAATAATGATAATCTTGATATGTATCACACTGTGGCCACATGTTGGTATTATCTGATTTGTTTTATGACCTTAAGAACCAATGGTTGGGGCTGTCCGTGAAAAACAAAATATTAATAACCATGAAAAATTAGTCTCCTAAAACCTGATGAGACTAGACTAACATACAGTCAATGAAATCCTTTAATATTTGACATACAGGTAGAATGATCGTGTGTGAAAACCTTCAGATATTTGCACATGTGCATTTTAGCGATTCTCAATGCTGATTGGTCAACTATGCCATAATACTATGGAGGAGAGATAATAAAAACAAAACAAACATTGTTTTGGTTCATGTAACATGAACATTTAGCATAAACCTCCCATGCTTTGCGGAAAACAGATCGTGGCATTCGCTTCACGTGCCGAAAATGGATTCTGACACATGATGCATTGCAATCGTCAGTGTAGGGTTTTTGTTCGTTGGAGCAAGACACACTTTACCTTTGTGGTCGTAGACCAATATTCGTGGTCTTTATAGAAACTAGATGGACAAATATTCGTGGTCCTTAGAAAAGTAAAGTGTGTACTTGCTCCAATAGTTAATTATTAATTCCTACATTCATGGTCATTGACCTTCCATAGTTTTCATTTCAGAACAGAATCACGTTTAGTTCATATGTCATAAGAAGAGAATCATGTTTAGTTCCCCATTAATTGTATAATTTCAAGTGGAGTTGGAAAGACGAAAGGTACACAAGTGAACGTCGCATCCACTGTGCAACGGCTTCTATATGAAGAAACATCTGACATCCATTGTTCACAACGTCACAAACTGATTACATTTTGTCATCGGAACATTAGGCTGCCTTCAGTGACGTTTCTCTGTAGGGCTGACATTCCAAATGTTTTTCTTCCTTTACTCTCTTAGAATATAAATGAGTAATTACTGAGTATAACGTACTTGAAACTCAGAACTGCTGGAACCAACGAGCTATAAGGAACTATGGATTATCTGTCCCCAGTGTCTGAATGGTTGTCATCCCGAGTCTTTGGCGAGGGACTGTAAGTTTTCATCTGCAAGGGACAGTTAATCCGTAATTCCGGGTTTCGAAGAGGTTAGTCTACATATTACACATTCACATTTGAAGAAAGAAGATGAGGAAAAATCATATAAAATGTCACCCCTACAGAGAAATGTCACTGAAGGCCGGTTAATGTTCAGATGATGTCATGCAAAGTCATGAATGATGTCATGTCAAATTTTTATCAACAATGGGTGAGTGAGTTGGGTTTCACGACGCTTTAAAAAGTATTCCAGTTATATCACAGCATGTCAGTTTAATGTGGGAGGAAAGCCCAAAGTGAAACCTACAAGCATGGGTATGGTGCAGACAAACCAAGAAACATAATCAGGGCGAACCAGGATTCAAACCCACAAACATAGGTTTCTGGCGTGCCCAAGAGACACAACTCTGCACAGTGAATTACGGGCCTTAGGCGACTGGGTTTCAACAATGAAGCACTGTGACTTCATATGACTTCAGTTGATTGACCAATCAGCATTAAGAATCATTCAAGTGTTAGAAACGAACGACGGTACTGACGTCCTTGAGGTCTGCTGCAGTAGTAGAATCTAGGAAGCATCAAGATGTATTTTGTTTAGGCCATTTTGTTTGATAAATTAATTACTAGATTAACATCCCCACGTGACTCACCTATAATCCCCCAAGTGAAATGTTTAGAGCACTGTAACAACATCAGCTGTCAAAGGGCCATTTCATATTTACGACATGCCGTAAACTGGTCTACAACCGACTCTCGGTGCCTGCCTGCCTATCGGCTGCTTGATGTCAGCTGTCAAGAAGGTGCTTGCTATTTTGAAAATACGAGAGGGTGTGTAAACCCTTAAAGACTTGTACGCCTGCCCTTTGACTCTTCAACAAGTTTGCTTGTTGGGAATTTAACAGGTTAACGTCAATTGAGGATAAACTCATAAACGCACAAGTACATGGAAATCAAAAATAGGTTTGACACAGATACATCAGACTGCTACTTTTGAAATCAATGCTAATTTATTATTTTCATCATTGTCATCTATTGTTCATACCAAGGTGTCCAGTCTTCAACTTGACCATTTTAATAGAAAAAAATAAAATAAATAAAAAGCCTCCCTCCCCACGTTTGAACAAAAAGTGGATGATAATCTATCAATTAATTTATAATGGCCTATCATAAAGTTTCAGCCAAGGATCCTTGACTTTCACTCTGAATTTCGAACACTGCAATGTATGGGACATGTTAAACCACTGACAGCCCTACCATTGCCGACATTATATACGAAACTGATTATCAACACACGGGGTATCATCCTCACTTATCAGTGGTGTTAAATAGTTCCACTTCCTGTTTATGCATTGAACAGAGGGAGGAACTGTTGAACATAGCGTCTACACACCGGGCACTTTTTCGGGGAGGGAAGTCGCTCAGCACAGTTGGAACAAACACACACATGCCGACAGTCCATGATTATAACACTCCTTCTACTCGAAAGACAGACCACACACTGTTGATTGGAGTCAGAACCATCAGAGTCAGGAAGGCTGTGATCATTAGTCGCCCGAATCAGGGCAAATGCCGCCTGCTGTTGGCGAATATCTTTCCACTTCCTGTAAAACTTCCACAGGATGAAAAACAACACTCCAGAACTCACTGCTCCAAACAGAACTGTCAGAAACTTGTAAACATATGCCTGGGATTCAAACTTGCGGACTACTGATGCTTTACTTAATTTGGTCAGTATGAACCTGGAACCATCACATGGCGGCCCGATCATCGCCTTCCCATCCTCCAGACAAAGTTCCCCGATCCCCCGCAGACTGGTGCCGACCAACAACATCTTCTCTGTGTCCTGGATGCCCTTCGACACTTCGCCAAAGATTCGGTCAATGCCACTTTGGAGCAGGGATGATTTGCCTGGCTCGAAATGGTCAAAAGTGACAGTGAGTTCGTCTTGAAGGAGGTCCGCGCTCAGCGCCTCATTCACGTAGACCTCAAGTTCACCCTTCGGTGGCTCCACCAACTTGAAGGGAACGGCTTCCAACGTGTCCTGCATGATTTTCTTGGCGTCGGACCTGGAACACAGGAACTCTGCTGATGGACAACCTACAAGATCATGTTTAGTGAGAACGTCTATCAACCTTCAGCTGCTCAACCATGGGGACCTTCCCTGACTAAATAATCGCAACATACATGACGAATGTGTTAAGCCAGCACGTTAGATTAGCATTTGGCTATTTGGGTATTTTACCCAGGGGTTTGATATTGATTGGGTATCCACAGTTTTTAGAGGGTATTCCAAAAGATTTTACCCACCTGTTTCTTGACATTTTGGTATTTTAACTTGAGAACCAGTTTCGTAGTAAACCCTGTAAATCATTTAAAACTATAGGAATAGTAGTATACCTGTCTGCGTCTGCTTGCGGCTACCACTCTGGGAAGCCATTTTTGTTTGCAAAACCTAGCATTGTAAGAAAGGTGCTATTTCTTCACTCACCAGTCAGTGACTGTTGAAGAAACAACATGTACATTGACTAGGCAGGATGTGCTATTTAATTGGCATCTAATAGTTGTGTCGTATTGTGCACCTGTGTCGTATTGTGCACCTGTGTCGTGTTGTGCACCTGTGTCGTGTTGTGCACCTGTGTCGTGTTGTGCACCTGTGTCGTGTTGTGCACCTGGGTCTTATTGTGCACCTGTGTCGTGTTGTGCACCTGTGTCGTATTGTGCACCTGTGTCATATTGTGCACCTGTGTCGTATTGTGCACCTGTGTCATATTGTGCACCTGTGTCGCATTGTGCACCTGTGTCGTGTTGTGCACCTGTGTCCTATTGTGCACCTGTGTCGCATTGTGCACCTGTGTCATATTGTGCACCTGTGTCGTGTTGTGCACCTGTGTCATATTGTGCACCTGTGTCGTGTTGTGCACCTGTGTCGTGTTTTGCACTACATGAATGTACACAGCTGAATCATCTGGTGTTCCTAACTGCGAATGATTTCCTACAGCGTTTGATGTCCTCTTGTGTACAACATCTTCCCGAGTCAAGGGTGTTAACCAACTATAAAAGTCCAGTTCCCAACCTGGAATTTCCCGGATCGTTCATAGCGCCACCAGTGGCTATTACAAGTTATGTCCCTTCTATGTCCCTCCTACTGACCAATCAGATTCTATCTCTCATATCACTTGCATTTGATTCAAACAAAATGGCAGCGCCCAGTCAAAATGATCTGATCAATATTGTTATATAATGGGTCTTAACCCGCAAAGTGCATCAGATCACTTGAGCACCTGATACAAACATGAAAAGATTTGCAAAATATCTGTCGATGCCTAGATGGCATTACATATGTTTTGCATATCCTGCAGTTAACCGAAATCTGCAGGTTGAAATTCATGTTGTTTATGAACTGGAAGTCGATTTCATTACACGATTTTGATTGGACAATGCATAGACTCATTAGTCCAACCAACATGTCACTCCAGAATTCTAGCCTAGTTTGGCAAGGGTGGGAACTGGACTTTTATAGCCCTTGCCTCGGGAAAATGGTGTACAATGACATTCTTAATGTGGCTATTTGTTACGGCCAAAATGATAAATTTATTATTTGGTATTTATGTGTTCTCGTGAGACTGTCCGAGAATTGCTATGGTTAACCCCAGCACATATAGCAGTGATTTATTGTCAATCTTTTTAGCGGGTTGCAATTTTAGTGGTTACAAAGGGGAATAACTGCTGGGATGTTGTATGTTATATTTTGGGAGTATGTCGCCTGCCTGCCTGCCTGCCATCATGGCTATGTGGGTTGTATTTATTTGGAAGACAGATGGTCTACAAACGGTATGAATTACTTTATTAGAATTCTTTACTTGCCAGCATTTTGTGTTAATATTATTAACTTATCAGCAGCACTTTCTACAGTATTCAGTCACGTTATTTAGTATGTATTTTCACATGGCTTTTGAAGCTGTTTGGTGCATTTAAAACTCGCTCGCTTTGCACGAGGTGTAAAAATAGATTTCTCAAGAGGTTGTTTTGCAAGGGCATTTCAAACTTATTATTTAACAATAAAAGCATATTTATAGAAATCTTGGTAATATGACGACACTGACATGGTTCTGTTCTGTAGTATATCACAACACAGGAATTTGAATACCCAGATACCTCCCTTCACAACACTTAAGCTCTCACCAGTCTTCCAACACAACACTTAAGCTCTCACAAACAGAGCTCCAGATAAGCTGCGTATCTGCGTAAAATACGCATCAGAAATGCAGAAATATGCAGTAAAATAAAATCCAAGCGTATCAAATACGCAACAAACATTACAGATACGCTACAAAAATAAAACTTGTGTGTATCATCAAAATATTGTGAAGAAACCCTGCGTATTTGATTAGCAAATCAGCAACTTGTTTTGAAATTATAAACGGGCGTTCCGATCATTTGCCATCACACTTTCTTCTGGAAGTATCGTGGCATTTTTGAGTCTCTCTAAACTAAAGCACTCAAACCACCTAGACACCAGTTTGCAGGGACTAGATGAATAGTGTTTTTAAATATTTAACTTAAATTCCCACACGTGTAAAAACTAGTGGGTAACAGGAACTTGAATACTCAGATACCTCCCTTCACAACACTTAAGCTCTCACCAGTCTTCCAACACAACACTTAAGCTCTCACCAACCTCCCTAAACAACACTTAAGCTCTCACCAGTCTCCCAACACAACACTTAAGCTCTCACCAACCTCCCTACACAACACTTACTCTCTCACCAGTCTCCCAACACAACACTTAAGCTCTCACCAACCTCCCTACACAACACTTACTCTCTCACCAGCCTCCCTACACAACACTTAAGCTCTATCCAACCTCGATACACAACACTTAAGCTCTATCCAACCTCGATACACAACACTTACGCTCTCACCAGCCTCCCTACTCCACACTTAAGCTCTCACCAATCTCCCTACTCAACACTTAAGCTCTCACCAATCTCCCTACACAACACTTAAGCTCTCACCAGCCTCCCCACACAACACTTAAGCTCTATCCAACCTCGATACACAACACTTAAGCTCTCACCAGCCTCCCCACACAACACTTCAGCTCTCACCAACCTCCCTACACAACACTTCAGCTATCACCAACCTCCCAACACAACACTTAAGCTCTCACCAGCCTCACCACACAACACTTTGGCTCTCACCAACCTCCCTACACAACACTTAAGCTCTCACCAACCTCCCTACACAACACTTAAGCTCTCACCAATATCCCTGCACCCTCTTTGACTTGTGCTCCACCTTCTGTATGTGCTGGATGACGCCCTTCATGGTGCCGTGGACGCTGACCAGCTGCTGGAAGTACGGGTCCACGATTCCCTCCACCGTCGCGTACGCCAGCCGGTTGTCATTGTCCCGCAAAACATCATGCAGGTCCTTCAGCGGAATGTTCCGGGCGTTCTGAACAGAAGAAGACCATCTTTAGCCACGAAGGCAGGTTGTCAGGGAGGGGTAGACTCAGCCAGGGAATGTCTATTAGTAACACTGTTTCCCATCCTGGGACTCGGACATTATATGGCTGCTACGTATAGATACGAATAAATGTATTTGTGAAAAATGGGTGGTACGTATGTCGGGTATGTTTTACAGGTAGGAACGCAATGCCATTTGGAAGGTGGTCAAATGTAACAAATGGTATGTTTGCGATAACACTTTCTTAGAAAAGTACAGATTTTAGAACTTTTTTTGGTTGAGTCCCATCCAGGCTTTGAACCCACACTGGGGTGAGGCACCAAATCGCCAACACACAAAGTCAACGATCTAACCCACTTAGCCACCGAGGCTTCCACAAAATGAAAGTCCGACAACTGGTAGTCTATATCAATACCTTGTGTTCCCCTCTGAATCCTGGATGGGAAAAAATTGGAGCTACCAAAAAAGGACAAGTATATGTACTTTACTAAGAAAGTGTTATCCCAAATATATCTTGTTATATGTTTAACAGGTAGTTGGCCCCTGCAGGCAGGACAAGGGGTGGAGTATTAACAGAAGAGGATTAACAGCAACAACAATTGCATACATGAGTGGGATAACATGAAATCGAAATCCAGTTTGTAAACTATTGTGCAGATTTTGGACGATTTGCAAAGTGTGTGCATCGCCAATGTGCTTCTCGATGTAAGACCTGTTTTATCACCCAAAACATCTTGATGATCGATCAGATCATCTTGAGTGGGCGCCGCCATTTTGTTTGAAACAAATGCAAGTTATGAAATCAGATTGGTCCATAGGAGAGGCTTAGAAGGGACATAACCCGTAATAACTACTGGTGGCACCAAGATCGAGCCCAGGAATTCCAGCCTAGTTTGGCAAGGGTGGAAACTGGACTTTTAAAGTCTTTTTAACTCTCTTGCCTCGGGAAAATGGGTGTCTGCAGTCGTTTTAATGTGGAGACACATTAATTTCAAGATTTACAGTATTACATATTAGTATGTTATGTACCATGTCACTGGATAGTCTACTACTCCCCTGCAACCTCATCATGACAGCTGACATTACAACATCCCTGTCATATTGCTACGGTACACATCCTCACATCAACATAAATAACAGATCAGGGTTTATGAGTAGAGTCTGGGACTGGGACAAACGGGCAGTAGCAATCTAAGGGACGCAACTCTGTACAGTGTATCAGTCCACTGCCACATTACCTGCCCCTGGAGAACTATCAGGGTGGTCAGATTGTTACCATGGTTACGTTCAGTTCGCATAATGCCAGCTTCTTTGTTGATCTAGACAGTCTAGAAGTCTACATCACCTTGACGCTATCGTCTTCCCTGCATAAAGTTTAATTGTTTGTTGTTTAACGCTGCACTCAGCAATATTCCAGCTATATGACAGTGGCCTCTAAATAATCAAGCCTGGACCAGATAATCCTGTGAGTAACATTGTGAATGATCCATGCCGTTGTGGTACAATGACACGTACGCTTTCAACCAAGTCAGCGAGCTTGACCACCTGATCCACTTAACCACCACTGGTTGTTGGAGATCTATACTTCTAACCCAGAATCCCCATGGGAGCCATGAAGAGCAGAGAATACGTCTTCCATGCTTGTCGTAAAAGGCGACTATGCTTGTCGTATGAGGTTACTAACGGGATCGGGTGTTCATGATCACTGACTTGGTTGATGCATGTCATCGTATCCCAAATGCGTAATTCGATGATATTGATGTCAGTCACTGGATTGTCTGGTCCAGACTTCATTATTTACAGACTGTCGTCATATGGCAGAATGTTGCTGAGTGCGGCGTAAACAGAAAACAGTGTTTTGACAAGGGAACAAGTTTAGTCTAATCACTACTTTCGTTTCTATTCTACGTTGGTTGTCAATGTCATTCTGAAGACGAGGTGAGTGCTTCTTACCCTAACTCTGTCAGCTGTCCGCTCACGGCTGGAGTAGAGTTTGTAGAACAATGTGGTCAGCAGTCCAGTGACGCCAAGGGTAAATGTCGCTACTTTCTCAGAAATATCCAAACCCATGATCAGTGTCAGACCCACACGTCGGTCAGCCGGTCCGGAAGTAACGGTGGGATTAACCCAAACCGGCAACATGTCAAAACGGAGATGACAATGTAGATCAAAACGGCAAGAACACAACCCAAACCGGCACCATGTCAAAACGGAATATGTCTCTCTTTCCCCCCTGTCTTATGTGGTGATCTAAACAAGTGTGCCCACAGTTGTATACAGCCAAGATTCATTAGGTTGGTTTAGTGCTGACGATCCTGCAATTTCTCCAACAATATGGGATCGAGGGGGCACGGGTGGCCCAATCAATGCGCCGCAATTCGTTGCACGCCAGATTCTATGATTGTGAGTGAGTGAGTGAGTGAGTGAGTATGGTTTTACGCCGCTTTTAGCAATATTCCAGCAATATCACGGCGGGGGACACCAGAAATGGGCTTCACACATTGTACCCATGTCGGGAATCGAACCCGGGTCTACTTGTGGGTTTCCCTAAAGTGGTAAATTTCTGAGACTTGCATCACTCCTGGCTCCCCCACGCTGTTGTTGTTGTTGTTGTTGTTGTTGCTGTTGCTGTTGCTGCTGCTGTTGTTGTTGTTGTTGCTATAGAAAATTCGAAAAAGTGGAAAACACCTGCCGCTTGGGCAACAAGGGCATATATAGCCATCCTCACCCGAGTGTCTTTTGATATCAAATATGCTATTATATTTCATTGATCGATAGCTTCTGTGTGAGCCAGTTTTGGGTGCTAAAAATGATATACGCCATGTTAAACACTCACACTGATGAAAAAAACACACCAAAGAAATGCTACGACTGATATCTTAACAGCGTGGGCACTTGGTATGGTATTGATGAGAGTCACCCATGCCCTACATGGCTAGAACGTTTGGTTGCTCCCGTACTTCTGTAATGAACCTGATGCAACGTTACAGACAGACCCAGCAGACATCAGACAGGCCAAGAACGGGCAGACCAGGGGTAACTACGCCCAATGAAGACTGCTACTTGCGTACTTTGCTCGTCCGGAATCGATTCCTGGTAGTAACGCCATCAACGACGAATGCATTAGGGCATATAGTTAGACGAAAGACACGAGAAAGCTGACTCACAGCTCAAGGAAATCGGGGACAGTTATTAAGAGCGCAACATAGTTGCCAGTTCTGTCTGTTCAGAGCTGATGTACGGAAGCGTGTTTACCGCCGAAGGGGAGAACGAACGACGGCATGTTGCGTTCAGGAGGTCGTGCCGAATGGTGGAGGGGGTGTTATATATGGTGGAGGGAGGAATTTGTGGGCAGGAGAGAACACCACTGGTCATTTGACTGCTTAGCGTTACATGGATGACATTCTTCGTCCGACTGTCCTACTATTTCTACGTCTGCTGCGTGGTGTCCTTTATCAGCATGACAATTCCAAACCCCATACAGCCCTGATCGTACAGAACATCCTTGCAGCCAACAACGTCAACGTGTTGCCCTGGCCTGGACGCTCCCCTGACATTCCCCCCATAGAACACCGCTGGGATGTCATGGATCGTCGTGTTCGACAGCGACCACATCCTCCAGCCAACTGACAAGAACTGGTCCAGGACATCCAAGAAGAATGGCGACGTATCTCATATGACATCATCAGACGACTGACATTTTCTGTGCGCCGAAAGCTTTTGCGTGATTTGTTGAATGCGTTGGTCATACACGTAATTAATTTGACATGTCAATATCGGATGCTGTATGATTGTCATTTAATGTTGATTCCGTCGAGATTCTGATCTTTTCAATACATTTTACTTCATGCATCTATCCTTTGTGGGTTTTTTAAACTCGAGAGATTTAAAACTACAGTAAAGTTTCAGTTGAGCCAATTTAAATGTAGTGAGGCAATAGCACTGTCTTTTCCCATAAAAGAGATCAATCTAATGACAAAAATCGCTTGCCATTTATCATGTTAGTATTATTTGTAAACTTGAATAGAACCATACAATTTACTTTCTTAAAGCTACACTGAGGTTTTAATGTTGTAACCGTTATCAAACATCTTTTGAAGCAAGAGTCGCAGGACGCTCTTTGAAATCTTCGTAGAAAGTCTGACCAGTTGTACCGGTACCAATGGCTGGAGCTGCTGCAATATTGCTCGACATCCAGGGAAAGTTGTCAGTGGAAACTTGAAATCATCCTTTTTGTTATCCTGTCTTGTGGGGATGATGTGTCTTTTGTGTCATTCTAAATCTCCATGAATAGATCTAAACATGAAGCAGACGAGGTGGTCTCAGTGGTCACCTTTACGTCTAGTTCAGGTGGGTAAATCAGAGGAAGAGCGTTGATCAGATCATCGATATACCTGAAGATTAAGTTAAACTTTTTGGCCGTTATAATAGTTCAGGGTAAAACTATGCTTTATTACAATACGCATGTGGAAAGAACAAACTTTATTAATTTTCTGAGATGACGAATATTAAGATCAGCCTCGTGTTTTATTAGAGCTGAGTTTAAATGAAATATGTAATGACTATATATGTAAATTGAAAATCCTCGAACAGGGATAACTATCGGGCTCTTCCATGTAATTGCCTGCACCCTTACGTTAAGAGATATATTTATGTTTTAAGCATAATACAACACCACTAACATGAATAGTTTATTTTGTTAATAGGTTATATTTCATTATCCGTTCAGTGTGAGGTTATCCATGATCCCACGCAGCAATAAGTAGGATTTGAATGTCAGGTATTTTTTTTTTAATTTGATTGAATTTACTCAAGTGACTCAAAACATTCCACAAGTGTATTGTAAAAAGCCGAACTTCGGTGTCGCTGATCATTGTAAGGTGAGGTGTGTTTGTTGTACAATGGCCAAAATGTTATTTGGTATTTGTGTATCACCAGATGTTATCAACCAATACTCATGCCGTATCTCATCGTTGTAACAATATAAAACGTTAATGGTAGAGAATAACCAGTCTCGATTAAACAACGACACGTATTCCATTGGCCGTAAAATGCAAAATAGCTGTGAAATGTATATGATGGAACACCGACAATCAGTGATGACACCAGGTGCTCGTCAACAGGCTCAGCCTTTGCCTCAGATGAGTATACAAAGTTATGCAGTAACCGTAAACTCTTTGCATTCGTGTCTGCGAGCTGGGGCCTGAATATCCCATGTATTAAATGTGTGTACACGTAGAGCGCAGTAACAGAGAGCACTGATACATGGAACAATGTCTGCACACGAAGCAACATTTGGGAGTCCAATTAAAGGAGTTGTTTCACTTTTTATTTGTTTTCATTCGGAATATTTGTCCACCTAAAATTAAAACTGATAATCCTGTATGTACTATGGAATTGACTATTTAATATTCCGAGGGAGGCGGAGGGCGGGGCTAGGAATATTTGTATGTTTATGGAAAGATAATTATACGAATAATTTCCTTAAAAACATAAACATATATGTCTATAACGCAACTGTATGTGTAGTCACTAGATTATATAAAAGGTTCCAAACATAACGCCTATATGCACATTAACACGTGGGGGGTGTACCCACACGTTTCGCTGTGTTAACGATCCAACTCATATTGGAAACCTTCACGTTATACTCTCTATTGCCATTGTTACGTTAAAACATGACAGCAATTCAATGAAGTGTGTCAGTGAAGTCTGGGTTAACAACATTCAATATGTCCAACGCCATGTGTTACTAATCACCTAATAACGTCACTGACGTGGTTGCTGCACTTTAACGGGACAATGATTGTTGTATACAATTATGTTACGAAACCACAGAAATAAATGCTAATTTTTTGTCATTTTGGTAATTTTCCCTTTACCTATGACCGAACATTTAGGAGCGTCTGAAACTTAGCATTAATCGAAACCATGCCATACACGACTTCAAGGGTAATGAAATTTGTGTCATATATACACAAAGAAAAACGTTGAGCACACCCCTATTTCTGAACCTTGACAAATGGCAAAAATCATGGCATGGGATGACTGACCACAGGAGCTGGGCGATAACAATGACATCGGATAGAACAAACATTTGACAACAAATAAAGAAGATATTGGTGAGTTGTGATTGAAATTTGCTGACAAAAAAACATCATACTAACACAGGTACTGATTTTGACCTTAGACAATACCTTAAAAAGTTTGGAGCTGCAGGATTAAGTAAACGAGTTACGTTTGATGTTTCGTGTGATAATGTTCCTCAAAGTCTCTACTTGACATGACACGTGAAACAGATCAGAAGCGGGTATAACCGCCACGTGCCCGGATGACGCATTCCACCCTACGTCTCATGCCTCAAGTCAGATGTTGGATCTGTTGATGGGTCAACAACAACCACTCCTGATGCAATGCTGCTTCCAATTGGCGTAAATCTTGTACAGGAGGATCTTGTGCCTCTATGCGCCGCCCCAGAATATCCCAAACATGTTCAAGTGGGTTCAAATCTGGACGCATTGCTGGCCAGGGTAGAGTCGTTATTGCATTGCCCCCATGTAATCCACGACTGCATGCGAACGATGAGGCATGGCATTGTCATGAACGTACTGAGGTCGAGTAGCAAGAGGGTTGTCAAAATGAGGAACGACGACTGGCCTCAAAACGTCCCGGATGTACTGATCCCCTTATGGTGACCAAATCCAATCTGCAATCATCAGAGATACAAACCCAAACCATTACCGAGCCCCCGCCGTATGCAACAGTCGGTCTAATGTTCCTGGGAGTGTTGGCCGTGTTCCGTTGCCTCCAAACTCTCGTCCTTCCATCAGTGACGAGGAGCGACTGTTTAAGACCGAGCTTAAGAAAACAATTTTAACGTTTGGATATGTTGCTTTCAGATATACTCGAGGGAAGCATGCTGTACGGGCACATCACGCATGGGACCAAACAATAATGAAATATATTAGGGTGTGCTTAACGTTTGATAATCGCCTTCGTGCCATGGTCACACCATGTCATGTAATAACTGTTTAAAACCGAACTTGAGAAAAGAATGTTAACGTTTGGATATACTGCTTTTAGAGATACTCGAGGGTAGTTTGATGCACGGGCATACCATGCATGGCACGTGAGCTTTCGTCACGCATGACTAATTACATCATCTCGAGAAAACATAATTCTTCCCGTAATTATATATTTCATGACTCTTACAAATATTGGGACCAAACAATAATGAAATATATTAGGGTGTGCTAAACGTTTTTCTTTGTGTATATGAACAGTATTTACGCTTATTGCACACGTCAGAAAATACAGGAAAACGATGATCATATGTACATACCTCTGTCATGTGTGTTCATAGTCACTTGAAGGCTCCTTTATTTCATGTCCTGCGTAATAAATGCAAATGTGGAGGCCAAATGATATGTACATCTCAAACGTTGGTTATGTGTGGACCTCGTTGTACGTTCATTTCTTAGTATGCACACATTTGGGAAATCCTGTCCCTTCGTGTGGTGATAGGGCGTACAAGTGGTGCCCAATGGGATGCCTACTTGTTGCCTAATTTTAAATGTCTTACCTCCCACATTTTGCGTCGATGTTATCAATGTGGAAGTCCAGTTTTTGACTGTTTTCATTGAAATCTTCAGATGACATTTGCTTTCGTCTTTGACAAATTGTTCTAAACCTCTGGAGATAAATATGTAACTATATCTATGGTCGCCGCCTTTTGTAACAAAAGCCCCAAGGATCAGGGAATGAAGTCTATCATGTGGGATAGTTGTGTATAAAGTTGAAAATCACATTGTTTGACAAAAATTGATCGAGGTTCTTTTCAGCGATTGCAAAATTGAAAGCAAATCTTTGAGCTTTTGAGAATCCACATGATATTAATACGTACCACTTGTCTCGGATACTATCAGTAAATATACAGAACGTCCTTCTGATTACATAAAGGAGTAGAGTTAATCGTTTCGTAAGGGATTGGGTGGTACATTTGCTGGTTCACGGGAGTCCGTATCTAAAAATAGACGCCCTCATGCATATTCATTACAGTATCTAAAAATAGACGGGCTCATGCATATTCAGGATGGTATCTAAAAATAGACGGGCTCATGCATATTCATGACAGTATCTAAAAATAGACGCCCTCTTGCATATTCATGACCATCTCCACACGCGAGCCGAACGGACTCCTGTGGCTTGATCCAGTAATATGTCTCTCTTCAATATAATCACTTGATTTAAATCGGATGTGTTGTCTTCGCTGAGGTCGAGATCTACGCTTCCTAAAAACGGCGTGTTTCTGGGCCACCCCTAACCTTGTTGTGCGTACGTGGACTTTTTTTTTTTTCAAAAATAGTTAAAAATTGGATTACGATTCCGAAAACGTATTAGACCAATCTCAGTGCATGGCTATATGTCTTTGTACAATGCCCTTTTAGCAGTGGCAAATAGTGAAAAATAAGTTGTTTTCGGAAGGGCCGACACTGAACCAGTATTCACTGTAGTTTGATTAAAATTTGAAACAAATAAAGTTATCACTGAGTTTTGTATGGTTAATCAAGGTTGTCATGGAAACATATTTGAAGCTGTCATTTTTTTAATTATTCAAGGTGACGTCTCGTCTTCCTGCAAGTGTTTACTCGAGATAGTGAATGTAGACAAATGGTGCAACTGAGATTAACCTTTACCTTTGTTTACTGTGCCAGTAAACAGTATTTGTCTATATATTTGCGAATGTTAACGTATGTCAACTGACTGTCAATTGCGCATAGCAAAATGGAGGAAAAAACATATCGCGAAGCTTCCTTTACACACGAGCGAGTCACGTGAAAAGAAACTAAAAAAAGGTCGTTATCAGACTCTACAGAGTATGACTTAGCAGTTTGATCGCTTGTCCCAGATATTCACTTATAGAGGTGCATGACTCGTGTTATTATCAACCTGCAGACATCAGTGAACGTCATAACATTTTTTCGGGATCTGATTTAGTATGGAGCGAATATCCTAGATTCTGCCCACGCTTGGAAACAACAAAGGCGGATCCTCATGGGGTGGGGAGGGGGTGGGGAGGTTGGTGGGGAGGTAGTATGTTGTGTGCAGTAAAAAATGACTGACATAGGATTTTGATATTTTGGATCCCTCCCTTTTAAAAATGCCGGATAACCCTTGAACAATAATTAATGTTGAACACGAATTGACAGTTAACGCTACGTGACTGTACAATAACGACACATGGTTTTAATCAAATAAAGAAAAACAAATTTGCTCATTTTATTTTAGGGACGAGGGTGGACATGAAGTGTTTTACATGTGTGTCATTTGGTGTCATGAAAAAAAGTTAAAATAGGAAGTGGGGGTCGACGCAATATATGGTACAGTCCACACTCACCACACACCTTAATAAATTACCAGTCCCATTTTTGTTAGTTTATTTGTTATGTAACGAGAGATGCAGAGTGGATATTGAATACAAAGTGGTTATTGTCACCAAACCAAATTTTGTTTGGACAGTGATGAGGACAATCTACGGTGGAAACTGTCCAGTTTAAATACGTTTGTGTTCGCGCGTCATTCAGAACAACATTTCAGGCTCGGAATTAAAGATGATCATAGCCGTGTTGATGATTTTTGTGAAATTCCATTTTCGTTTTTGGTGACCCATCATGACCTCTGTGACTTTCATATAAACCCGCGGACAGTCACCTCGCCTTGTCAAATCAGCTGCACTGTCGGAGAAGCGAAATCGTTCACTCGTCAACAACCGATCTTGAAGGTAATTAAGGATGCCATTAATTACATGTACCCGTTTTCCATTTATTTTCATTTATTATGCACCGTCATATTTATGTCATGTTTGCAATGTACAAAATGTTTGATGCGTGGGAGCATCGTGCGCTCATCGTGCTTCGCGAGTGCGACAGAGGCCCTGTAAAGGTGTATTAATTTATAATATTTTTATGTATAAATGGTTGTGTTGATAAATATGTTTTGCTCGAAAGCACGGTTCGTAATTAATACAGTGAGTCATCAGTTGTTGTTTTTTCATCTAAACCGTTAATAGGTAGAGAGCGTAAACAATCCTCAAACCAGTTTAGGCCTCATCGGTGATGCTGACATAACAGCACTTGTATTTATCCTGTTGGGTATTCAACAACACCGTCAACGGATATTTCCTTCCTTGTCAGTTCACGTCGTAGTTTACGAAGCTGTCGATGGTGATTTGAGTGCCTGACATGGGCTGACTATTTATGTCTGCGGTCTGTAACTGATATTAAACTGAAACAATGACTGATTCCACTCGTATATTCCATGAGTTTACGACTTTTCTTGGGCATTTAGATCTTACAGAATTTTATATGATTATGTGGAAAATAATGTGTATAATTGGCTTGTGGGCAGATCTGTGCTGACATTAAAGCAGTAAAATACCCAAAGTATATCATATAAAGGGCCTGCTGTATGTATTGTACTTATCACCCTGACCAAATTCTAGACCTAATTGTATGTACAGTAAACTACGGTTATAACGAACTCAAAGGGACCACGGATTTTAGTTCGTTATGACCGTAGTTCGTTATAAGCACATGTATAGCATATATACAACAAATGGCCGGGACTAAAAATTAAGTTTGTTACACCCCCCGGACGGTGTAACCTTCAATAGGTATTTATTACCTGAAAGAATTCAAAATGAAGAATTCGATCTCAGACAATATCTGTTTATTCAGAACAGTAATGGCGTCACATGTGAGATGACAAATCAAAAGGATAATTAACAATTAACAATAAAATTGAATTTCAGTACATTGCTTGGACTTACACCTAGCATTAAGCAGATACAGCTTATGCAAATAGTGAATCCATAGTTATCTCCCTTGGATTACATTGGAAAATTCACTAAGTTACTATTATGACAATATTGCATTAAACTTTGACAGAATACTTCTAAATGCATTATATATGTGAAATTATTGATAAAAAAGTAATAAAACATTAATTTAGCCTTTTGTTATAAACTGACCTCCAAAAGAAACTTTACCAACTGAAAATATAAATTTCAGACAAAGTATACATTTTTTTTCGATGAAGTCTATCTAAAACACATAACCTAAATACAACAATAGTGTTTGCAGAAAATGTTAATCGTCTGTTACATGTTTGCGAGATAACACGTGAAAAACACGTGCACCACGGACAACTGCAAATGCACGTGCGGGTAAGGGTATAAAACAATTGCAACGGCAAGTCAGACATCCACAGTGACAAAAAAACACAAAAGAAATGCCATGACTCACGGTCGAACAACGTTAACGAGCCTTGGGTATGGTACAGATGGGAGCCACCCACGCCCATATTGCACGAACCTTCGGTTGCTCCCGTGTTGCTGTTACCAACTTGATGCAACGTTACTTGATGCGGACCGCTGACAGGCCAAGAACAGGCAGACCCAGGGTGACCAAGCCCCATGATGACCGGTACTTGCGTACCTTGCACCTCCAAAATCGCTTCCTGACAGTGACGTCATTGGCGACAAATGCCTTAGGTCACAGGGTTAGTCGACAGACAGTGGCCAGGAGACTCAGGGCTCATGGAATCAGGGCTTTTAGACCATACAGAGGACAGCTATTGACAGCGCAATATCGTCGTCTGCGATTGAGATGGGCCCGGACTGTACGACGTTGGCAACGACGTGACTGGCAGAGGGTTGACTTCACTGACGAAAGTTGATTCTGTATGTTTAGGGCTGATGGAAGATAACGTGTTTACCGCCGAAGGGGTGAACAAACGGCGGCTTGTTGCGTGCAGGAGGTCGTACCATATGGTGGAGGGAGTGTCATGGTGTGGGGGCAGGAGAGGATCTGTGGGCAGGAGAGGACACCGCTGGTCATCCTTGACGGAAACTTGACAGCTCAGCGTTACAGGGATAACATTCTTCGTCCAGTTGTCCTACCATTTCTCCAACAGCAGCCACGTGGTGTCATTTATCAGCATGACAACGCTAGAGCCCATACAGCCAGAATTGTCACTAACTTCCTTGCAGCCAACAACGTCAACGTCCTGCCGTGGCCTGCACGCTCACCCGACATGTCCCCCATAGAACACCTCTGGGACTTGATGGATTGTCGTGTTCGACAACGACCACACTCTCCAGCCAACCGGCAAGAACTGATCTTGGCCCTCCAAGAAGAATGGCGTCAAATCCCACATGACCTCATCAGACGACTGACTTTTTCTGTGTGTCGAAGAGTTTTTGCGTGTATTGAGGCATTTGGTGGTCACATACGCTACTGTCTGGCGCTCGGCATTAAGGGGCTAAAACAAGGACTGGTCGGCTCGGAGTCAGTATACTGTGTCTGAGTGGGGTATTCATGTTAAACTGCGGCATGGTATCTCAGTGAGCTAGCACTATAAATCGGCATCAGTCCGGACTAGTACAAGCAGCCACACACACACATACACGTGCATGCACGTCGCTATATAAAAGTGCAATAATCTTGGACGCGACGTTAAACCCAATTTCACCTCACCTCACCTCACCTCACATACGCTACTAATGACTTGTTATTGAATGTGAGCGATTGTTTATGTACTCTGCCTATTGTCCATGATTCTGAAAGCTCGAGTTTTGTACCACACCCAACTTTGGGGGGCTCTGACGTCATTCTCGGTCGCGGTATGATTGTCATTTTCAGTGTTGATTACGTTGATATATTGATCTTCTCAATACACTTTACTTCATGCATGTATGTTTTGTTGTTTTTGAGCAAGAGTGATTTCAAACTCTGGTAAAGTTTCCTTTGGACGTCAGTTTATTTTGACATGAAATATACAAAGTTGGGACAATTGTATAATAATGTGTGAAATAACAAATTGAAAATATATAAAAAAAACCCTTGAAAATAGCTTTGACAGTAATTGGAAAATATTTGTAAAACAATACTAAAAATTGTCCTTGACAAATATATTGACTACACTATAAATTCAGCTGACTAGATTTGTTTACATTAAAAGTTACAAAATATTAATATATTTTGCAAAGAAATCTAAAGCGAATTACAGTAATGCTGATTAACAGAAATTCAAACCATTACTAACTATTACAGCAAAGTTATGGCTATTTACTTGCAACACGCAAATGTAACCAATACATCAATTGACAACCTCGAATTAGAATTACCTCCCTTAGACTGTAAGCGGAAGTGGCGCTTTGACCACGTGTAATTCTAGAAAGTTCTTACAGAATTGTCTAGCTTTCATTAACTTGCACTTTCACTAATTTCTGCATTTACAGAATTTGTAGTGATTAAAAATTAACAGATTTACAAGAAATATTCTCTAAAGAATGTAACTATTACAATCAAATGTTTGAAACACGACATAATCACAAATTACAGCTAATCACGAAACTAACGCTACAGCATGTTGCTGTTCATAGAGCGACGTTCATTGATACGACATTTCAATCAAATATAGAAAATATACATAAGCACATATGCAAAAACCTATGTAAATATGTTCCATGTGTTGGGGGAAAGGCGTGGGTTCTGATTTGGATTTGATTACATACCTGAAAGAATTCAAAACATAGAATTCGATCTCAGACAACTTCTGTTTATTCAGAATAGTAATGGCGTCACATGTGAGATGACGTCACTTTACCCATGCGGCTATCAATAGACAAGGAAGATACAGAAGTGTCTGTTGATTCTTTTCAATAACTATTAAAATGAATTTGATGAATTTTGATCTGAAATAAACCAAAAATTTATATGGGGTCCCCAAAAGTAGCAAGAATATTACATTTACTTATGTGCCTTTTGGAGCGCCTAACAATATCAGTCAGTTCATTATAAGCATGTTCGTTATAACCGTAGTTTACTGTATACGTATAATCTTTGTAAGTGCCCCCTTCTAAGACCGAACATTTGCATGACAGTCTTTGGTTTCTCATGTATAGGACAGATTTGAAAAAGAAAACAACGGTGTGTAGAAGGGTCATATTATTGCATATAACTTTTAACAAAAACATTTTGTCTTCAATGATGTTTGAACAAAGTTTATTCTGCAGTGTTTGCTTGATCAGTGATAACAATGTTGTGTATGACTGCCCGGTGCATTTATTGTGGGGAATACATTGTATATGTTACACGATTGTCATCAATTTAATTTGCAAAATACTTTGTTTTGTTTTAACTTGTCTGGAGTATATTGGTTGTGGGTCAAAAATGATTAATCCGTCATTGTCAAAAATAATAAATTCATGAACAATAATAAATTCATGAACAAGAAAGTGTATTATTGTAAACAAAAAGTGTATCATGTTTAATTTGTGAACAAAAATTAATGTGAACAATAAGTGTATAATCCTGAACATAGTATTCCCCTTCCATTGTTCTTTCAGTTGTGTTCAATAGCTGATGAGTCATCGGTTAGAAAAAATTGTTGTTTTCATATTTGCATTTCTAATAAAATTTTCTATGTGTATATGTAGCTGGAATATCACTTGAGTTCAAAGACAAAGCATTTCTATGATCGTACTGTGTTAGAATAGGTCCCCAGCAACCTAGGCGATCAAATGGATCGGGTGGTCAGACTGTGTTACTTGGTTGGAAGTTTGTCATTGTACCCCAACGACATTGATCATTGCACACAATATCAATCACTGGATTGTCTGGTCCAGAGTTTATTGTTTACAGGCTGCCGTCATATAGCTGGAATATTGCTGAGTGTCACATTAAACAACAACAAACAAACAAACAAGATCTCTATTTGATATATTCACAACGATCATGCTTCATGTTGACTGGGGGCGGTCGGGTAGCCTAGTGGTGGTTAAAGCGTTGGCTTGTCACGCCAAAGACCCTGGTTTGATTCCCGACATGGGTACAATGTGTAAAGCCCATTTCTGGTTTCCCCCGCATTTGGCCATGCCCACCTCGTATCTGTTCGATGTTGACGCATGAATAAAAGAATCAACTCAAGAGCCTCATGAGTCGTGTTGACTGTAAATGTACACACATGCCTTGTTGGTTTCCATGTATATCTATACACTCACAAATACACAGCTCTAGAGCTCTTCATGTACCCAACAACTCGTAGACGCTTGCCACCTGCTTGCCCTGAGACTGGGCGGTGTCGTCGGTCCAGTGGTTTAATGTACAATCACTGTAGGACCAGCTAACCATGTCAAATGAGATGGGAATGATATTCATCTTTAGGAGTAGTCGAGTGTGTGAGAGGATGGTTACCATGGAAACACAGACTCCGGGGGTATCCACTGGGGTGTTACTGAGGTAGTTAACGTTGTTCATGACTGGTTATTTGTAAATGTAAGGTCTGATAGTAGTCTTGCTCTTCAAATAAAATCTGTAAAGATGTGTTTAACAGGATATGCGTGCATTTGCAGGGGTCAATATTTATGCAAGTTCAGCTTTGGTAGCGAATTGTGGATCCCTCCCAGTACATTGTAAAGAATATCATTATGTTTCCCTGTATTCTATACTGCTATATATGCAGTCAATGATGTGAGTACAAGGATGCTCAGGAAGGGTTTACTTACACTTCCATCTATGTTCACAATAAAGAATGATAATAATGGATATAATAATCTCAGATTTTCCAGAGGGAATGAATCCGGCCAATAGGCCAATATAAGACATTATCGTGATTATCATTGATTATAGCTAAAATGGATAGAATTATCATTAAACCGCCCGCACGTTATCAGAAATGAGCGGGCCACTGTAACTTGATAATGCCCTCATATTGCTTGACGACTGGCCATTATCAAGCCCTTTGTTAGGTGACGTCATAGGGTAGAGAAAATGACGTCACGTATTATAGTGACGTCATCTGGTTTGTTCTATGACGTTTCCATATCTGTAAAATGTGGTCAGTGACATTCGTGTTGACTTCAGTAAATGTTTCAAAACCGATGTTGTTGTTTCTTTTTATTTAATAACAAATTCCATCAATTTTAGCTATAATAACGGTAACGCTCTTTTTCAGGGCATTATCATTTGCAGAAGCCCTCAGTCTTTTCAACTGCCCTCCTTCGTCGGGCAGTTAATGGAAAACCACAGGCTTCTGCAAATGATAATGCCCTGAAAAATAGTGTTACCCTTATAATAATATAATTTGTAAGATGGAAACTCACATCTCTCGGTCTGGAGTGAGTGAGTGCGTGAGTGAGTATGGTTTTACACCGCTTTTAGCAATATTCCAGCAATATCACGATGGGGACACCAGAAATGGGCTTCACACATTGTACCCATATCGGAAATCAAACCCGGGTCTTCAGCGTGATGAGTGAACGCTGTAACCACTAGGCTACAGGACCGCCCCCTATCTCGGTCTGGAACCGGCAATGCTTCTTACCCAGTTTTCTCGATTTTCGACAACCGATCTAACTACACAGTGACGTCCTACCGGAAGTTGTCTCGGCTCGAGGATACGGTCGGTGGAACGTTGAGAATTGCATTTCACCAGTTTCAGAAGTTATTTTACGTTGTATCACGGCTCTGTAGGAATATACAATGCACTTAGATATACCAGATGCAATATTTGTAGCCATACAAGGCGGATTAAAGCCATTATGCTACAAGAAGTATTTCCTGGAACAGACTCACAAATATAGGGGACGTCACACGTACTATCACATTGCCAAAACTGGTGATTTGGAACGTATTCACATTTTGTTTTTGCACATTAAACAGTCAGTTAGATCAGTGGTTAATTTATGTAGCAAAAATATATACGTTCATGCTTGTATACTGTACTGCATACAACATGTACAATATGATTAATCTCACAAACACTTTCTCACTGACCGAACTATACAAACCTGTACATTACAACTAGGTTAATGTATGGCAGTTACCATGGTTACTATCTTACTGTCTTAGCGCTAAGGTGACTTAGCTGGGGCTCTTGGGCTCAAGTAAATCTATCAGAGTGTAGGGGATGTCACTATCATCAGGGCATCGGGTCTGCTGGGAGAGGTGGTTCGATATCCGGCTGCATCATATCGAAAGATGTCAAAAGATGGTACTTGTTGTTACCCTGGCTGGCGCTCGATATATTTGGGATAAAACAAGGACATTTGCTACGATGAACCAAATTTCACCTCCTGGCATTGGTGTATAAACATTTGATCATTCTCCGAATTGTTGTAGATACAGTATCAGCAGAATGTCCGCCCCCACCCCGAAGCAGAAACTCCGCCTCATCACGTATCTGTCCCCGGGGGTGGCGCTGGAGGTGTTTGAGATGGTGCTGCAGTACCTTGAGTCTGTGCTGGACGTGGATGCCTCGCTAATCTACGAATCACGATGGAGTGGCCCTCCTCCCACTCGGGTTGACCCTTTCACAGACAACCAAGTTGATATAGGTTTGTGTTGGTGGTGACAGTGTTCCTGGGGGATTTCTAGACCTGCCGACGTTCTAGAGGCTGACATACAGCCCAAAATATGCAGTAACTGTCATTTAAAATTCTCAATTGAGAAATAATTTTTTTCTAACTCATATTTATATGTCATGGCTTGGTTGAGGTGACATGTATCTCACTGATGACAGGACCAATAAAAGGAAAAGGCTTTAAATATTGAAGATCAAATTTTGAGTTATTTTGATCAATGTGATTTCCATTACCTGGGCCCAGTAAGGTGTTGTGTTTAATCACATATATTTTTATGATAGCATTGCAACATACAGTGTCATGAAAAACATCTCCAAAAAATATTTGAAAGGTTGAGCTTTCTAACCCGAAACCGAGAATTTTCCTACATGCCCTGCATAATTTCCTACGAATCTTACGTCATTGCTACGTATCCTTCATAATTCCAACGTATCCTACATAGTTGCTACGTATCCTTCATAATTCCAAAGTATCCTACATAATTGCTATGTATCCTTCGTAATTCCAATGTATTCTAAATAATTGCTACGTATCCTTCATAATTCTAAAGTATCCTACATAGTTGCTACGTATCCTTCATAATTACAAAGTGTCCTACATAATTGGTATGTATCCTTCGTAATTCCAATGTATTGTAAAAATTGCTACGGATCCTTCATAATTCCAAAGTATCCTACATAATTGGTATGTATCCTTCCAAATTACAACATACCCTACATAATTGCTGCGTATCCAACATAATTTTAACTGCTACGTATCCTTCATTATTCCAACGTATCCTACATAGTTGCCACGTATCCTTCGTCATTCCAATGTATTGTAAATAATTGCTACGGATCCTTCATAATTCCAAAGTGTCCTACATAATTGCTATGTATCCTTCCAAATTACAATATACCCTACATAATTGCTACATACCCAACATAACTGCTATGTTTCCTTCATTTTTCCAACGTATCCTACATAGTTACTACGTATCCTTCATAGTTCCAAAGTATCCTACATAATTTCTATGTATCCTTCGTAATTCCAATGTATTCTAAATAATTGCTACGTATCCTTCATAATTCCAAAGTATCCTACATAATTGCTATGTATCCTTCGTAATTCCAATGTATTCTAAATAATTGCTACGTATCCTTCATAATTCCAAAGTATCCTACATAATTGCTATGTATCCTTCGTAATTCCAATGTATTCTAAATAATTGCTATGTATCCTTCCAAATTACAACATACCCTACTTAATTGCTAAGTATCTAACATAGTTGCTACGTATCCTTCATTATTCCAACGTATCCTACGTAATTGCTACATATCCTTCATAATTCCAACATATCCTACATTGTTGCTACGTATCCTACATAATTGCTATGTATCCTTCGTAATTTCAATGTATCCTACGTAATTGCTACTTATCCTTCCAATTTCCAACGTACCCTACATAATTGCTACATTTCCTTCCAAATTCCAACGTACCCAACATAATTGCTACGTATCCTTCATCATTCCAAAGTATCCTATGTAATTACTATGTATCCTTCCAAATTCCAATAGACCCTACATTATTGCTACATATCCTACATGACTTTCTAAGTTACATTGTTTTCCAATGTGTCCTACAATATTTCCTTAGAGTGTCTGCCCGCAGAGCGGAAGGTCATGGGTTCAATCCCTGGCTACGTCATGTTAAAAGATGGTACTTGTTAATCCCCTGCCTGGTGCTCGGCATGAACGGGCTAAAACAAGGACTGGTTGTCTCGGGATACTGTATCTGAGTGGGGTATTCATGTTAAACTGTGGCATGGTATCTCAGGGGGCTAGCACTGTACAATCAGCATTATTCCAGACTAGTACAAGCAACCACACAGTCATTGCCCCTCACCTCCCATAATTTCCTTGTATCTAGACAATTGCCTCCGTATCTTCAAAGCTCCTTACACAGGAACTAACCATCTTCTCTAATTTTACCCAGCATTCATGTGCAGCACTGCCTTCCTGCGTCTCATTCGCGACAAGAACCAGCATGTCGAACTGTGCCAGGCAGCGCCCCTCCACCGGCACCCCAACGCCCTCAGCCGACCCGTCTACTTCTCCGACGTTGTGGTGCACGTGGATAATGTGTAGGAAATGCTTGCTGTTATATGACCTGATCAATGCGACTATGACACTATCCCTTAAGCCTGTGGCTTGCTTCAGTCAGAAGGAGAAATCAAATGCTGTAAATCTTGAAATTAATATGTCTTCAAATTAATACGACTGCTGACCCCCACTCAAAAATGTGACTTAATATCAATGCGGCTCCCCCAATCCTATCCCAGTGGGATGATGCATACCTTACCGTCATCCAGCCCTACCTTAATCCAGTCACACAAATAGCACCGCTTATTAGCGCCCAGTAGAGCACTTCCGTAAAAACAATAAACAGTCCAAAGTGTGCAGTGAGATCGTCTTATTCTTGATGGTTATTTTGGAGACATAAATGCGAATTTTGATTAATGTTAAGAAACGCCACTCGCATTTTTCACATTTAATTCACGCTCACGTTATTTCACGCTCACGTTATTTCAAGATTTACAGTATACCCGTGCAATATTTGACAGGTTCCGGGCAAAGTTTTGTGGGAGAATTCATAACAGGGTCTGAGATTCTGTAATCTTTCAATGACCTTGGCTTCTTGTTGTTCATGTTGGCTTCTGATTTGAGCTGAATTATTGGAATCATTTTGGGAACTGAAAGCTTGAAATGTGAACCATTTGTGAAGACTGGTAGGATGGACAGTGGCGCCATTTGCTGGATTATACATGAGCATTGTAACCGTGAAATTGTATTTCAAAGAAATCTGCTGACATTAACGTATAAATAGTAAGTCCCTTCAGTACCACCACCCACACCAAGTTGACACAATGATGTAGCTGATATGTAGGAAATGCTGCACAAAGTGGCCTTAAACCCAACTCACTCACTCACTCAATCATTATTACGTCTGTATCCAAAATCTGCCATCTTGTCTCCCAGAGCCAAGTTCAAGACCTTGCATGACCTGAAGGGCAGTCGCTGGGCATACAACGACACTGTCTCCCTCAGTGGGAACATCATCGTCCTAGCGGAACTGAAACGCCTTGGTGTCAACGCAAGCTTCTTCGGGAATGTCATTCAATCAGGTAGCACGTCATTCAATCTGGTAGCACATCATTCAATCATGTCGCACGTCATTCAATCAGGTAGCACATCATTCAATAAGGTTGCACATCATTCAATCAGGAGCATTCTACTCATTCATGGAATCAGCACATAACTCTTTCATATGTTTAGGTCCCTCGTCATTGAATTAGTATTATGACGATTCAATCACTGTGTTTCAGGGGGCCACCTCAAGTCTATTGAGATGGTATTAAACAGCACTGTTGACGGGGCCGCCATAGACAGCAACACTTTGCAGACGTTTGCTGAAAGGTTCCCCGAAAAGAGGAAGAAGCTGGCTGTAGTTACCTCCCTTGGTCCAATGCCGATCTACCCAGTTGTATTCAACAGCAGGTTGTCAGGTAGGTGCCGTTGTTGGGAGCAGGCGGGACAGTTGTATTCAACAGCAGGTTGTCAGGTAGGTGCCATTGTTGGGAGCAGGCGGGACAGTTGTATTCAACATCAGGGTGTCAGGAAAGTACCGTTGTTGGGAGCAGGCGGGACAGTTGTATTCAACAGCAGGGTGTCAGGTAGGTGCCGTTGTTGGGAGCAGGCGGGACAGTTGGAGGCTGGAAGCTGGAAGTCTGTGTCCCTTATGTCACTGCAGAGTTGTGTCCCTTATGTCACTGCAGAGTTGTGTCCCTTATATCACTGCAGAGTTGTGTCCCTTATGTCACTGCAGAGTTGTGTCCCTCATGTCACTGCAGAGTTGTGTCCGTTATGTCACTGTTCAGAGTTGTGTCCCTTATTTCACTGGGCAGAGTTGTGTCCCTTATTTCACTGAGCGGAGGTTTGTCCCTTGTATCACTGTGCTGAGTTGTGTCTCTTTTTTCCCTTGGCAGTGTTGTGCCCCTTATTTCACTGAGCAGAGTTGTGTCCCGTATATCATTGAGCAAATTGTGTCCCTTATTTCGTAGTGCAGAGTTGTGTCCCTCATTTCACTGTGCAGAGTTGTGTCCCTTATTTCACTGTGCTGAGTTGTGTCTCTTATTTCCCTTGGCAGAGTTGTGCCCCTCATTTCACTGTGCAGAGTTGTGTCCCTTATTTCACTGTGCTGAGTTGTGTCTCTTATTTCCCTTGGCAGAGTTGTGTCCCTTATTTCCCTTGACAGAGTTGTGTCCCGTATATCACTGTGCTGAGTTGTGTCTCTTATTTCCCTTGGCAGAGTTGTGCCCCTCATTTCACTGTGCAGAGTTGTGCCCCTTATTTCACTGTGCAGAGTTGTGCCCCTTATGTCACTGTGCAGGGTTGTGCCCCTTATTTCACTGTGCAGAGTTGTGTCCCTTATTTCATGGTGCAGAGTTGTGTCCCTTATTTCACTGTGCAGAGTTGTGTCCCTTATTTCACTGTGCTGAGTTGTGTCTCTTATTTCCCTTGGCAGAGTTGTGTCCCTTATTTCCCTTGGCAGAGTTGTGTCCCTTATTTCCCTTGGCAGAGTTGTGTCCCTTATTTCATGGTGCAGAGTTGTGTCCCTTATTTCACTGTGCAGAGTTGTGTCCCTTATTTCACTGTGCAGAGTTGTGCCCCTTATTTCACTGTGCAGAGTTGTGTCCCTCATTTCACTGTGCAGAGTTGTGTCCCTTATTTCACTGTGCAGAGTTGTGCCCCTCATTTCACTCTGCAGAGTTGTGCCCCTCATTTCACTCTGCAGAGTTGTGTCCCTTATTTCACTGTGCAGAGTTGTGTCCCTTATTTCACTGTGCAGAGTTGTGCCCCTCATTTCACTGTGCAGAGTTGTGCCCCTTATTTCACTGTGCAGAGTTGTGCCCCTCATTTCACTGTGCAGAGTTGTGCCCCTTATTTCACTGTGCAGAGTTGTGCCCCTCATTTCACTGTGCAGAGTTGTGCCCCTTATTTCACTGTGCAGAGTTGTGTCCCTTATTTCACTGTGCAGAGTTGTGTCCCTTAAGTCACTGTGCAGAGTTTTGTTCCTTATTTCACTGGGCAGAGTTGTGTCCCTTATTTCACTGTGCAGAGTTGTGTCCCTTATTTCACTGTGCAGAGTTGTGCCCCTCATTTCACTGTGCAGAGTTGTGCCCCTCATTTCACTGTGCAGAGTTGTGCCCCTTATTTCACTGTGCAGAGTTGTGCCCCTCATTTCACTGTGCAGAGTTGTGCCCCTTATTTCACTGTGCAGAGTTGTGTCCCTTATTTCACTGTGCAGAGTTCATTTTTTCGGATGCTTGGTATGGTATTGGTTTTATGGCATGTTCAGAAAACCTTCAATTTTCAAATTGGATCAGTTCTGTAAGAGGTGATTCTCTGTGATTCACTGTACTTGTGGAACTTGGGCTTCTACTGAGATTCTTTATTGTAATCGTTTGTTTGATTATAGATACAATTATAAGCTATTAAAAAATAACTTATTATACCGTTGTAAAATAAAATAAGGTACTTCAAAGCAAAAAGGGAGACCCAGATATTGTCAAATTGAAGATTCAGGTCTTGCAAGAGTTCAGGTATCTAATTCTGTATTTTTCTCTTACCCTGCATTTCTCATTAATGCATTTTTTGCTGTTTTTTTACAGAAAGACAAACTGTGTGAGATCCAACTGCTAAAAAAAAGTTGTTCCAACCAGTAGAGGCAGCACCCTCGCACAGTTGGCATGTCTCATCAAAGCACATTACTGCTTTGTCACCTCCACGGACGAATGTACTATTGTATCCCTTGTTATCCCCCGCCGCGCGAAAGCGCGAAGCGGGGGATATAGTATTCACGACCGTCCGTCCGTACGTCCGTACGTACGTCCGTACGTCCCACCTGTTTGTTGCCGCGATATCTCAAGAACTAAACACTGGATTGTCTTCATATTTGGAACTATGGTGTATATACAGACACCGCAGACACCAGTCGGTTTTGGTGACCTTGACCCCATTTTCAAGGTCACAGCAGGCATATCTGCTTTTAGAGTTGGAAAATGGTGTTGCCGTGATATCTCAAGAACTAAACACTGGATTGTCTTTATATTTGGAACTATGGTGTATATACAGACTCCGCAGACACCAGTCGGTTTTGGTGACCTTGATCCCATTTTCAAGGTCACAGCAGACAAATCTGCTTTTAGAGTTGGAAAACGGTGTTGCCGCGATATCTCAAGAACTAAACACTGGATTGTCTTCATATTTGGAACTATGGTGTATATACAGACTCCGCAGACACCAGTCGGTTTTGGTGACCTTGATCCCATTTTCAAGGTCACAGCAGACAAATCTGCTTTTGGAGTTGGAAAACGGTGTTGCCGCAATATCTCAAGAACTAAACACTGGATTGTCTTCATATTTGGAACTATGGTGTATATACAGACTCCGCAGACACCAGTCGGTTTTGGTGACCTTGATCCCATTTTCAAGGTCACAGCAGACAAATCTGCTTTTAGAGTTGGAAAACGGTGTTGCCGCGATATCTCAAGAACTAAACACTGGATTGTCTTCATATTTGGAACTATGGTGTATATACAGACTCCGCAGACACCAGTCGGTTTTGGTGACCTTGATCCCATTTTCAAGGTCACAGCAGACAAATCTGCTTTTGGAGTTTGAAAACGGTGTTGCCGCGATATCTCAAGAACTAAACACTGGATTGTCTTCATATTTGGAACTATGGTGTATATACAGACACCGCAGACACCAGTCGGTTTTGGTGACCTTGACCCCATTGTCAAGGTCACAGCAGGCAAATCTGCTTTTAGAGTTGGAAAACGGTGTTGCCGCGATATCTCAAGAACTAATCGCTGGATTGTCTTCATATTTGGTACTATGGTGTACAGGCGGGGGATATTTCGTCACTCTGTGACAAATACTTGTTGAATAATATTTATTGTGTTGCTTATTTGTGTGTTTTATGGATTTAGTCATGGTAATTTACGGGCTTATTGTTGATCCTTCCCGCCATTTTGGAAGTACTTTCGTGTCTTGGGATCTGAATCCTTTTATTTGGCTTTGTAATCCATTAATTTGGTTTTACCTCATGTTTGTCTGTTTCAAGCTTTGCTTTTCACTAACTTCAACTTTTAAACAAAAGATAGTTTGAGTTACATCATGCTTCCCGTTGCTGCCACATCGTTAGGATTTTGCCTAAATTCCATAAATTCCATGGCTTACAACTTGGAGACTCCCTCCCTAACAAGACCGACGCCCTTTTGCAGTCTTTCAGCCTCCCTTGCCATCACCTTTATTGACAACATCCGGTGACGCCTGTGACGGGATCTGCTTTTCTGTCTCCTCTGCCATTTACTGGCGCACTTGGCTTTCACGGCGCAGGCGCCTGGGTTTCTCAGCTTTTCCTTGGCTCATCTGGCGCCTGCTCTTCTCTACTCTTCTTTAGCATCTGCGATGCCACTGACGCCTCCTGTTTCCAGGCATTTAACCCTCCAATCGGGGGCCCAACACATGCTCCTGCCTTCCTTCGTTGATCAAGCGTGGATGCAGTCATTGTTTAACCAGTCGGTTCCAGCCTCATTAGTGTCCTATTCAACAGTTTCTCGCCCCCTTCATTCAGCTTCAGGATCCGGAGATTCCCACCGTCCTAATAGTTCACCTACACCCATACCTCTAGTGGTTGACGATGAAATCGAATGGCTTGGGAGGCATATCCGTGACTGCGCTACAGCCAAACATTCACCTGTTTGCAACGCATCCAGACAGGGTTGGGGAGCTCACTTTGAGACTGAGATGGTTGCAGGGCTGTGGTCCGAAGATCAACTCCATTGGCACAGCAACAACCTCGAGCTAGAAGCACTCATCCTGGCTGTTTCTCATTGACAGAGCACTCTCGGTCACGCCCAGTTGACCATCTCCATGGAAACCATCACTGTGGTGTTGTATCTGAGGAATCAGGGTACTCTCCACTCTCAGTCCCTCCCTGCTGAACCAAATCTTCTGGTTCTTTGACCTGGTGGACAGATTGGACCTGCAATTCCCTGTTCAACACATCCCAGGTTGCAAGAACATTCTGGCAGACCCTCTGTCCAGGCCGGACAAGGTGGCTCCCAACGAGAGGCAGCTCTACCCAGAAGTCATCGCCATGATCTGCCTAACGATCGACTGTTCAAACATCAATCTGTTCGCCACAACTTAGAACTGCTAGCTGTTAACTTTTTACTGGTTCTGGATCCGGCATAAGTGGCAGTCGACGCCCTCAGCGTTCCATGGGAAGTATTAAGCGGGTATTCTATTCCGCCTCAAGTTCTTGGTGGCCAGCCAGAAGTTGGTTTGTCGAAAATCTGAAACCTCGCCAGAGACAGCCCCTAGAACTTTCGGCGTGGCCCAACCTTCTGTTCCACAGTTCCTGGCTGAGTTTCTTCTTTAAATGCACAGCACACATCAGTTGAAAGGCCCTACCATCTACCTGGTCACCATTAACTCTGTTCTTGCCATCCCGGACATCGAAGAATGATGGAAGGTGAAGACCAGAAAGCCAAGCTCAGAGCACCTGCGTGGGATCTGATGAGGTGAAGCTTTTATTATGCCCAGTTAGGGCATTGAGGGTTTTCCTACAATGGTCTAAAGCTTGCCGCAAGCCTAAGAAACGCCTTTCCCTACTGGTCTCCCCCTTGTCGCAGTTGGAGGTCAGCCGGAACACTATTACCTGTGCTACTATTACTATTACTACTACCTTGGGGTGGTCATCCTCCAAGCTCATAAAGCCGCTGGATTGGATCCCCCCAAGGTTAAGAACCCACACGAGATCAGGGTGGTCGCATCTACCATGGCTCTCATGGCGTTCACAGTTTTGGTCCCCTTGTTGTAGCCAAACAGGTTACCACTCCCTGACGCCACTGATTCTCCGACCCCCTGAGCGGGGCCCTTGTACCTCTCTGATGTATATCACCCCAGACAAGAGGGCTCTACTTCACTCTTAGGTCAGTTCTAGTTTTTGGCTTCCTGCCTCATTCTATCTCTGTCACCTGTTCGGGTTTTCCTTTTTGTATCAACTCTCGTTTCCTTCCTTTCATCCTTGTATGCGGTGCGGGTTCATCGGACCTTCACGAGGGTTTTGTATGGAGCACATCTGAAGATAGGCCCACCTTCCGTGCTGTCTGACAAAGATGCATTAATGAGTAATGCAGGATAGGTTAAAAAATTCAGTAAAATCTAAATTTTGTTTACATTTGTATACTTACCCTGCATTACAATGTCTAAGTGCCCTCCCTTCCCTAGGCTGCCACCCCACGAAGTTTCAGATGTTTGTTTACAGAAGTTATGTGTTTTGATGTGACGTCATTGTTTCTGGGTCACGTGCCGACTGTCCAAGGGTGCTGCCTCTACTGGCTGGAACAATTGTTCTTTGGCAGCTGAATCTCACACAGTTCGTCTCTCTGTCAGAAAACAGCAGTAAATGCATCGAGGAGTAATGCAGGATACAAATGTAAAAACATTTACATTTTACTAATTATGTCTAGGCTTGTCATCTAACAATAGCATCTTGGGGCCTAACCATCCTCCAACAGACAACAGATGATGCCAAGTTGATTCTATTATTGCCTGCATTGTCACAATTTAAAGACCTCATTAATCCATACCACTGAAGCTGGTTTCCAGCTCACACTCAAGACACTGGCTGTTACTGTTTTCAAACAGAAAAAAAAGACCCGTGCAGATTCGGGGTAGAACAGGTCTTCAGCAGCCCATGTTTGCCGTAAAAGGCGACTATGCTTGTTATAAAAGGTGACTAACAGGATCGGGTGGTCAGGCTCGCTGACTTGGTTTGATGCATGTCATCGTATCCCAATTGTGTTGATCGATTGTCTGGTCAAGACTCGATTATTTACGGACTGCCATCATATAGCTGGAATAGTGCTGAGTGCCGCATTCAACAACAAACAATCTAACAATCAATCAATCAAACTGAACAAGTTTGATTTTGATTGATAAATAGAAATGTAGAAATAGATTCATGGCAAAACTCATGCATGCCTTTTGTCAGCTTGGTTGTATATTGTTGGTATATTAGAGATCAGAGATTCTCTGTGTATTAGACTTTAAATGTTATTACTGTTAAATGTCCACAAACTGGCTTGCTGATCTGACTTAGCACATGTCTAAGGTTTAACTGGGGGCACGGGTGGCCCAGTTGTCTGAGGTACCGGATTCACTGTGCAGAGTTGCGCCAGAAACCTATGATTGTGGGTTTGAATTGCAGTTTGACCCGATTATGTTTCTAGGTTTGTCAGTACCATACCCGTGCTCGTGGGTTTCACCGAAGTGGTAAACGTCTGAGACCTGCATCACTTTCCTCCCACGCCCCGATATTACTGTAATACTGTTAAAAGTGGTGTTAAACCCAACTCACTCACTCACTCTGAGGTTTAATTAGGTCAAGACATTATTTCAGTTAAGGGTAATCTGTCAATCTTGTGATATTCCTGTTTCAGCTGAAATGAAAGAGAAGATTACAAACGCTCTTCTGGATGTGAGCAAGTCTCCAGAATGGAGTGAGAAGTTTCTGTCGGTGAACATCCTGGGGTACAGCCCTATTGACATGTCGCTGTACAACCGTGAGACGGAGATCGTGGACCTGGTGAAGAACATGAGTATATCACCCGCTTTCTACTAGGTGCTGTACGTGGGCGTGGCAGCCGTCTCCTGTACAGCTGATCATGTTGGCACAGCCTCACAGTCTTGTTTAAAGAATTGAGTTAACAATGATCAGTTGTTTGTTTGATGTCTGCACAAAGATGGTCTTTAAATGATTCTTTGAGAGCTCAGGCTGCTTGTGACAATCGTTTCTGAAAGCATTTGCAGCGACGCTTACAGCAGACATGTTCCTCTGTCATGTGTGCCTCATTGTGTCATTGTGGACTGGAGGGAAGGTTTAAAGGGGCACTGATCTAACGCAATTCCCCGGGACTGGTTGTTGCCTTTGTTATTGTTTTTTCCCAGTGAGTACCCGGATGTATAGCAGAAATCTAGACTAGTTCGCGACCTCTGCTGCGCCATTCGTAAGCGCATTAGTCACTTTTATGGGTAGTAATGGCGTATGGTCACATTGATCAACAAAATGAAATACAGTTTTCGAGATAAAAAGGAAATGTAGGTATCTTTGTGAGTAGCATCGGTAATGGTGACGAAGTTTTGATAAGTCACTTGCTTGGTAATTTTGCGATTTTCGTTTACACTATTTTGACTTGCAACACAGAGTAAATATTTCACCTGAGCATATGCTTTTTTTTATAGTGTGTATATTTTTTTACTGTCAAATGTGTAACAAATTTATTAAACGTCTAAATATTCAGCTATTTTACATAGTGACTGAAAAACATTTCCATCTGTATTATTATGACAACGAATTCCAAACATTTTGATGTTTAATGTCATCACCATCTAATAATCTGTTGTGATGTTTGTAGGCCCTTTTGATCGTCTTGATCAATCTGGACAGATTTTTTAGTCAAAATGACTGAAATATTTACACATTTTATAAATTGCCTGAGAGAATCACATTTTACAAATTGACGGTAATATATACACGCTTACAAAGGAAAAGACCTGTGACAACAACGTTTATCGCGCATTGAAGAATTTCCCAACCAAGACGTAGAGAAACAAGAACGAATCGGTTCAAATGAAGGAAAACAAAATGCAAATATCATAATTACAACCTACCAAATTTATGTGTATAAGTTTTAGGCAGCTTCCTTGTTCGAGGAATGTATCCGTGAATATCCACACAAAGGAACAATATCCCACTCGTCTGCAGCTGTACAAAGAAACTTATTCGATGTCACGTGTCTCAGTAACAATCAAATATTTTAAAAGATATATATCGTTTCGGGATATTATAACCCGTGTTCGTTTCTCAACTGATCACCTGGATTGTTTCAGGTGTTTTACATAGGTGTCACATCTCAATGGTTGGCTGAGAAAGCCCACGTGACAACTATTTTCATAACGTCCACGGTTCCTAAAAATTCCATTGAGTGATAAATAACAATGATCAATCAATCAACGTGTTATCAGTTAACCCTTTGAACAAAGTATGTTGTTTTTACATCGGCACTTCGCGCCATGATATGAGTGTATTACCTTTGTTTTAGTAAACCTAGTCATGTAAACACTCACTCGACATATCGACTGTGCAAGATAACAGTGATTAATCAATCAATGTATTTTCTGTTAATCCTTTGATGACTAGGAACAATCCGTTGATTTACAAAAAAAAGTTAATCAACTGATCATTCATCTCTTGCTGGGCTGCCACGTGCATATTACATAACACACATTTCACCTCACTTCAAACCTGGATTTAGATTGAATAATTACCCCAGACACAATAAATGCCAAATGGGAACCTTTGTCAGGTAATCTAAGTGGTGCTACTACTAATTATACCTGTAATAAATTCATTAATTGAGCATCAAGTGAATGACGACAAATACACAAGTGAAGGGTTATACGAGAAAACGTGGATGACAACAAGGGAGAAGTAATCGTATTATCGACGCAAGCCGAAATCCGAAAATGCTTTCACTGCATGGATACTTTTTTTGGTATTAACTATAACCATCTGGGGCATTTCAAAATGACGACATCCGATGAGCTCCCTTGTTGTTTTTGTCTGTTTGTTTAGGCTGAAGAAATTAATTAACATGCGCCCTTTGTCGAAATCTTTATAGATCACAGTTAACCAATCAGTGTTCAAAAATGCGTAAAACAAATATTGCCTCCAGCCTCCAAGTTTATTTAGCTGTCCTTGCAGACGGTACCCCAGTCTTTGGTCACGCTCAGTTGCGTTGCGTATCATCCGGGTACTCACGGGGGAAAAACAATAACAAAGGAAACAACCAGTCCGTTAGATCAGTGCCCCTTTAAGTTCAGGGTAAGAATAGATTGTATGTTTTGGCAAAATGTAAAACAAATTGTTACCAAACATATAAAAAGAGTGAATGATACATGTAGTTAGTTCAGTGTTATTGTTCCTTATTTCATGAATGGTAGATCGAAATATTTTGAGGTATTTTGAGATATTTTGGAAAATGTTTTTATTATACCATAGGGTATCACATATCAGTATTTTCATTGCAGAGGAAAATGTCATCGTACTGAACGCTCAGATTGTCATATAGTACTGAATGCTTGGATTTGATAGGTGGTTTGTAATATTTTGGGCAAGTAAAATAATTAATACTTTGTGTTAGTATAAGCACCTTTGTTTAGCGCTAAGATTGCCTTGTGGAGGTGGCTCATGTGTGGCAATTACAGTAATTTATGGATAGAACAAACTCAAAGGGACCACGAAATTTAGTTTGTTATAACCATAGTTCTATATAAGCACATTTACAGCAAATGGATGGGAGGAAAGTTTGTTATATCCGTTAGTTGGTTATAAGTGTGTTTGTTATAAACGTAGTTTATTATATGTTGAATATGGCCCGAGTGTTTGTGTGAAAACTCGGAGGTTACTATTGTCTCTGGGTGTTGGTGTAGATGTTTGATAGACGCCTCCGTGGCGGCGAGCGTCTCGCTGAGTCCGCTAGCGTCGTGTGCCCCTGTATACATACTGATATGTTCACGCTCCTGTTCTTACAAGGTGATATTTACAACGTTGTAATAAATATATGTACATATGCTGGATATTTTGTATTAAAAGATTAATATATGAACTCTTTTGGGATTAATATATTTTAACTTTTGAAAGATCTTTTATTAATCTCTTTTATCATGTTTATTAGTATTTGATGAACATGTTTAATTACTGTTAGTGTTACTGGCCTAAAAATACATTTATCTCTGAATCAGAAACATTAAATATTCATTGTTTATCCTGTTGTTATTGTTGGAGCATGACATGTCGCAAAACGTAACAAATGTTATATTTGGGATAACGCTTTCTTAGTAAAGTACAGATTCTTGGGTTGAGTTCTGTCCGAGATTCGAACCCACATTTCCAGAGTGAGGCACCTAATCGCCAACACACAAAGTCAGCGATCTAACCCATTCAGCCACTGAGGCTTCCACAAAACAAAAGTCCAATAACTGGTAGTCTGGATCACATACTTTGTGTACCCCTCTGACTGGTGTAATTTGGACATGGGAGCTCAACCCAAAAGAGTACTGAATCTGTGCTATATTTACAAAATATTATATCAACTATAACATTTGTTATATTTGACCACTCTAATGGCATTGTGTGTTTGTGTCTAAAAACATGCAAAAAAAAGTCTTGGTTCTCAAGCTGCTCTAGCATCGGTTCTCAAGCTGCTCTGGCATCGATTCTCAAGCTGCTCTGGCATCGGTGAAACACCTCTGTGGTGACACATATTAACAATTAGGTTTACCTTTCTCACGTCACAGCTGACACAGACCTAGTTTCCAAAATACATTGCTAGAAACCCTTTTGTGTTTATTTTGCCAGCTTACCGTTATGCCACCAATAGGTAAACAGTATTTACACTCGGGCTGGGACGGGTAACTCGGGTACTCGGGTCGGGTGGGTCCTGAGTAGGACCCAGGTACCCACAGGACTACCCGGACCCGTGGTTAGTCACGTGATATATTGTTTAATGACAAAAACTCACTATATAGCCCAGTGGTTACACTACAAATCGCTAATATTCGCATGTCTTTCTGACAATGGACACATTCCTTTTGACTTGTATATGTTTGAGTAAAGATAAAGCTTCAGTCAACTTCAGTGAATGCATGATCTGATTATTTGGTACATGTATCTGAATAGTTTTAGCCAGGGCTGCGGTAAAACAATTGCCAATCAGACATTTTGTTCCCAACTCTTGAGACTTGCAGTGGGTACCCGCGTAGGGGCGGGTAATAGGGGTCAGGTAGTAAATTTGGACTCGTCCCAGCCCTAATTTACACATGTCGTAAGTTTTAAATATGTTTTGTTTCCATGGTTACGAACATTTGTACCTGTTTCTACCTGAGGTATAACAGAACCGCCATGAACAGGCAACAAGGAGATATTTGTCTGATGTATTTTTGTGTTGAACAGTGTCAACAACGACCTCGTGAACTCAGGTACTTCATGCCCACATTCCAACACAGTGCAGAGATGTTTCATGTGGAAAATATTTTTATATCCTTGAAATATTTTGAAGTCGTACTATTGGCTGTGCTTGATGAAGATGGAATACATGATGCATGTGTCTCTGTGATGATACTTACTCTTTTATTCGTATGTAGCTGCCCGTGTAGATCCGGGTTAGAATAGGTCTTGGGCAACCCATGCTTTCCGTGAAGATTCGGGGTAGAACAGGTCTTCAGCAACCCATGCTTTCTCTTCAGTACATCCGTGTTGCACAGTCGTCACATTGTGAACTCACTCAACATTGTGTCAGTCCTTGTGTTTCTGTCAGCTGTTCAGGGGTTACCACACGAGTAGAATGAATTCTGAAAGGGTATTCTCTAACTTTAGTTTGCTATATTCCTTTCATTGAAACTAATTGCTTGGAGACATGGTCACAGGGATGGTACTTACTATTGTCATTAGAATAGTACTATATTGTCATGGAATGACAAATATAATTCTTTTTAAATATAACAAAGTACAGATTATAAAAGTTGAGTTTCCGAACCGTACGCTAGATCTTTGATAAGTATCCCTGTCAACAGTTGAGCTGTATGTTTGTTGTTTCACAGTAGACACCGGATCCTGCTGCAGTCTGGGGAGACATATCAAATATGGCTTCTGTAACCATGGTAACCTGGTTCTGTATCGACATGTATATTGTCTCCTAATCAGATGCACCTCACATTTTCACCAGGTAATGTTGCACGTATGTTGCATGTATGTTGCAGGCAGTGTGTTTTTATGTTATTCTTTTATGGAGAATGCAATATACTATTTGTTATGATACTTAGATTAACAGAATTTGTCTTTTGTATCATTGATTTTTGTAGCATTTGTCTTGGCTTTTGTTTTATTATCCCCCGCCGCGCGAAAGCGCGAAGCGGGGGATATAGTATTCACGACCGTCCGTACGTCCGTCCGTCCGTACGTCCGTACGTCCCACCTGTTTGTTGCCGCGATATCTCAAGAACTAAACACTGGATTGTCTTCATATTTGGAACTATGGTGTATATACAGACTCCGCAGACACCAGTCGGTTTTGGTGACCTTGATCCCATTTTCAAGGTCACAGCAGGCAAATCTGCTTTTGGAGTTTGAAAACGGTGTTGCCGCGATATCTCAAGAACTAAACACTGGATTGTCTTCATATTTGGAACTATGGTGTATATACAGACACCGCAGACACCAGTCAGTTTTGGTGACCTTGACCCCATTTTCAAGGTCACAGCAGGCAAATCTGCTTTTAGAGTTGGAAAACAGTGTTGCCGCGATATCTCAAGAACTAAACACTGGATTGTCTTCATATTTGGAACTATGGTGTATATACAGACACCGCAGACACCAGTCGGTTTTGGTGACCTTGACCCCATTTTCAAGGTCACAGCAGGCAAATCTGTTTTTGGAGTTGGAAAACGGTGTTGCCACAATATCTCAAGAACTAATCGCTGGATTGTCTTCATATTTGGTACTATGGTGTATATGGCGGGGGATATTTCGTCACTCTGTGACAAATACTTGTTTAGAATTATTTTTGAATTTTGTTATTGTGCAATCTGTCCATACATTGGAATCTTGTTAACTTGAACTTTTGCACCAGAATTTTAGTGCCCATGATTTGCCATGAACAGCACTAGGATATTGCAGCTGGAATAGTAGGACTGGCTATTGATTGGGATTATCGATCTCTATGAACTAAATATCGATCAGTTATGTATAAATATCATGAGCACACATTTATGCATTTATTACTTTGTGGACATTTGAGATATAACAAAAACAGTTGCTTCGACATTGACATTACTGACAATAACGTGTCTGTTTCGGTAAATCTAGACTTTATTTCATTGCATTTCATAGTTTCTGTGAGTTTTTATCAATGACAACAGTTCATATCGATAATCGTTAATATTTCTTCCCATTGACAATAATTGTGATTATGGATCTTTTTAGCCAGCTCTATAGAATAGTGGTGGAATAGCTAAGGAGATTGAAAGCCATGTGGAACTTAAGTTCTGCCTTCAGTTTGGATTCCGACCAATCACTGATGGTGTGACATGGGTACTTAGTAAGATAGCTCTGTTATGTGCATCATGGGGATAGGTACTCACACAAGCAGTGTCTGACTCACACAAGCAGTGTCTGACTGACTCACACAAGCAGTGTCTGACTCACACAAGCAGTGTCTGACTCACACAAGCAGTGTCTGACTGACTCACACAAGCAGTGTCTGACTCACACAAGCAGTGTCTGACTCACACAAGCAGTGTCTGACTCACACAAGCAGTGTCTGACTGACTCACACAAGCAGTGTCTGACTCACACAAGCAGTGTCTGACTCCCACAAGCAGTGTCTGACTGACTCACACAAGCAGTGTCTGACTCACACAAGCAGTGTCTGACTCACACAAGCAGTGTCTGACTCACACAAGCAGTGTCTGACTGACTCACACAAGCAGTGTCTGACTCACACAAGCAGTGTCTGACTCACACAAGCAGTGTCTGACTCACACAAGCAGTGTCTGACTGACTCACACAAGCAGTGTCTGACTCACACAAGCAGTGTCTGACTGACTCATACAAGCAGTGTCTGACTGACTCACACAAGCAGTGTCTGACTCACACAAGCAGTGTCTGACTGACTCACACAAGCAGTGTCTGACTGACTCACACAAGCAGTGTCTGACTGACTCACACAAGCAGTGTCTGACTCACACAAGCAGTGTTTGACTCACACAAGCAGTGTCTGACTGACTCACACAAGCAGTGTCTGACTCACACAAGCAGTGTCTGACTCACACAAGCAGTGTCTGACTGACTCACACAAGCAGTGTCTGACTCACACAAGCAGTGTCTGACTCACACAAGCAGTGTCTGACTCATACATGTTGTGTCTGACTGACTCACACAAGCAGTGTCTGACTCACACAAGCAGTGTCTGACTGACTCACACAAGCAGTGTCTGACTGACTCACACAAGCAGTGTCTGACTCACACAAGCAGTGTCTGACTCACACAAGCAGTGTCTGACTGACTCACACAAGCAGTGTCTGACTCACACAAGCAGTGTCTGACTGACTCACACAAGCAGTGTCTGACTGACTCACACAAGCAGTGTCTGACTCACACAAGCAGTGTTTGACTCACACAAGCAGTGTCTGACTCATACATGCTGTGTCTGACTGACTCACACAAGCAGTGTCTGACTCACACAAGCAGTGTTTGACTCACACAAGCAGTGTTTGACTCACACAAGCAGTGTTTGACTCACACAAGCAGTGTCTGACTGACTCACACAAGCAGTGTCTGACTGACTCACACAAGCAGTGTCTGACTCACACAAGCAGTGTTTGACTCACACAAGCAGTGTCTGACTCATACATGCTGTGTCTGACTGACTCACACAAGCAGTGTCTGACTCACACAAGCAGTGTTTGACTCACACAAGCAGTGTCTGACTCACACAAGCAGTGTCTGACTCACACAAGCAGTGTCTGACTCACACAAGCAGTGTTTGACTCACACAAGCAGTGTCTGACTCACACAAGCAGTGTCTGACTCACACAAGCAGTGTTTGACTCACACAAGCAGTGTCTGATTGATACCTATTTGTTCTGACTGACTCCAACCTGTAGAAACTGCTTTGTACCCTATCTAGAGTGAGTGATGTATCTGACTGAAGACAGGAGGGAGACCTGACAAAACTCTGTGCAATGAGTTAACAAGCTTTCTGTGTGTTCATATTTAATCAAAACATGTAACTCAAACCCAGTGAACCTGACAACTGAACCTGATTTCTGTTACTACTTATTTTGTATCACAATGTGTTATACTAATAAACGTTTTTAATCCCATATTTTTTTATTTTTTTTAATCCTCCAGACCACCCATGATGATACAGGGATTATATCGCCATTGTTTTATGAGTGTTATGGTTTTACGCTGCTTTTAGCAATATTCCAGCAATATCACGGTGGGGGACACCAGAACTGGGCTTCAAACATTGTACACATGTCGGGAATCGAACCCAGGTCTTCGGCGTGACGAGCGAACGCTTTAACCACTAGGCTACCCGACCGCCCCACAATCAATACAGAAGTCACACTGGGAGAATCATGGGTTTATTTGTAAGTATGGGGACAGTTTGTTTTAATATATGGTTCAGGGATATCTAAAGAACCAATTAGCTTTGGTAGGTGTAAATAGAAATATATTTGTTTAGTTCTACATAGCTGTCAATAGTTTCTTTCACTTAGCATTACTTAATTAATGATTGTGACTAGATCCTTGTTCAAGTTTGTAAAACCAATAAAATTTAGAAGTGACCCAAGTCTCCTCATGTTCCACCTCAGTGGAAGACAGCGAACTGATCAATCACTCGTCAATCATCACAACATCGCTCATCGCACATATGAAGTTTTCACGTTTAGCAGATTGTCAATTCTCTATCAAATGATCAAACCCAGCACATGACAGAAACACGCTACAACTTTTTACTTCTCAATACAAGTATCGATCACAATCGCACACTTAGAAAGTATCGATTATTACCTCAAATGTATTCTTCAATAAATGTTACACCAAGCACGTATTACTTGTGAAAATGAGAAGTGAAAACTTAATATTTATTTTACATCCATTGCGCGATACTTGACACTGCCAACTATAAATTGTTAGTGTGCCAGGTATTTGGCCATCCTGTCTATGAAACAGATGGCTTATGCACCACAGATAACAGAACATGCAAGTATTGTGATCCGCATCGGATCGTGAGCAAGGTATCGTGATACGTATCTGATCGCACAGTTTGTGTATCGTCCCCGCCCTATACATCAGTAGTATTTCTCAACATCTAAACTGTGAAACATGACGACAACAGCAGCATGAACAGCATCTACAATATCTACAATACAACGCTGTACATTTTGTGTGTTTGTTTGTTTGTTTGTTTGACGGCACACTCAGCAATATTCCAGCTATATGACGGCAGTTTGTAAATAATCGAGTTTTGACCAGACAATCCAGTGATTGACATCATGAACATCGATCTGTGCAATTGGAATACCATGACATGCATCAACCAAATCAGCGAGCCTGACCACCTGATCCCTTTAGTCGCCTCTTACGACAAGAATAGTCGCCTTTTCCAGCAACATATACAACATGTATATAACGTGCCATCCAAGATGTCTGTCCTATATCAGCTATATCGGCCTTTACAACATGTCGCCATCCAAGATGTCTGTCCTTACATCAGCTATCTCGGCCTGTACAACATGTCACCATCCAAGATGTCTGTCCTTACATCAGCTATCTCGGCCTGTACAACATGTCACCATCCAAGATGTCTGTCCTCTATCAGCTCTCTCGGCCTGTACAACATGTCACCATACAAGATGTCTGTCCTCTATCAGCTATCTCGGTCTGTACAACATGTCACCATCTAAGATGTCTGTCCTCTATCAGCTATCTCGGCCTGTACAACATGTCGTCATCCAAGATGGCCTTCCTTGCACGTGGCCGTCGCTTGTACTGATCGGGGTCGTCAAGGCGATAAGAAGCTACACTTGTGGGTCGGTCCTCAATGGCAGTCTCTATGGCAGTGATGGCAGCTTGAGCTTCAGGGCTGATGTTGTGGACATCGCCAGCGAGGATGTCCTGAACAGCTTTCATCATCTGCTTCACCTCCTCCAGCCGAATGACGGTCTGCAGACAGAACCAGGGATAGAAGATGTGTTAGTGTTATACAGTAAAACTGCCAATAATCAATATATTTGTATAATTGTGCCGATACAACAGAGCATAATGTCCCAACTTCGATCCTTTCACACAGAACCGAAAGTGTTTCTCTTCCCTTGTGTCCCCCTCCACCAGGGGGCCATGTTTAACATCAACCTAGGCACTGCCACTGTCCCCCTCCACCAGGGGGCCATGGTACACATCAACCTAGGCACTGCCACTGTCCCCCTCCACCAGGGGGCCATGGTACACATCAACCTAGGCACTGCCACTGTCCCCCTCAACCAGGGGGCCATGGTACACATCAACCTAGGCACTGCCACTGTCCCCCTCCACCAGGGGGCCATGGTACACATCAACCTAGGCACTGCCACTGTCCCCCTCCACCAGGGGGCCATGGTACACATCAACCTAGGCACTGCGACCGTCCCCCTCCACCAGGGGGCCATGGGAGTTACGATCACCTTAGCGCTACGATCACTTTGTACAATGGAACTTTGGTCACTGACCTGAGATCACTGATCATAATTTTCACTAATCCACAAACATGACCTGCTACTGAGTTGGCCAAACAATAATGGCCGGCCTAGCAGCATGCACCAGCAGTCTCGGAGATATCAACTGCTGACATGGATTGCCGGTAAATATACTATGCAACCTTTAATAGAGATATTTATATGTTTCCATGCACAAAACTGATTCTCATACGATGTCCTGTGTATATCTAAACTGAGACAACTGATTCTCATACTTTGTCCTGTGTATATCTAAACAGAAGGACAACTGATTCTCATACTGTGTCCTGTGTATATCTAAACTGAGACAACTGATTCTCATACTTTGTCCTGTATATATCTAAACTGAGACATCTGATTCTCATACTGTGTCCTGTGTATATCTAAACTGAGACAACTGATTCTCATACGATGTCCTGTGTATATCTAAACTGAGACAACTGATTCTCATACTTTGTCCTGTGTATATCTAAACTGAGACAACTGATTCTCATACTATGTCCTGTGTATATTTAAACAGAAGGACATCTGATTCTCATACGATGTCCTGTGTATATTTAAACAGAAGGACATCTGATTCTCATACTATGTCCTGTGTATATCTAAACTGAGACAACTGATTCTCATACTTTGTCCTGTGTATATCTAAACTGAGACAACTGATTCTCATACTATGTCCTGTGTATATTTAAACAGAAGGACATCTGATTCTCATACTATGTCCTGTGTATATCTAAACTGAGACAACTGATTCTCATACTGTGTCCTGTGTATATTTAAACAGAAGGACATCTGATTCTCATACTATGTCCTGTGTATTTAAACTGAGACAACTGATTCTCATACTGTGTCCTGTGTATATTTAAACAGAAGGACAACTGATTCTCATACTATGTCCTGTGTATATCTAAACAGAAGGACAACTGATTCTCATACTATGTCCTATGTATATCTAAACAGAAGGACAACTGATTCTCATACTATGTCCTGTGTATATCTAAACAGAAGGACAACTGATTCTCGTTACGATGTCCTGTGTATATCTAAACTGAGACAACTGATTCTCATACGAAGTCCTGTGTATATCTAAACAGAAGGACATCTGATTCTCATACTTTGTCCTGTGTATATCTAAACTGAGACAACTGATTCTCATACGATGTCCTGTGTATATTAATGAGAACAAAGACCACTCGCATTTTGCGTAATTAATTCATGCTCGTGTTAATGTCAAGATTTACAGTACCGGAGATATCACTGAGTGTATCTGTTGGAGGAAAGCCTGAAGTGGTGCATGTTGGTTGGTTGGTTTGTTGTTTAACGCTGCACTCAGCAATATTCCAGCTATATGACGGTTGCCTGTAAATAATCGAGTCTGGACCAGACAATCCAGTGATTGATATCATGCGCATCGATCCACGCAATTGGGATCGATGACGTGCATCAACCAAGTCAGCAAGCCTGACCACCCGATCCCGTTAGACACCTTTTACAGCAAGCATGGGTTGCTGAAGACCCATGGGCGGATACAGAGGGGGTGTGCGGGGGTGTGCACCCCCCCTTTTTATTACGAAAAAAATCTTTATTTCTGTATAAATTACCACCAAAGACAATAAATAGATCTTATTTGTGCACCCCCCCTTTTCAAAAAAGCTGTATCCGCCCATGAGACCTATTCTACCCCGGAATCTTCACAGGTGAAGTGATGCATGCCTCTGACATTTACCACTGCAGTGAAACCTACCTGCTATTATAACAGACTAAGCAAACAATCAGAGCGAACCTGGGATTGAAACCCCTGATTATAGGACTCACACAGCTCAAAGATGCAGCACTTTAAGCTTAGAAAAATGTTTTGGCTTGTTCAACCTGGGACAGGGCCTCCCTACATAAACAAACATACAAACTCCAAATGCCGCCATGGCCATAACACAAGAGCAGTGTGCATGTAAAGGGAAGTAACTGTGGATCACATTTATCAGGATTTCAATTTGTTTTTTAAAATGGAAATAAAAACGAAACGTGCCAAATAACATCTTCATCCTATTTGTGCTCCACGTCAGCCTACCTCATCCTCCATGACCAGGAAGGCCTCCCCCGTATCGGGCTCGATTTCAAACACAGACTTCAGCTTCATCTCAACAAACTCCAGCATGGAGTACGGCAGCATGGCTTTGCGAGCGTCAAGGACATTTGTGATCTTCTGCTGGAACGCCATCGTCATCCTGTGCATCGTCTTCTTGTCCAGTGGGTCCTGGAAACAGATGATGTTGTGTGTACAAAAGCACTCGGACACATTACAGCAGTATCACAACAATAAAGAAACAAGTCTGAAACCGACACACTAGTTCTGTACCCAACAGTACCTGTCTCTCTGTGACTGTCGCCCCTGTCTTCCCTTTTTTTGCTGTAGCAGCCTTGCCGGCGCCGCTATTGGAGGTCTTGCCACCAGTGCCGGGAGAAGTATCAAGGTTCTTCCACTTGTCGTATTCCATGGCAAAGATGGTGAGATCCTGCAGGCCCTCGATGAGATGACACACATACTCAGCCTCCGCCCCGATACTGTGCAGCATCCGCCACGCCTCCACCACATGGCACTGTTCCTGGAACACATGGCATCATGGAGCTTCAGGTCAAGTGTGAAGGGTCAAGTGTTAAGGGCCGAATGTGAAGAGTCAAATGTGATGGTCAAGAGTGAAGGGTCAGGACTGAAGGGTCAGAGGTGAAGGGTCAGGTGTGAAGGGTCAGGAGTGAAGGGTCAAGTTTGAAGGGTAAGGTGTAGAGGGTCAGGACTTGAAGGTCAGGTGTGAAGGGAGAGGTGTGAGTGACTGACTGAGTTTGGTTTTACGCTGCGTTTAGTAATATTCCAGCAATATAACGGCAGGGGACACCAGAAATGGGCATCACGCATTGTACCCATGTCGGGAATCAAACCCTGGTCTTTGGCGTGACAAGCGAACGCTACCCGACCGCCTGAAAGGTCAGGTATGAAAGGTCAATTGTGAAGGATCAGGAATGAAGTGTCGGGTGTGAAAGGTCAGATAAGAAGAGTCAAACTATTTATCACTTAATGATGTATTCAAATTGTCATCTTTAGTGATCTCCCAAAAATTAGCAGCAATGTACGCCATGTTCAAAAGACAAAAAAGAGCCATGACTCATGAGTCAAATAAAACATATTTGTAATGATCGTTTCAAACATATTTATCATGTTAAGATGTGTGAAAAATGTCATCCTCATATTCACGGTGGTTTCCAAGAAAATCTGTATATTGTGCCCTGACCAGAAGGAAGGGCAGTAGTTTAATCCCCCCTCCTACCTGGGACATGAGTGCCCGAAGCAGCAGCAGTCGGTGGACGTCGATCCACTGCGCCTTGTCCCGCGCCTTCAGGATGTGGTCGTCCAGGGACTGGAATGTCGCTCGGATGTTGGGTCCACTCAGTGGGTTGCCGCTCCTCGGACCACCATTCTGGTAGTGGAACGCAGCCTGCCAATGGAAGTAACACACATGTTGATTCACAATGTCGGGGGAGTACAGTATTGTCACATGGATGAGTAGCACAAACTACATGCCTTGTCCTTGCAGACTCTGTCAACTTGACCACAGAGGTGGTGCAGCACAAGGACAAATGACAAGAGTGTCTAAAAGGGGCCTCGAGTTGAACAAACCAATAGTCTTACTGGGTTTCAACTTATATCATCAACCTTAAACTAACATTTGACACAGCTATGAACTATAGGAGAGGCTGATTAAGCTGTTGAAATTCATTCATTTTCTCATGAACTGAACTTAGTATTCCTGAGCATCACGCTGTGTCTTACAATGTGACCATGACCTCATATGGACATCACCACTGTTATGTCAAACATCTGTTGTAGGCTCAACATGGAGGAGGTCAACCGTGAAGCAGCCAACTAAAACATGGCCTGATTAGTCCCACAGGGATGTTGAGTGTTACTGTTGGTGCAGGGCTAGTGTTACTGTGGGTGCAGGGCTAGTGTTACTGTGGGTGCAGGGCTAGTGTTACTGTGGGTGCAGGGCTAGTGTTACTGTGGGTGCAGGGCAAGTGTTACTGTGGGTGCAGGGCTAGTGTTACTGTGGGTGCAGGGCTAGTGTTACTGTGGGTGCAGGGCTAGTGTTACTGTGGGTGCAGGGCTAGTGTTACTGTGGGTGCAGGGCTAATGTAAGTGTTGGTGCAGGGCTAGTGTTACTGTGGGTGCAGGGCTAGTGTTACTGTGGGTGCAGGGCTAGTGTTACTGTGGGTGCAGGGCTAGTGTCCTGGAAGCCTGCTTTCATTATGGACGAGTCTCAGTTCTGGAGGATGTGTATCCAAGACTTCCGCAAATGCTGCACTAAACTGCCACTCACAAAGTATCTGCTGATTCACACAATGCTACAATGTATTCTTTTTCCGTCCCCGCTGTGTTCCGCGATTCCGCAGTCACAGAATAGTTTTCAGAAATGCCAACTCGGTGGAGAAATGTACCTATCTTGCAGAAAATCTCATCTTGTGCATAACTCGTGTAGAATTTTGCATTTATCCACAGCTGAATTCGTCAAACAAATGGCAGAATCCTAACATGGGAGTCGAATGCTGCTTTCCAACGTGTAGATGGATATATATTTTTCCTTGATGCGAAGCTGACTTTTGTATCATTGCTTACCGATAATGCATGTCTGTATGTTTGTACTAGTGATCTCCCGATTCACCTCACCAGACTATTCTGCTACAATGTATCTACTGACACACAGCTGTGCTACAATGTATCTACTGACTCACACAGCTGTGCTACAATGTATCTACTGACTCACACATACACCTGTGCTACAATGTATCTACTGACTCACACAGCTGTGCTACAATGTATCTACTGACTCACATACATACAGCTGTGCTACAATGTATCTACTGACTCACACAGCTGTGCTACAATGTATCTACTGACTCAGCTGTGCTACAATGTATCTACTGACTCACACACACAGCTGTGCTAAAATGTATCTACTGAATCACACACATACAGCTGTGCTACAATGTATCTACTGACACACACACATACAGCTGTGCTACAATGTATCTACTGACTCACAGCTGTGCTACAATGTATCTACTGACACACACACACAGCTGTGCTACAATGTATCTACTGACTCACACACAGCTGTGCTACAATGTATCTACTGACTCACACAGCTGTGCTACAATGTATTTACTGACACACACACACAGCTGTGCTACAATGTATCTACTGACTCACACACAGCTGTGCTACAATGTATCTACTGACTCACACAGCTGTGCTACAATGTATTAACTGACACACACACACAGCTGTGCTACAATGTATCTACTGACTCACACATACAGCTGTGCTACAATGTATCTACTGACTCACACAGCTGTGCTAAAATGTATCTACTGACACACACACATACAGCTGTGCTACAATGTATCTACTGACTCACACAGCTGTGCTACAATGTATCTACTGACTCACACAGCTGTGCTACAATGTATTTACTGACACACACACACAGCTGTGCTACAATGTATCTACTGACTCACACACAGCTGTGCTACAATGTATCTACTGACACACACAGCTGTGCTACAATGTATCTACTGACTCACACACAGCTGTGCTACAATGTATCTACTGACTCACACACATACAGCTGTGCTACAATGTATCTACTGACACACACATACAGCTGTGCTAAAATGTATCTACTGACACACACACATACAGCTGTGCTACAATGTATCTACTGACTCACACAGCTGTGCTACAATGTATCTACTGACTCACACAGCTGTGCTACAATGTATTTACTGACACACACACACAGCTGTGCTACAATGTATCTACTGACTCACACACAGCTGTGCTACAATGTATCTACTGACTCACACACAGCTGTGCTACAATGTATCTACTGACTCACACACAGCTGTGCTACAATGTATCTACTGACTCACACAGCTGTGCTACAATGTATTTACTGACACACACACACAGCTGTGCTACAATGTATTTACTGACACACACACACAGCTGTGCTACAATGTATCTACTGACTCACACACAGCTGTGCTACAATGTATCTACTGACACACACACACAGCTGTGCTACAATGTATCTACTGACTCACACACAGCTGTGCTACAATGTATCTACTGACTCACACAGCTGTGCTACAATGTATTTACTGACACACACACACAGCTGTGCTACAATGTATCTACTGACTCACACACAGCTGTGCTACAATGTATCTACTGACTCACACACAGCTGTGCTACAATGTATTTACTGACACACACACACAGCTGTGCTACAATGTATCTACTGACTCACACACAGCTGTGCTACAATGTATCTACTGACTCACACAGCTGTGCTAAAATGTATCTACTGACACACACACATACAGCTGTGCTACAATGTATCTACTGACTCACACAGCTGTGCTACAATGTATCTACTGACTCACACAGCTGTGCTACAATGTATTTACTGACACACACACACAGCTGTGCTACAATGTATCTACTGACTCACACACAGCTGTGCTACAAACTTAGTACAATGTATCTACTGACTCACACACATACAGCTGTGCTACAATGTATCTACTGAATCACACACATACAGCTGTGCTACAATGTATCTACTGACACACACACATACAGCTGTGCTACAATGTATCTACTGACACACACATACAGCTGTGCTACAATGTATCTACTGACACACACATACAGCTGTGCTACAATGTATCTACTGACTCACACAGCTGTGCTACAATGTATCTACTGACACACACACATACAGCTGTGCTACAATGTATCTACTGACTCACACAGCTGTGCTACAATGTATCTACTGACACACACATACAGCTGTGCTACAATGTATCTACTGACACACACACATACAGCTGTGCTACAATGTATCTACTGACACACACACATACAGCTGTGCTACAATGTATCTACTGACTCACACAGCTGTGCTACAATGTATCTACTGACACACACAGCTGTGCTACAATGTATCTACTGACTCACACAGCTGTGCTACAATGTATCTACTGACACACACACACATACAGCTGTGCTAAAATGTATCTACTGACACACACACATACAGCTGTGCTACAATGTATCTACTGACTCACACAGCTGTGCTACAATGTATCTACTGACTCACACAGCTGTGCTACAATGTATCTACTGACTCACACACAGCTGTGCTACAATGTATTTACTGACACACACACACAGCTGTGCTACAATGCATACTGACTCACACACAGCTGTGCTACAAACTTAGTACAATGTATCTACTGACTCACACACATACAGCTGTGCTACAATGTATCTACTGACACACACACATACAGCTGTGCTACAATGTATCTACTGACACACACACATACAGCTGTGCTACAATGTATCTACTGACTCACACAGCTGTGCTACAATGTATCTACTGACACACACATACAGCCGTGCTACAATGTATCTACTGACACACACACATACAGCTGTGCTACAATTTATCTACTGACTCACACATACACCTGTGCTACAATGTATCTACTGACTCACAAAGCTGTGCTACAATGTATCTACTGACACACACAGCTGTGCTAAAATGTATCTGACACACACACAGCTGTGCTACAATGTATCTACTGACACACACACATACAGCTGTGCTACAATGTATCTACTGACACACACAGCTGTGCTAAAATGTATCTGACACACAAACAGCTGTGCTACAATGTATCTACTGACTCACACACATACAGCTGTGCTACAATGTATCTACTGACACACACACATACAGCTGTGCTACAATGTATCTACTGACACACACACATACAGCTGTGCTACAATGTATCTACTGACACACACACATACAGCTGTGCTAAAATGTATCTACTGACTCACACACATACAGCTGTGCTACAATGTATCTACTGACTCACACAGCTGTGCTACAATGTATCTACTGACTCACACATACACTTGTGCTACAATGTATCTACTGACTCACACAGCTGTGCTACAATGTATCTACTGACTCACACAGCTGTGCTAAAATGTATCTGACACACACACAGCTGTGCTACAATGTATCTACTGACACACACAAACAGCTGTGCTACAATGCATCTACTGACTCACACAGCTTTCCTACAATGTATCTGACTCACACAGCTGTGCTAAAATGTATCTACTGACTCACACAGCTGTGCTACAATGTATCTATTGACACACACACAGCTGTGCTACAATGTATCTATTGACACACACACAGCTGTGCTACAATGTATCTATTGACACACAGCTGTGCTACAATGTATCTACTGACTCACACAGCTGTGCTACAATGTATCTACTGACCCACAGCTGTGCTACAATGTATCTACTGACTCACACAGCTGTGCTACAATGTATCTACTGACACACACAGCTGTGCTACAATGTAACTACTGACTCACACAGCTGTGCTACAATGTATCTTCTGACTCACACAGCTGTGCTAAAATGTATCTGTTGATTAACACACAGCTGTGCTACAAATAATTCCCACAATGATGTATTACACTGTCTTGACTCACCCTGTCTTTAGTTAGGAAGAGGCACTGGTAGAAGGAGCAAGGGTCCGGGGGGAAGTACAGCTCCTTGCTGGAACACAATACACAGACCCTGATACAACACCACACAGATCCTTGATACAACACACAGATCCTTGATACAACAACACAGATCCTTGATACAACAACACACAGATCCTTGATACAACAACACAGATCCTTGATACAACACACAGATCCTTGATACAATAATCCATAGCGCCTTGATACAACACACAGATCCTTGATACAACAACACACATATCCTTGAAACAACAACACACAGACCGTTGATACAACAACATACAGATCCTTGATACAACAACACACAGATCCTTGATACAACACACAGATCCTTGATACAACAACACACAGATCCTTGATACAACACACAGATCCTTGATACAACAACACACAGACCCTTGATACAACAACACACAGATCCTTGATACAACAACACACATATCCTTGATACAACAACACACAGATCCTTGATACAACACACAGATCCTTGATACAACAACACACAGATCCTTAATACAACAACACAGATCCTTGATACAACAATACACAGATCCTTGATACAACAACACAGATCCTTGAAAAAACAATACACAGAACCTTGATACAACAATACACAGATCCTTGATACAACACACAGATCCTTGATACAACAACACACATATCCTTGATACAACAACACACTGATCCTTGATAACTCCCATCAAGAAATACAGGTTTTCACTGTCACAACAATTTAACATTAAGAACCAAATCACTTGCAGTTAAGCATGAAAGAAGTTTGATTCAGTTAAAATCTGTGTAAGAAGTTTGTCTCCTTTATAATTATTCAATATGCAACACATCCAATTGTTTCTAACTTGTTTTCATTCACTTTACTGCACAGTGAGTGAGTGAGTGTGAGTGTGTGAGTGAGTGAGTAAGAGTGTGAGTGAGTGAGTGAGTGAGTGAGTGAGTGAGTGAGTATGAGTGGTTGGGTGAGTGAGTGAGTGAGTGAGTATGAGTGGTTGGGTGAGTGAGTGAGTGGTTGGGTGAGTGAGAGTGTGAGTGAGTGAGTGAGAGTGAGAGTGTGAGTGAGTGAGAGTGAGTTAGTGAGAGTGAGTTAGTGAGAGTGTGAGTGATTGTGAGTGTGAGTGTGAGTGAGAGTGTGAGTGAGTGAGTGAGTGAGACTGAGTGAGTGAAACTGAGTGAGTGAGAATGTGAGTGAGTGAGTGAGTGAGTGAGTGAGAGTGTGAGTGAGTGAGTGAGAGTGTGAGTGAGTGAGAGTGAGTTAGTGAGAGTGTGAGTGAGTGAGAGTGTGAGTGAGAGTGTGAGTGAGTGTGAGTGAGTGAGAGTGTGAGTGAGTGAGAGTGTGAGTGAGTGAGAGTGTGAGTGAGAGTGTGAGTGAGTGTGAGTGAGAGTGTGAGTGTGAGTGAGTGAGTGAGTGAGTGAGACTGAGTGAGTGAGTGAGAATGTGAGTGAGAATGTGAGTGAGTGAGAGTGTGAGTGAGTGAGAGTGTGAGTGAGTGTGAGTGAGAGTGTGAGTGAGAGTGTGAGTGAGTGAGTGAGTGAGTGAGACTGAGTGAGTGAGTGAGAATGTGAGTGAGAATGTGAGTGAGTGAGTGAGTAGCCATGCCGGGATTCAAACCTGGGTGTTCAGTGTGACGAGCAAATGCTTTAACCACTAGGCTACCCGACCGCCCCTTTCGTTGCACAGTGTGTCAGTCAGACAGCAGGTCCCCACAAACACAGAGAGTGTATGCTGTAACAAGCTCAGCACCTACCCGAGATGATCATCGGTGAGCCAGTGGAAGAGGAAGTGTTTCTTCACGCCCACGTACCGCCACTCGTCCAGCTGCACATATGCCTGGGAGGAAAGATCATGAGGACAACCCACTCACACTGCTTAACAGTATATTATCCTTCGAGATTGTCAGTCTAATGCTAGAAATCATTTCAGGATTATAATGGGTAGGTGACCATCTACCAAGATGAGCAAATTTATGTCAATCTTATAGTCTGGAGGGTAATTTAAGGTACCGACGTTTACTACAATATCTGAAAAACTATTGGACCTACTCCAGTCCAGACCTACTCACACACCATCACGCACACTCACACACCATCACGCACACTCACGTAAACTCACACGCCATCACACACCATCACATACTCACACACCATCACACACCATCACACACATTCAAACACCTTCACACACCATCACACACTCACACACCATCACACATATTCACACACCATCACATACTCACACACCATCACACACCATCACATACTCACACACCATCACACACTCACACACATTCACACACCATCACATACTCACACACCATCACACACATTCACACACCATCACATACTCACGCTCACTCACACACCATCACACACACTCATACACCATCAAACACACTCACACACCATCACACACACTCATACACCATCACACACACTCACACACCATCACATACTCAGGCACACTCACACATCATCAAACACTCACACACCATCACATACTCAGGCACACTCACACACCATCACATACTCGCACACCATCACATACTCACACACCATCACACAGTCACACACCATCACATACTCAGGCACACTCACACACCATCACACAGTCACACACCATCACATACTCAGGCACACTCACACACCATCAAACACTCACACACCATCACATACTCAGGCACACTCACACACCATCAAACACTCACACACCATCACATACTCAGGCACACTCACACACCATCACACACTCACACACCATCAAACACTCACACACCATCACAAACCATCAAACACTCACACACCATCACATACTCGCACAGTCACACACCATCACAAACTCACACACCATCAAACACTCACACACCATCACATACTCAGGCACACTCACACACCATCAAACACTCACACACCATCACATACTCAGGCACACTCGTAAAACCATCAAACACTCACACACCATCAAACACTCACACACCATCACATACTCAGGCACACTCACACACCATCACATACTCAGGCACACTCACACACCATCAAACGCTCACACACCATCACATTCTTAGGCACACTCACACACCATCAAACACTCACACACCATCACATACTCAGGCACACTCACACACCATCACACACTCACACACCATCACACACTCACACACCATCACACACTCACGCATCATCACATACTCAGGCACACTCACACACCATCAAACGCTCACACACCATCACATACTCAGGCACACTCACACACCATCACACACACACACCATCAAACACACACACCATCACCCACTCACGCACCATCACATACTCAGGCACACTCACACACCATCACACACTCACACACCATCACACACTCACACACTCACGCATCATCACATACTCAGGCACACTCACACACCATCAAACACTCACACACCATCACACACACACACCATCAAACACACACACCATCACCCACTCACGCACCATCACACACCATCACACACCATCAAACACTCACACACCATCACATACTCAGGCACAGTCACACACCATCACACACTTACACACCATCAAACACTCACACACCTTCACATACTCAGGCAAACTCACACACCATCACACACCATCAAACACTCACACACCATCACATACTCAGGCACACTCACACACCATCACACACTCACACACTCACACACCATCACATACTCAGGCACACTCACACACCATCAAACGCTCACACACCATCACATACTCAGGCACACTCACACACCATCACACACTCACACACCATCAAACACACACACCATCACCCACTCACGCACCATCACACACCATCAAACACTCGCACACCATCACATACTCAGGCACAGTCACACACCATCACACAATTACACACCATCAAAGACTCACACACCATCACATACTCATGCACCATCACACACCATCACACACCATCACATACTCAGGCACACTCACACACCATCACACACTCACGCATCATCACATACTCAGGCACACTCACACACCATCACACACCATCACATACTCAGGCACACTCACACACCATCACACACTCACGCATCATCACATACTCAGGCACACTCACACACCATCAAACACTCACACACCATCAAACACTCACACACCATCACACACTCATACACCATCAAACACACACACACCATCACACACTCATGCACCATCACACACCATCACATACTCAGGCACACTCACACACCATCACCCACTCACGCATCATCACATACTCAGGCACACTCACACACCATCAAACACTCACACACCATCACACACTCACACACCATCACACACTCATACACCATCAAACACACACACACCATCACATACTCAGGCACACTCACACACCATCACATACTCAGGCACGCTCACACACCATCACACACCATCAACTTCTCAGGCACACTCACACACCATCAAACACTCACACACCATCACACACTCACACACCATCACACACTCACGCACCATCACATACTCAGGGACACTCACACACCATGACACACCATCACACATTGAAGCACCATCACATACTCAGGCACACTCACACACCATCAAACACTCACATACCATCACACACTTACACAACATCACATACTCAGGCACAATCACACACTCGCACACCATCACATACTCGCACAGTCACACACCATCACACACCATCAAACACTCACACACCATCACACACTCATGCACCATCACATACTCAGGCACACTCACACACCATCACACACTCACACACCATCACACACTCACACACCATCACACTCTCACACACCATCACACACTCAAGCACCATCACATACTCAGGCAAACTCACACACCATCAAACACTCACACACCATCACACACCATCAAACACTCACACACCATCAAACAGTCGCAGAGTCACACACCATCACACAGTCACACACCATCACACACCCACCATCACACACTCGCACACCATCACACACTCACACACCATCACACACTCGCACACCATCACACAGTCACACACCATCAGTCACAAATACCATCACACAGTCACACACCATCAAACACTCACACACCATCAAACACTCACACACCATCACACAGTCATACACCATCACACACTCATACACCATAACACACTCACACAATCAAACACTCACACACCATCACATACACACACTCGCAAACCACACACTCGCACACCATCAAACACTCACACACCATCACACAGTCATACACCATCACACACCAAAAATCACACACTCGCACACCATCACACACTCACACACCATCACACACTCGCACACCATCACACAGTCACACACCATCACAGTCACATACCATCACACAGTCACACACCATCAAACACTCACACACCATCACACAGTCATACACCATCACACACTCATACACCATCACACACCACACACCATCACATACACACACACACACACTCGCACACCATCACAGTCACACACCATCACAGTCACACACCATCACAGTCACACACAGTCACACACCATCACAGTCACACACCATCACACACCATCACACACCATCACAGTCACACACCATCACACACCATCACAGTCACACACCATCACACACCATCAGTCACACACCATCACAGTCACACACAGTCACACACCATCACAGTCACACACCATCACACACCATCAGTCACACACCATCACAGTCACACACAGTCACACACCATCACAGTCACACACCATCACACACCATCACAGTCACACACAGTCACACACCATCACAGTCACACACCATCAGTCACACACCATCACAGTCACACACACTCGCACACCACACAGTCACACACCACCAGTCACACACCATCACACAGTCACACACCATCACACACCCACCATCACACAGTCACACACCATAACACAGTCACACACCATCACACAGTCACACACCATCACACACCATAACACAGTCACACACCATCACACAGTCACACACCATTACAGTCAGGCACCATCACAGTCACACACAGTCACACACCATCACAGTCACACACCATCAGTCACACACCATCACAGTCACACACCATCACACACCATCACAGTCACACACAGTCACACACCATCACAGTCACGCACCATCACAGTCACACACAGTCACACACCATCACAGTCACACACCATCACAGTCACACACCATCACAGTCACACACCATCACAGTCATGCACCATCACAGTCACACACCATCACAGTCACACACCATCACAGTCACACACCATCACACACCATCAGTCACACACCATCAGTCACACATCATCACAGTCACACACCATCACAGTCACACACCATCACACACCATCAGTCACACACCATCAGTCACACACCATCACAGTCACACACCATCACAGTCACACACCATCACAGTCACACACCATCACAGTCACACACAGTCACACAGTCACACACCATCACAGTCACACACCATCACACAGTCACACACCATCACAGTCACACACCATCACACAGTCACACACCATCACAGTCACGCACCATCACAGTCACACACAGTCACACACCATCACAGTCATACACCATCACACAGTCACACACCATCACAGTCACACACCATCACACACCATCAGTCACACACCATCACACAGTCACACACCATCAGTCACACACCATCACAGTCACACACAGTCACACACCATCACAGTCACACACAGTCACACACCATCACAGTCACACACCATCACACAGTCACACACCATCACAGTCACACACCATCAGTCACACACCATCACACAGTCACACACCATCAGTCACACACCATCAGTCACACATCATCACAGTCACACACCATCACAGTCACACACCATCACAGTCACACACAGTCACACAGTCACACACCATCACAGTCACACACCATCACACACCATCAGTCACACACCATCAGTCACACATCATCACAGTCACACACCATCACAGTCACACACCATCACACACCATCAGTCACACACCATCAGTCACACACCATCACAGTCACACACCATCACAGTCACACACCATCACAGTCACACACCATCACAGTCACACACAGTCACACAGTCACACACCATCACAGTCACACACCATCACACAGTCACACACCATCACAGTCACACACCATCACACAGTCACACACCATCACAGTCACGCACCATCACAGTCACACACAGTCACACACCATCACAGTCATACACCATCACACAGTCACACACCATCACAGTCACACACAGTCACACACCATCAGTCACACACCATCACACAGTCACACACCATCAGTCACACACCATCACAGTCACACACACTCGCACACCACACAGTCACACACCACCAGTCACACACCATCACACAGTCATACACCATCACACACCCACCATCACACACTCGCACACTCACACACCATCACACAATCACACACCATCACACACCATCAGTCACACACCATCACACAGTCACACACCATCAGTCACACACCATCACAGTCACACACAGTCACGCACCATCACAGTCACACACCATCAGTCACACACCATCACAGTCACACACCATCACAGTCACACACCATCACAGTCACACACCATCACAGTCACACACCATCACAGTCACACACCATCACAGTCATACACAGTCACACACCACACAGTCACACACCATCAGTCACACACCATCACAGTCACACACCATCACAGTCACACACCATCACAGTCACACACCATCACAGTCACACACCATCACAGTCACGCACCATCACAGTCACACACCATCACAGTCACACACCATCACAGTCACACACCATCACAGTCACACACCATCACAGTCACGCACCATCACAGTCACGCACCATCACAGTCACACACCATCACAGTCACACACCATCACAGTCACACACCATCACAGTCACACACCATCACAGTCACACACCATCACAGTCACACACCATCACAGTCACACACCATCACAGTCACACACCATCACAGTCATACACAGTCACACACCACACAGTCACACACCATCAGTCACACACCATCACACAGTCACACACCATCAGTCACACACCATCACAGTCACACACACTCGCACACCACACAGTCACACACCACCAGTCACACACCATCACACAGTCATACACCATCACACACCCACCATCACACACTCGCACACTCGCACACCATCACACACTCACACACCATCACACAGTCACACACCATAACACAGTCACACACCATCACACACCATAACACAGTCACACACCATCACACAGTCATACACCATCACACATCCACTATCACACGCTCGCACAACATCACACACTCACACACCATCACACAGTCACACACCATAACACAGTCACACACCATCACACAGTCACACACCATAACACAGTCACACACCATAACACAGTCACACACCATCACACAGTCACACACCATCACAGTCACACACCATCACAGTCACACACACTCGCACACCACACAGTCACACACCACCAGTCACACACCATCACATACACACACTCGCACACCACAGTCACACACCATCACACACTCACACACCTTCGAACACTCACACACCTTCGAACACTCACACACCATCACACACTCACACAACATCACACTCACACACCATCACACACCTTCGAACACTCACACACCATCACACACTCACACAACATCACACAGTCACACACCATCACACACTCAGAAGTAGTCCCCTGCTGCTCAATAAGAGATTCCAGAATCGACTCTCAACCCTGACTTTGTGAATAATTGAAACTGATTGTTGAGTCATTGGTGCAGAGCTCCAGATAAGTTTTTGAGCAATTGAATTTTTACTCGAAGGTTTGTATTTTAATTGGGTTATTACATTTTTCATTGGGTAACCAATTTATTTTCGCTCACGTATTCATCACTCTATTGGGTTTTTCCAAAAATGAGCTAACATTTTGAGTGAGTGAGTGAGTTGGGTTTAACCCCGCTTTGAACAGTATTCCAGTTATATCACGGTGTGTCAGCTTAATTTGGGAGGAAAGCCCGAAGTGATGCAGGACGTTTACCACTTCAGTGAAACCCACGAGCACGGGTATGGTGCTGACAAACCTAGAAACATAACTGGGGCGAACCGGGATGCTAACATTTTGAGATTTCAAAAAAAATAAAATAATGTTTTAGATGTATTTAAGGGTTCTAGTAAAGGCTTGACTCGGAAAGTAAATAAGCTTGTAATTGTGTTTCGGAAATTAGCTCCATTGTATTTACGCATGCTGTTATCATACATTTGAGTTTTTCATCTAATGCATGCGTTTCTGTACCCAAGTTAATCGAAAGTACTTGCTTTTGAATTTATTTTTTTTTTGGGGGGGGGAGGTATTTTACGCAATTACGCAGCTTATCTTTAGCTGTGTTAGTGTCAAATCTTAATGACATGACCCAAATGATATTCCAAAGAGAGTAAGGGATGCATGTCAACAGGTCAACAACATAAACTCACTCACTCTTTCACTCACTCACACCATCACACACTCACCTTGAAGTAGATGGGCTCTCTCCTGGTACACACCATCTCGAACTCGGTGAGGAATCCTTGTCTGGAGTTGAGGATGTCTTCCCAGGTCCAGCGGATGCCGTCCAGCCCCATGTAGACACCCATCACAGGGTACAATGACAGCTCGATCAGGTCACACAGGTGGTTATACACTGTGCAGTGGAGGAGTAAACATAGACATACAGTTTCCACATACCAGTTATATGATGGCGTACTGTAAATAATCAAGAAAAAACAGTGATTGGCTCGCAGTCACAATCACAAGTGTTGCCACCCTCCATTTCAAACTCAATCCCCCACATCATCATCAGATATTCAGGCTGAGTATTTGTTTGTTTGTTTGTTTGTTGTTTAACACAGCAATCCGCAATATTCCAGCTGTATGACGGCGGTCTGTAAATAATCGAGTCTGGACCAGACAATTCAGTGATTGACATCATGAGCATCGATCCAGGCAATTGGGATACGATGACATGCATCAACCAAGTCAGCGAGCCTGACCAACCGATCCCCTTAGTCGCCTCTTACAACAAGCATAGTCACCTTTTACAGTAAGTATGGGTTGCTGAAGGCCTATTCTACCCCGGATCTTCATGGGTCTCAGGCTGAGTAGGTTAACACTGTGTTGAACAGCATGTGGTGAGGGGAAATGAAACATGAATATTTATCAATGCCAACCAGTGGGTGTAGTGCTGCTTGACCAAGATTGTTATCAAAGCATGGACAAAAGATACTGGCTAAGGGGAGTAACTCTTGCAAGATAAGTGTCAGCACTGGGCCACTCTGACCCCACCCTGTTTATAACACAAGAGAAACAAAACCTATGTGAACACAATATTTTTCTCAAATATCCCAAACTATTAAAAGGCACCAGTTTACCACTAGACCTATTTATGCGCCAAGTTTGGTGAGAAATATTGTACGGTTTTCAAGATCTGCTCCAGAAACGAGCACTACCACCATTTTCAGTCAGTCGTTGCCATGGAAACTATCAAAAAGGCACCAGTTCACCACTAGACCTATCTATGTGCCAAGTTTGGTAAAGTTATCTCTCATGGTTCTGCTCTGGAATGAAACGTGACAGCCAGATGGAAGGATGTACAGACAGCACCCATTCCTATATCCCCCTTCCACTTCGTGGCAGGGGTTAATAATATCAACATCAGAATCAAAACAAATTTTATCTTACCCATTTTTGCAAACAAGCTGAGGGCCTCGCTCTCACAGCCCTGTGGGCCCTGCATGTAGTAGTGCTCCTCCAAGGTGATGGAGTTCAGGTACGGCTGCATCTGTCCGTACAGCAGACACGACCCCACAATCCCCATACACACTCCGATCTGGTGGAACAGATGTACACTGTGAGCTGTAGAAGTAGGGGATGCATAGCACCATGTAACTTATAACATACCCCTCGTGATGCTGCCATAACTTATAACATACCCCTCGTGATGCTGCCATAACTTATAACATACCCCTCGTGATGCTGCCATAACTTATAATATACCCCTCGTGATGCTGCCATAACTCATAATATACCCCTCGTGATGCTGCCATAACTTATAACATACCCCTCGTGATGCTGCCATAACTTATAATATACCCCTCGTGATGCTGCCATAACTTATAATATACCCCTCATGATGCTGCCATAACTTATCATATACCCCTCAACATATATGCTCAACACATGACTTTCATTGACTCGTAAACAATGTGAAGCTTTATAGTGAAGTGCAAGAGATTTAATTTCCTTTTTAGAAAACCAAGTGCAGCCTGTTCTTCACAAGGGACTTATTCTCATGCGCTGAAATCTACTTTCCTCCCAGGTGGGAAACACAGTATTATACCAAGATCATGTGATCCCCTTCCGGTGGATGTAGAGAGACACTCACCCTGAATGGCCCCTTCCGGTAGTTGTAGAGAGACACTCACCCTGAATGGTCCCTTCCGATGGATGTAGAGAGACACTCACCCTGAATGGCCCCTTCCGGTGGATGTAGAGAGACACTCACCCTGAATGGCCACTTCCGGTGGATGAAGAGAGACACTCACCCTGAATGGCCCCTTCCGGTGGATGTAGAGAGACACTCACCCTGAATGGCCCCTTCCGGTGGATGTAGAGAGACACTCACCCTGAATGGCCCCTTCCGATGGATGAAGAGAGACACTCACCCTGAATGGCCCCTTCCGGTGGATGTAGAGAGACGCTCACCCTGAATGGCCCCTTCCGGTGGATGCAGAGAGACACTCACCCTGAATGGCCCCTTCCGGTGGATGTAGAGAGACGCTCACCCTGAATGGCCCCTTCCGGTGGATGCAGAGAGACACTCACCCTGAATGGCCCCTTCCGGTGGATGTAGAGAGACGCTCACCCTGAATGGCCCCTTCCGGTGGATGCAGAGAGACACTCACCCTGAATGGCCCCTTCCGGTGGATGAAGAGAGACACTCACCCTGAATGGCCCCTTCCGGTGGATGTAGAGAGACACTCACCCTGAATGGCCCCTTCCGATGGATGTAGAGAGAAACTCACCCTGAATGGCCCCTTCCGGTGGATGTAGTTTTTGTATGAGAAGTTCTGCTGCACTAATCTGGCGAGGTTGACGTAGGCGGCGATGTCCAGCACAGCCAGAGCACTCCGTGGACCTGCAAAACAAACACACACTCACAAGTCGGCATTTTGCTAATATTTCATGAAAATCTTCAAGTAGTCGCCACACATGTATTGTTTCGTTACACTCTCGGTAACATCGCCGCCAACAGTGTTGCCGCAGCCATTACAAATGTAGTAATGTTTATACTTTTGTTTATGTCTTTGGGAATGCCATCATAGTGAATTTTGAAAAGGTTTATGACTGACCCTATTTCTCAAATGAATTTACCTTTTGTTCGTTTGATAAGATTGGTTTGAGATTACAGACAAACGGAAAATCAACCAACTTCCCCCTTTCATTCTTACTATACATCATTTACATGATAGTTGTCATGAAGCAGAAATTCAATTGACAAAGAAAATAATTCAGCTGGGGTAAGAGTATTCAGCTTGACAGCAGTCGTCACTTGTTTGTAAACATAACGGTCAGTCGGTTGCGAGTTCAACTCCAAGCATGGTCATGGTCACCTATCACAGTGGGGAGCTTTGACTGGTGCCAGCAATAGTATAGAGAGCTCTGCGAACGGAATATCGCTGTGAGCAGCTTGTATACACTGGGTGTGACGGGGAGACAACTCCAACACATTCTGCCCACCAGGTGCCACATATGTATGTTACACGAGAAAACAAATAGTGTTTCTCTACTCGTGGCCTTAAGATGACACTACAGGATGAACATATTCTGCAACATTGGACGGATGAGTGGGCAAGAGCTTAATGTCTTCCTTGATACTACGACGACTCCTCCGAGTGTCACATGACCACTGATCCCCCGGTCACACGATGGAAGCTAGCCCTCCCCAGTGTCTTGCACTTGGTTTATCGCTCTATCATTTACTTATAATTCCTAGAAAGAGAGGAACTGTATAAACTGCATACCATAGCCGTCACAGCCTGCCATGTAGTAGACGTAGTTGTCGGGGTCAGCTTCCTGGGGGGTCCCTGACAACAGCTGACTCAGCAGATTGGATGACTTCTCATAGCACAGGTCCACCCTAAGGCACACATTCAGTGTAGGGATCATTGTAGGAATCAGTGTCGGAATCATTGTAGGAATCAGTGTCGGAATCAGTGTCGGAATCAGTGTAGGAATCAGTGTAGGAATCAGTGTCGGAATCAGTGTAGGGATCAGTGTCGGAATCAGTGTAGGGATCAGTGTCGGAATCAGTGTCGGAATCAGTGTAGGAATCAGTGTCGGAATCAGTGTAGGGATCAGTGTAGGAATCAGTGTAGGGATCAGTGTCGGAATCAGTGTCGGAATCAGTGTAGGGATCAGTGTCGGAATCAGTGTAGGGATCAGTGTCGGAATCAGTGTCGGAATCAGTGGCAGAATCAGTGTCGGAATCAGTGTAGAAATCAGTGTCGGAATCAGTGTAGGGATCAGTGTAGGAATCAGTGTCGGAATCAGTGTAGGGATCAGTGTAGGAATCAGTGTAGGAATCAGTGTAGGAATCAGTGTAGGGATCAGTGTCGGAATCAGTGTAGGGATCAGTGTCGGAATCAGTGTCGGAATCAGTGTAGGAATCAGTGTAGGAATCAGGGTAGGGATCAGTGTCGGAATCAGTGTAGGGATCAGTGTCGGAATCAGTGGCAGAATCAGTGTCGGAATCAGTGTAGAAATCAGTGTCGGAATCAGTGTAGGGATCAGTGTAGGAATCAGTGTAGGAATCAGTGTAGGAATCAGCGTCGGAATCAGTGTAGAAATCAGTGTCGGAATCAGTGTAGGGATCAGTGTAGGAATCAGTGTAGGAATCAGTGTAGGAATCAGGGTAGGGATCAGTGTCGGAATCAGTGTCGGAATCAGTGTAGGAATCAGTGTAGGGATCAGTGTCAGAATCAGTGTAGGAATCAGTGTCGGAATCAGTGTCGGAATCATTGTAGGAATCAGTGTAGGAATCAGGGTCGGAATCAGTGTAGGAATCAGGGTCGGAATCAGTGTAGGAATCAGTGTCAGAATCAGTGTCGGAATCAGTGTAGGAATCAGTGTCGGAATCATTGTCGGAATCAGTGTAGGATACAGTGGCAGAATCAGTGTCGGAATCAGTGTAGGAATCAGTGTAGGAATCAGTGTTGGAATCAGTGTAGGAATCAGTGTAGGAATCAGTGTAGGAATCAGGGTAGGGATCAGTGTAGGAATCAGTGTAGGAATTAGTGTAGGAATCAGGTTAGGAATCAGTGTCGGAATCAGTGTCGGACTCAGTGTCGGAATCAGTGTAGGAATCAGTGTCGGAATCAGTGTAGGAATCAGTGTCAGATACAGTGTAGAAATCAGTGTCGGAATCAGTGTAGGAATCAGTGTAGGAATCAGTGTAGGAATCAGTGTCGGAATCAGTGTTGGAATCAGTGTAGGAATCAGTGTAGGAATCAGTGTAGGAATCAGGGTAGGGATCAGTGTAGGAATCAGTGTAGGAATTAGTGTAGGAATCAGTGTCGGAATCAGTGTCGGAATCAGTGTAGGAATCAGTGTCGGAATCAGTGTAGGAATCAGTGTCAGATACAGTGTAGAAATCAGTGTCGGAATCAGTGTAGGAATCAGTGTAGGGATCAGTGTCAGATACAGTGTAGGAATCAGTGTCAGAATCAGTGTAGGAATCAGTGTAGGAATCAGTGTCGGAATCAGGGTAGGAATCAGGGTAGGAATCGGTGTCGGAATCGGTGTCGGAATCAGTGTCGGAATCGGTGTCGGAATCAGTGTAGGAATCTGTGTAGGAATCAGTGTAGGAATCAGTGTGGGAATCAGTGTAGGAATCAGGGTAGGAATCAGTGTCGGAATCAGTGTCGGAATCAGTGTAGGAATCAGGGTAGGAATCAGGGTAGGAATCAGGGTAGGAATCGGTGTCGGAATCAGCGTCGGAATCAGTGTAGGAATCAGTGTAGGAATCAGTGTCGGAATCAGTGTAGGAATCAGTGTCGGAATCAGTGTAGGAATCAGGGTAGGAATCGGTGTCGGAATCAGTGTAGGAATCAGTGTAGGAATCAGTGGCAGAATCAGTGGCAGAATCAGTGTCGGAATCAGTGTAGGAATCAGTGTCAGAATTAGTGTAGCAATCCGTGTCAGATACAGTGTCGGAATCAGTGTCGGAATCAGTGTAGGAATCGGTGTCGGAATCAGTGTAGGAATCAGGGTAGGAATCAGTGTCGGAATCGGTGTCGGAATCAGTGTCGGAATCAGTGTCGGAATCAGTGTAGGAATCAGTGTCGTAATCAGTGTAGGAATCAGCGTCGGAATCAGTGTAGGAATCAGGGTAGGAATCGGTGTCGGAATCGGTGTCGGAATCAGTGTTGGAATCAGTGTAGGAATCAGTGTCGGAATCAGTGTAGGAATCAGTGTCGGAATCAGTATAGGAATCAGTGTAGGAATCAGTGTCGGAATCAGTGTAGGAATCAGGGTAGGAATCGGTGTCGGAATCAGTGTCGGAATCAGTGTAGGAATCAGTGTAGGAATCAGTGTAGGAATCAGTGGCAGAATCAGTGGCAGAATCAGTGTCGGAATCAGTGTAGGAATCAGGGTAGGAATCGGTGTCGGAATCAGTGGCAGAATCAGTGTAGGAATCAGTGTAGGAATCAGTGTAGGAATCAGTGGCAGAATCAGTGGCGGAATCAGTGTCAGAATCAGTGTAGGAATCAGTGTCAGATACATTGTAGGAATCAGTGTCGGAATCAGTGGCAGAATCAGTGTCGGAATCAGTGTAGGAATCAGTGTCAGAATTAGTGTAGGAATCAGTGTAGGAATCAGTGTCGGAATCAGTGTCGGAATCAGTGTAGGAATCAGTGTCGGAATCAGTGTAGGAATCGGTGTCGGAATCGGTGTAGGAATCAGCGTCGGAATCAGTGTAGGAATCAGTGTCGGAATCAGTGTAGGAATCAGTGTAGGAATCAGTGTTGGAATCAGTGTAGGAATCAGTGTAGGAATCAGTGTAGGAATCGGTGTCGGAATCGGTGTAGGCATCAGCGTCGGAATCAGTGTAGGAATCAGTGTAGGAATCAGTGTAGGAATCAGTGTTGGAATCAGTGTAGGAATCAGTGTAGGAATCAGTGTCGGAATCAGTGTAGGAATCAGTGTAGGGATCAGTGTCGGAATCAGTGTAGGAATCAGTGTAGGAATCAGTGTAGGAATCAGTGTAGGAATCAGTGGCAGAATCAGTGGCAGAATCAGTGTCGGAATCAGTGTAGGAATCAGGGTAGGAATCGGTGTCGGAATCAGTGTAGGAATCAGTGGCAGAATCAGTGTAGGAATCAGTGTAGGAATCAGTGTAGGAATCAGTGGCAGAATCAGTGGCGGAATCAGTGTCGGAATCAGTGTCAGATACAGTGTAGGAATCAGTGTCGGAATCAGTGGCAGAATCAGTGTCGGGATCAGTGTAGGAATCAGTGTCAGAATTAGTGTAGGAATCAGTGTAGGAATCAGTGTCGGAATCAGTGTCGGAATCAGTGTAGGAATCAGTGTCGGAATCAGTGTAGGAATCGGTGTCGGAATCGGTGTAGGAATCAGCGTCGGAATCAGTGTAGGAATCAGTGTCGGAATCAGTGTAGGAATCAGTGTTGGAATCAGTGTAGGAATCAGTGTAGGAATCAGGGTAGGAATCAGTGTAGGAATCGGTGTCGGAATCGGTGTAGGAATCAGCGTCGGAATCAGTGTAGGAATCAGTGTAGGAATCAGTGTAGGAATCAGTGTTGGAATCAGTGTAGGAATCAGTGTAGGAATCAGTGTAGGAATCAGTGTAGGAATCAGTGTCGGAATCAGTGTAGGAATCAGTGTAGGGATCAGTGTCGGAATCAGTGTAGGAATCAGTGTAGGAATCAGTGTCGGAATCAGTGTAGGAATCAGTGTCAGTGTAGGAATCAGTGTCAGTGTAGGAATCACTGTCGGAATCAGTGTCGGAATCAGTGTAGGAATCAGTGTCGGAATCAGTGTAGGAATCAGTGTAGGAATCAGTGTAGGAATCAGTGTAAGATACAGTGTAGGAATCAGTGTAGGAATCAGTGTAGGAATGAGTGTAGGAATGAGTGTAGGAATCAGTGTCGGAATCAGTGTAGGAATCAGTGTAGGAATCAGTGTTGGGATCAGTCCTGAAGTTCACTGGACAGGAGGGCTTGTGTTAATGCTAGAGGCCGTCATCATATGTCATTAGTGCCACGTTATGGCTGCAGCTAACATGTGTTGTGTTCACCTAGATATATCTTGTGTGTTCGGGGTGCTCTTTAGACTTTCACACACAGGTACATGAACATCAGCCCTGATCAGCGGACTGCAGGAACCTGTATTCCTACTTCGCCATGGTTTCCCATCAACTATGAAGTGAAAACAAAATGACAACAAACTTTGACATAAAGTGATGCCTAACTGACTTGATGATTCGTGGAAATAAATACTAGAATGTATTGACTAGATTTATATAAATATTGACAGTAAGGCCAGCTTTATCGGAATGATACTTGCCCAATCGAAAAGTCACTGGCATTTGTCTAGCTTCTTAGAACACTGTACACAATACACGCAGCTCACTCCGACAAACCATCCTCCCTGTATTGATCCGAGAAGTCTGTGTACAGCGCGTACAGTGTGTACAGCACGTACAGTGTGTATAGTGTGTACAGCGCGTACAGTGTGTACAGCGCGTACAGTGTGTATAGTGTGTAGTGTGTACAGCGCGTACAGTGTGTATAGTGTGTACAGTGTGTTCAGCGCGTACAGTGTGTATAGTGTGTACAGTGTGTACAGCGCGTAGTGTGTACAGCGCGTACAGTGTGTATAGTGTGTACAGCGCGTACAGTGTGTACAGTGTGTACAGCATGTACAGTGTGTACAGCGCGTACAGTGTGTACAGCGCGTACAGTGTGTATAGTGTGTACAGCGCGTACAGTGTGTATAGTGTGTACAGTGTGTACAGCGCGTACAGTGCGTACAGTGTGTATAGCGCGTTCTGTGTGTATAGTGTGTACAGTGTGTATAGCGCGTACAGTGTGTATAGTGTGTACAGCGCGTACAGTGTGTATAGTGTGTACAGCGCGTACAGTGTGTATAGTGTGTACAGCGCGTACAGTGGGTATAGTGTGTACAGTGCGTATAGTGTGTACAGTGTGTACAGCGCGTACAGTGTGTACAGTGTGTATAGCGTGTACAGCGCGTACAGTGTGTATAGTGTGTACAGTGTGTACAGCACGTACAGTGCGTACAGTGTGTACAGCGCGTAGTGTGTATAGTGTGTACAGTGTGTACAGCACGTACAGTGTGTATAGTGTGTACAGTGTGTACAGTGCGTACAGTGTGTACAGTGTGTATATTGTGTACAGTGTGTACAGCGCGTACAGTGTGTATAGTGTGTACAGCGCGTACAGTGTGTACAGTGTGTATAGTGCGTACAGTGTGTACAGCGCGTACAGTGTGTATAGTGTGTACAGTGTGTACAGCACGTACAGTGTGTATAGTGTGTACAGCGCGTACAGTGCGTACAGTGTGTACAGCGCGTACAGTGTGTACAGTGTGTACAGCGCGTACAGTGCGTATAGTGTGTACAGTGTGTACAGCGCGTACAGTGCGTACAGTGTGTATAGTGTGTACAGCGCGTACAGTGTGTACAGCGCGTAGTGTGTACAGTGTGTACAGCGCGTACAGTGTGTACTGCGCGTACAGTGTGTACTGCGCGTACAGTGTGTACAGTGTGTACAGCGCGTACAGTGTGTACAGCGCGTACAGTGTGTACAGCGCGTAGTGTGTACAGCGCGTACAGTGTGTACAGCACGTACAGTGTGTACAGCGCGTACAGTGTGAACAGCGCGTACAGTGTGTACAGTGTGTACAGCGCGTAGTGTGTACAGCGCGTACAGTGTGTACAGCACGTACAGTGTGTACAGCGCGTACAGTGGGTACAGTGGGTACAGCGCGTACAGTGTGTACAGCGTGTACAGTGCGTACAGTGTGTATAGTGTGTACAGTGTGTACAGTGGGTACAGCGCATACAGTGTGTACAGCGCGTACAGTGTGTACAGCGTGTACAGTTACTTTATTGTTGTACTGATGCACAGCAGATGGAGTACATGTTGAAACAGTGATGCAGAAATGAACAATAATTTCTCAGCAAGGCTCGCTAAATACAATGTTTATTCCTGATACAGAATATTCACCATCCCAAAACACACATCAACTTTACTTCTCTGCATTGTAGAAATACATGAAAATATTCTGCATTACTCTTTCAATGCGTACTCAAATAGCTGTTTACCGGCATGACCTCTGGTGACCTCATGTTACCCTCCCCTTTAGTATACCAGGCATTGTGATCACATGACAGTCTCCATGGTTACCACAGTCTCCACTGACCTCATGACAGACTCCCGACATCGGGTGACAAGTCTGGTGTAGGGGTTCGGAGGGAGGTATTTTCCTGCAAACAGTTCCACTTGAAAATCCTGCCACATCTCATCAATATGGGTGTCTGTGATGTACTGAAAATATTAACCATTATTTCGAGCACATGTTGATTTGTTTCCAGTTCGAGTCTAACTAATTGGCCTGTAACTAACGGGCAATCTACATTACTTGCAGTAGAGTACTGTATTTAAGCTTTGACATTTCTCAGAGATCCCCATTTTCATAAGGCTACGAGTTTCCTGGACCCGAATATGTATAACCCAGGTAAATCTCTGTTGTCCATATTGAAATAAAACTATGCTTCATAACCCCCTATGTCATATCCTATATTCATATTATCACAAAAAAGGTAAATAGATCATATAACACCAATACTTGATTATCAAACATTAGCTCTTAACATCATCTAACGTTTCTAACTAATAAAAACTGACCTTACCTTCATAAGGACTGATTCAGTGGACATTATTTTGGGTGCGTTGTCTCTGTCAATGCACATCTGGACATCAATCACTACAAGTAGAAACTGAAGGTCACTGTAAAGTTGTAAATGAATATCACCTCCCCTTCTCTTCTTGCCTCGCCAACCTCTTCACACCCCAACATTCCACAACCCACACCCTCTCCTGCCCCCAGTGCCCCCAACATTCCACAACCCACACCCTCTCCTGCCCCCAGTGCCCCCTACATTCCACAACCCACACCCTCTCCTGCCCCCAGCACCCCCTACATTCCACAACCCACACCCTCTCCTGCCCTCAGTGCCCCCAACATTCCACAACATACACCCTCTCCTGCCCCCAGTGCCCCCTACATTCCACAACCCACACCTTCTCCTGCCCCCAGTGCCCCCAACATTCCACAACCCACACCCTCTCCTGCCCCCAGTGCCCCCTACATTCCACAACATACACCCTCTCCTGCCCCCAGTGCCCCCAACATTCCACAACATACACCCTCTCCTGCCCCCAGTGCCCCCTACATTCCACAACCCACACCCTCTCCTGCCCCCAGCACCCCCTACATTCCACAACCCACACCCTCTCCTGCCCCCAGTGCCCCCAACATTCCACAACCCACACCCTCTCCTGCCCCCAGCACCCCCTACATTCCACAACCCACACCCTCTCCTGCCCCAGTGCCCCCTACATTCCTCTCACATCCCCTTTCCCCAGCACCCCCTCCTGCTCCCAGTGCCCCCTACATTCCTCTCACATCCCCTTTCCCCAGCACCCTCTCCTGCTCCCAGTGCCCCCAACATTCCACAACCCACACCCTCTCCTGCCCCCAGTGCCCCCTACATTCCACAACCCACACCCTCTCCTGCCCCCAGCACCCCCTACATTCCACAACCCACACCCTCTCCTGCCCCCAGTGCCCCCTACATTCAACAACCCACACCCTCTCCTGCCCCCAATGCCCCCAACATTCCTCTCTCATCCCCTTTCCCCAGCACCCCCTCCTGCCCCAGTGCCCTCTACCACCTCTCACCCTGATGTTCGTGCTTCATGATCTGTTCCTCCTCGTGGCCATGTGTGTAGACTGCAGCATCACTGGACCACACACCTGACTGGGGAACATACAAGACAGGCTGGAGTGAGTGAGTGAGTGAGTGAGTGAGTGAGTGAGTGAGTGAGTGAGTGTGGGTGAGTGAGTGAGTGATTTGTTTGATGCACTCAGCATTATTCCAGCTATATGACGGCAGTCTGTAAATAATCGAGCCTAAACCAGACAATCCAGAGTGAGTGAGTGAGTGAGTGAGTGACTGAGTGAGTGAGTGAGTGAGTGAGTGAGTGAGTGAGTGAGTGAGTGAGTGAGTGAGTGAGTGAGTGAGTGAGTGAGTGAGTGAGTGAGTGAGTGAGTGAGTGAGTGAGTGAGTGATTTGTTTGTTTGTTTGTTTTTTTATTGATGCACTTAGCAATATTCCAGCTATATGACGGCAGTCTGTAAATAATCGAGCCTAAACCAGACAATCCAGAGTGAGTGAGTGAGTGAGTGAGTGAGTGAGTGAGTGAGTGAGTGAGTGAGTGAGTGAGTGAGTGAGTGAGTGAGTGAGTGAGTGAGTGAGTGAGTGAGTGATTTGTTTGTTTGTTTGTTTGTTTTTTATTGATGCACTCAGCAATATTCCAGCTATATGACGGCAGTCTGTAAATAATCAAGCCTAAACCAGACAATCCAGAGTGAGTGAGTGAGTGAGTGCCAATCAAGAATAACCTTCACCTTCTGTTTCGAGTCTCTCTCTCGTATTCGTGTCACCGGCCTCCTGGCTTCCTCGGGGAAGGTCTCCTTCATTTTCTTAATTAAAGCCTGTAACACCACAAACAAACCGGTAAACATTATACATGAACAGTGTACAGTGATATAGGAATGTTGCTTTAAAGGGGGACACACAATCTGCCAAGCCATGGGAGCCTGACCACCTGATTCCCTTTCCAGTCGCCTCTAAGACAAGCATGGTGACCTACTGACCTACTGATTCATTGATATGGTGACCTACTGACATGATGACCTATTGATCTGGTGACCCACTGATCTGGTGACCTACTGACCCGATGACCTATTGATCTGGTGACCCACTGATCTGGTGACCTACTGACATGATGACCTATTGATCTGGTGACCCACTGATCTGGTGACCTACTGACCCGATGACCTATTGATCTGGTGGCCACTAGGTCACCCTGCACGAGTCCGGATGTTGACTTACTTGCAGCTTTGGACACCAGAACATAGCATCCTCTACAGCCTGGATGAGCAGCGTCATGCAGTAGTTGTCCATGTTGCGAAACGTCTCCACCACCTGCAATGTTGCCAAGGACAGTTGTTCCAAGTGAGTAAGTGAGTATGGTTTTATGCCGCTTTTAGCAATATTCCAGCAATATCGAGATGGTGGAACCAGAAATGGGCTTCACACATCGTACCCATGTTGGGAATCGAACCTGGGTCTTCGGCGTGACTAGCGAATGCTTTAACCACTAGGCTACCTGTCCACCCCCAAATGTTCGGAGACTTACAGAACTTATGCAAACAAAACAATAGACAGACTGTTGGTGGTGAACAGACAAAGTTGTATAGGTGCCACTCCATCTTCAGACAATTTTCCCATGAAAGTTTCACATCATATTTCGCATATTTGACCAACGTAAGGACGTTGCCATCTTGTACAAGGCTGAATGGAGATGCTTTGAATCTTCACTGTCACTCACGCACATTTGAACAAAGACGCACAGACAGAAACAAAGGGGAGGTAATCAATCACTGGGTCAGGTGAAACTGGGTTTAATGTTGCGCCCAAGACTATTGCACTTATATAGTGACGTGCATGCACATGTGTGTATGTGTGGCTGCTTGTACTAGTACGGGCTGATGCCGATTTATAGAGCTAGCCCACTGAGAAACCATGCCGCAGTTTAACATGAATACCCCACTCAGACACAGTATACTGACTCTGAGCCGACCAGTCTTTGTTTTAGCCCCTTTAATGCCGAGCGCCAGACAGGGTAACAACAAGTACCATCTTTTGGTATGATGTGGCCGGTGATTGAACCCCGGACCTTCCACTCTCTTGGTGGACGCTCTACCACCAGACCACAATCATTGAGTCCGCAAACAAAACCATAAACATACCAACTGTTCACAGGCCCAGTTACCTGCTGGAGGTGAGATGTGGAGCCAAACTCCAAGTTACCTGCTGGAGGTGAGATGTGGAGCCCAACTCCCAGTTACCTGCTGGAGGTGAGATGTGGAGCCCAACTCCCAGTTACCTGCTGGAGGTGAGATGTGGAGCCCAACTCCCAGTTACCTGCTGGAGGTGAGATGTGGAGCCCAACTCCCAGTTACCTGCTGGAGGTGAGATGTGGAGCCCAACTCCCAGTTACCTGCTGGAGGTGAGATGTGGAGCCAAACTCCCAGTTACCTGCTGGAGGTGAGATGTGGAGCCAAACTCCCAGTTACCTGCTGGAGGTGAGATGTGGAGCCCAACTCCCAGTTACCTGCTGGAGGTGAGATGTGGAGCCAAACTCCCAGTTACCTGCTGGAGGTGAGATGTGGAGCCAAACTCGAAGTCGTCAGATGACAGGAGGTCCTCCACCTGACCAGCCATCGCTTGACCAGCAGTGGTCAAGTCACTCGTCCTCTCCTGCCTGTAGTGGAAGCATAGAGTTATCAAGGGTTCTACATTAAATGCAAATTTGGGAATAGCGAATCTAATTTTAAAGTTCTTATGTTCCTCAATTCAGAGGTATTTTAAGACTGAACTTTAACACTGCATTCAGGGATGAGAAATCTCCGTGGAAACGCAGAAAATTGCAATTTTTAAAACAGCAGTCCTCGGAAAAAAACATCATCCGCGTAAAAATATGATCAAAGATTTTAAAAAAAACACTCGGAAAAATGTTATCGAAAACCGGAGAATCTTCGCGGATTGTCCTGTTTTCGATCAGAGCTTTCAGCATCATAGGTTTTCGACATCATACGTTTTCTATCACGAATACTTGCACTATAACGTGGGTTGTGGCGTCGCCCAGACAAAATTGCTTAAAATGCTATCAAATGTTTCAAAAATGTCTGGGTGGGCAGACCCCCCTAGACTTTTCCTCTTTTTTTCCCGGAAAACCTGCTCACATCCCTGCTGCATTCAATGTCAGAATGCTAAACAAAGCATTAGGCCCCTTCCTCTATAGTGGTCCTGTTATACAAGTCACCTCTACAATGCCACAGCATTAGTTATAACCATAAGAGAAAAAGATAGGGCACTGTTTAATTCAAAATTGAGACATTTTAACTGACATTTGCTGAAGGCTTGGGGCCGAACATCGGCCTCTGGAAGGTCTATATAAACCCTGGTGGAAGGGCTGCTGGGTGGTACGTGTAGTTTCATCAACAGATTGTATAGACAGAAATGACTGAAATGTTGAAATTCTTCAGAATGATGTTGGGTGTTTGCCCAGCTAATGTTTGAAGGGACCAGAGACCTTTCTGTGTCACTGATTGCTTCCTGAAACAAACAGATTTCTGGCTATCAGAGTCCAATGTCTGACTCACGACTGAGTGGGATTGATAGAGTACTGCACACAAGCTGACATACCACGCTGCACAGTACATTTCTCAGTTTCCCTGGACCCTCATTGCCCCCCACAAATGTTCCCCCCAATACTCCTACATCAGGCCAAAGAAAATTAATCCTTAAATTATAGTCTTTCACATTTCTGAAAATGAGGGGCAGGCGTCATTATGCCCTTTATACATTATTTCTAACAAACAATTCAAGGCATCTGTGTACATGACCAGTTGACAGACATACATGTTTGGTTGGACAAAGTACATGTTTGTTTCGATTAAGTACATGTTTGGTTGGACTAAGTACATCTTTGGTTGGACTCGGTACATGTTTGGTTGGACTCGGTAAATGTTTGGTTGGACAAGGTACATGACCAGTTGGTAGACATACATGTTTGGTTTGATTAAGTACATGTTTGGTTGGACTCGGTACATATTGGGTTGGAGAAGGTACATGTTTGGTTAGATTCGGTACATGTTTGTTTGGACTAAGTACATGTTTAGTTGGAATCGGTACATGTTTGGTTGGACTTAGTTCATGTTTGGTTGGACTAAGTACATGTTTGGTTGGACTAAGTACATGTTTGGTTGGACTGTGTACGTTTGGTTGGACTCAGTACATGTTGGGTTGGACAAGGCACATGTTTGGTTAGATTCGGTACATGTTTGCTGGACAACGTACATGTTTGGTTAGATTCGGTACATGTTTCGTTGGACTCGGTACGTTTGTTAACATTCGGTACATGTTTGGTTTGACTCGGTACGTTTGGTTTGACTGGGTACATGTTTCGTTTGACTCGGTACGTTTGGTTAGATTCGGTACATGTTTGGTTGGACAAAGTACATGTTTGGTTGGACAAAGTACATGTTTGGTTGGACTAAGTACATGTTTGGTTGAACTAAGTACATGTTTGGTTGGACTAAGTACATGTTTGGTTGGACTAAGTACATGTTGGGTTGGACAAGGTACATTTGGGATAGACAAGGTACATGTTTGTTTGGAATCGGTTCATGTTTGGTTGGACAAGGTACATGTTTGGTTAGATTCAGTACATGTTTGGTTGGACTCCGTACGTTTGGTTAGATTCGGTACATGTTTGGTTGGACTCGGGTACGTTTGGTTGGACTGGGTACATGTTTGGTTTGACTCGGTACTTTTGGTTAGATTCGGTACATGTTTGGTTGGACTCGGTACATTTGGTTGGACTCGGTACATGTTTGGTTGGACTTGGTACATGTTTGTTTGGACTAAGTACATGTTTGGTTGGACTAAGTACATGTTTGGTTAGATTCGGTACATGTTTGGTTGGACTGTGTATGTTTGGTTAGTCTCAGTACATATTTGGTTGGACTCGGTACATGTTTGGTTGGACTGGGTACATGTTTGGTTGGACAAGGTACATGACCAGTTGGTAGACATACATGTTTGTTTTGATTAAGTACATGTTTGGTTGGACTAAGTACATGTTTGGTTGGACTAAGTACATGTTGAGTTGGACAAGGTACATGTTGGGTTGGACAAGGTACATGTTTGTTTGGAATCGGTACATGTTTGGTTGGACTCGGTACATGTTTGGTTGGAACTCGGTACAAGTTTGGTTGGACTTGGTACATGTTTGGTTGGACGTGGTACATGTTTGGTTGGACAAGGTACATGACCAGTTAGTAGACATACATGTTTGGTTTGATTAAGTACATGTTTGGTTTCATTAAGTACATGTTTGGTTGGACTCAGTACATGTTGGGTTGGACAAGGTACATGTTTGGTTGGACTAAGTACATGTTTTGTTAGATTCGGTACATGTTTGGTGAGACTTGGAACGTTTGGTTGGACTAAGTACATGTTGGTTGAACTAAGTACATGTTGAGTTGGACAAGGTACATGTTGGGTTGGACTCGGTACATGTTTGTTTGGAATCGGTACATGTTTGGTTGGACTAAATTCATGTTTGGTTGGACTATGTACATGTTTGGTTCGACAAGGTACATGTTTGGTTAGATTCGGTACATGTTTGGTTGGACAAGGTACATGTTTGGTTAGATTCGGTACATGTTTCGTTGGACTCGGTACGTTTGGTTAGATTTGGTTCATGTTTGGTTCGATTCAGTACGTTTGGTTGGACTCGGTACATGTTTGGTTGGACTCAGTACATGTTTGGTTGGACTTGGTATATGTTTGGTTGAACAAGGTACATGACCAGTTGGTAGATATACATGTTTGGTTTCATAAAGTACATGTTTGTTTGGACTAAGTACATGATTGGTTGGACTAAGTACATGTTGGGTTGGACAAGGTACATGTTTGGTTAGATTCGGTACATGTTTGGTTGGACTTGGTTCATGTTTGGTTGGACAAGGTACATGACCAATTGGTAGACATACATGTTTGGTTTCATAAAGTACATGTTTGTTTGGACTAAGTACATGATTGGTTGGACTAAGTACATGTTGGGTTGGACAAGGTACATGTTTGGTTAGATTCGGTACATGTTTGGTTGGACTTGGTTCATGTTTGGTTGGACAAGGTACATGACCAATTGGTAGACATACATGTTTGGTTTCATAAAGTATATGTTTGTTTGGACTAAGTACATGTTTGGTTGCACTAAGTACAAGTTTGGTTGGTTAAGGTACATGTTTGGTTAGATTCGGTACATGTTTGGTTGGACTAAGTACATGTTGGGTTGTACAAGGTACATGTTTGTTTGGAATCGGTAGATGTTTGGTTGCTCTAAGTTCATGTTTGGTTGGACAAAGAACATGTTTGGTTGGACTAAGTACGTTTGGTTGGACTAAGTACGTTTGGTTGGACGTGGTACATGTTTGGTTGGACGTGGTACATGTTGTCGGACAAGGTACATGACCACTTGGTAGAAATACATGTTTGATTTGATTAAGTACATGTTTGGTTGGACTAAGTACGTTTGGCTGGACTCGGTACATGTTGGGTTGGACAAAGTACTTTTGGGTTTGACAAGGTACATTTGGTTGGACTCAGTACTTGTTTCGTTAGATTAAGTACATGTTTGGTTGGACTAAGTACATGTTTGGTTGGACTCAGTACATGTTTGGTTGGATTAAGTACATGTTTGGTTGGACTTGGTACATGTTTGGTCGGACTTGGTACATGTTTGGTTGGACAAGGTAAATGACCAGTTGGTAGACATACATGTTTGGTTTGATTAAGTACATGTTTGGTTGGATTAAGTACATGTTTGGTTGGACTAAGTACACGTTTGTTTGGATTAAGTACATGTTTGGTTAGATTCGGTGCATGTTTGGTTGGACTAAGTACGTTTGGTTGGACTCGGAATGTTTGGTTGGACTCAGTACATGTTTGTTTCGATTAAGTACATGTTTGGTTGGACTAAGTACGTTTGGTTGGACTCGTTATGTTTGGTTGGACTCGGTACATGTTTGGTTGGAACTTGGTACAAGATTGGTTGGACTTGGTCAATGTTTGGTTGGACAAGGTACATGTTTGGTTGGACAAGGTACATGACCAGTTGGTAGACATACATGTTTGGTTTGATTAAGTACATGTTTGGATGGACTCGGTACATGTTGGGTTGGACAAGGTACATGTTTGCTTGGAATCTGTACATGTTTGGTTGGACTAAGTACATGTTTGTTTGGATTAGGTAGATGTTTGGTTGGACTAAGTACATTTTTGGTTGGACTAAGTACATGTTTGGTTAGATTCGGTACATGTCTTGTTGGACTTGGTACAATTGGTTGGACTCAGTACATCTTTGGTTGGACTCGGTACATGTTTGGTTCAACTTGTTACATGTTTGGTTGGACAAGGTACATGACCAGTTGGTAGACATACATGTTTGGTTTGATTAAGTACATGTTTGGTTTGATTAAGTACATGTTTGGTTGGACTAAGTACATGTTGGGTTGGACAAGGTACATGTTGGGTTGGACTCGGTACATGTTTGCTTGGAATCAGTACATGTTTGGTTGGACTAAGTTCATGTTTCGTTGGACTAAGTACATGTTTCGTTGGACTAAGTACATGTTTGGTTGGACTAAGTACATGTTTGGTTGGACTAAGTACATGTTTCGTTGGACTGTATAC